GATGTGTCAGGGCTGTATGAGGAGAGTCAGTGTAAACCCTGCCCCCAGGGTCAGTACTGTGACGGGGAACACCTCAGCTCACCAACAGGTAAACAAGAGAGATCATTGTTTTCATTTCTAAGAATTTGTATTTGTGAAAATTGGTTCTTTATATTGGTGCATATCTGAAGTATTGAAGTCCTGAAATTATTTCAAAAAATAAGTTTAAACAAATAAAATGTTGATTAGCTTAAAAAAAAAACTTCAAATTAACTTGGAATGCATTCTTTGTCAGGTTACTGTGGCCCTGGACACTGGTGTGTGTCAGGCATTGATCGTCAGTATCCCAATGGTATCAACAATTCTGTGTCCCTCAACAATACCTGTTATGATGACCGACAGTTAGGGTATGGAGGAATCTGTCCCGTGGGTCATTACTGTCCAGGGGGACTAGGCAGCATCTACCCCATCAAGTGTCCAAACGGAACCTACAGCAACACAGAGGGGTTATCTCAGTGTATCACCTGTCCTCAAGGTTAGATATAACTTCTCATCTATGCTTCTAAATTACATGTACCTTCTGGTGTGTTAAATTCTATTGGACCCACATACTGTAAATGTATTACATATAGCTGTGTATTCCTTCTGAGTTTCTTTTGCAGAAAGCAACTTCTATTTATTTTATTACAATGCTAAATGCCTTTCACATGTTGAAATAAATTAAAACATGAAGACGTGCTAAATGAAATCTTTGCAGACTTGTTCAAAAAATCAAATCAATTTCCGCCAAATATCATACACATTTACTGTACATTAAATGTAAGTAGCGGAGGTAGAATGGCACTCACAATACAGAGGTGGCAGATAATTGCAGCTGAAGAACAATAATAGTTAATTTGTACTTGATTTTCTCTACTCCATAGGGTACTTCTGTTTGGAGGGAACAGCTAACTACACAGACAGCCCCTGTCCCACAGGCTACTACTGCCCCAGTGGCACCCAGAACTCCAATGACAATCCATGTCCTGCTGGCACCTTTAACAATGAAACTATGAGGACCAAACTGGCCGACTGTCTCTCTTGTACAGGTATGAAATTATCTATTGTTAAAGAGCAAAATTATATTAAGTTTTGTACCTACCTCACTATGTTAAATGGATTGTGTCCATGTACACTATGTCAGGATTGATTTTTTTAATTTAAACATTTTCAACAGCCAATTTAGTAAAAAGTTTCTGGAATAATTTTTCCAATTATCTTTTAGGTCAGTAAGGCTCATTATCGTGTCTTGTAATTTAAATGGCATTACATTGTTTTAATAAATTCTTAACAGTGGTACCTTTCTCTTTGTTTAGGAGGATCGTACTGTAACCAGGATGGGCTATCCTCTCCCTCAGGGGTCTGTAGTGCTGGGTACTACTGTAGTGGAGGCGCAGTCAATGCCACGCCCAGCGGTGTGGGAGGAAACAATTGTCAGGCAGGTTATTTCTGTCCCGAGGGATCAGTGAACCCCACACCCTGTATCCCGGGGTATTACTGTGTGTCTGACCACCTTAATGACACCACAGGGCTGTGTAGTCCAGGATACTACTGCACCAGTAAAGCTTCCGTGCCAAACCCCACTGATGGAAATGTCACAGGTCAGTGTGATTTCTTTGTGTATTTTAAAAAGCATGTTTTGATAAACAGTTAAACTTTGATGTTTGACATTTGTACAATTGTGGAATGCTCAGATGTCAAGTGTAAGAATACAGCTAGACTTATTCTGGATTTGGGAAGTTTATCTGAACATGTAATTTGACAAATTGTGAATCAGTGGTTTTACAACTTTTGTACATGTCATATATTTTATACACTATGTTTGATACCATTAATGAGGAATTTCATCATTGATTGCTTATGATATCACTCATTTTGATTTATACTGTAATCAAACTTGGTTTAAACTACACAATTATTCCATGATCTTGTATTTTTAGGAGACATATGCCCCACTGGAGCCTACTGCCCCTCAGGCAGCCCCTCCCCCACCTACTGCCAGGCTGGGTATTACCTCAATAGTACGGGAAATGATGATGTCTCTGATTGTAAACAGTGTACACCGGGATCCTACTGTGATGGCAGTGGTAATGTGGTGCCTGATGGACTCTGCTCCCAGGGGTACTATTGCCCCGGGGGTCAGGATTCGGCAACACCCACAGGCTACAATTGTACACAGGGTCACTTCTGTCCAGAGGGTAGTTCCTCCCCCCAGAGGTGTGCCTCAGGATCATACCAGGATGAGTTGGGCCAGTGGACCTGTAAGGCTTGTCCAGCTGGCTACTTCTGTGACAGTGTAATGTCCCCTGTGGTCCTGTACAATAACTCTTACTGCCCTACTGGCTATTACTGCCCAGAGAACACTACCAATTCCAATCAGTATCCATGTCCCGCTGGAACCTTCAATAATCAGACCCACCGCACCCAGCTGTCAGACTGCCAGTCTTGTTCTGGGGGTATGTACTGTGACCAGGATGGACTGTCCCAGCCTGTGGGTAACTGTCAGGCCGGGTACTACTGCACTAGCGGGGCCAACAGCTCCACCCCCACTCAGGACGCTAATGCTAACATCTGTCCTGAAGGATTTTACTGTCCAGTAGGAACTGTGACTTCTCAGTCGTGTCCGCCTGGGACATTCAATCCATCCACTGGAAGACAGGCAGTGGGAGAGTGCACCAACTGTACTGGGGGATATTACTGTCCTGATTACAACATGACCGCAGCAGGACCACAGTGCTCACAAGGTAGACAATTTATACAAAAAAAACATTAGCTAAAGAGCATAAACTTCTGCATAGGAACATACATGTACATGTTCACTTTTAAACAGTTTCAGATCCTTGAAACAGAGTTTTATTGTATTTTAATTGTAAAACAATTTTCCTATTTGAAAAGGATAGTTTTGAGATTTTTCCCCTGTAATTTTAAGCTCATTATTTTTTCCTGCCTTTCAGGTTACTACTGCCCTTCAGCAGCAGATACTGCCACCTTCATCATCTGTCCTGCTGGTTCCTACTGTGCCCAGGGTGTGTCCACCCCCTCACCGTGTCCAGCTGGAACCTTCTCCAATGTGACCGGACTGTCAGCGGTCACCCAGTGTACCAACTGCTCAGGAGGCTACTACTGCCCCAATACAGGTCAGCTGATAACTGGCTAAATGGACTGTCTGTAAAGTTCTTTGTTATTTAATGCAGGAAGCACCTGAGTTCATACTTTCTTTACTGTATTCACACAGGAATGACAGATACAGGTTACCAATGCTGGGGAGGGTACTACTGCCCCACAGGTATTGATGTACCAAACCCCACCTCCTACCTCTGTCCCAGGGGAATGCACTGTCCTAATGGAAGTGAAATCTACAAGGTTTGTCATATTTTCTCCAATTTTAATTAAAACTCTTTGGCTGTTTCTGATTATTCAAAATAATTTTGAAATACATAAATGTAGCCAATCTTTGACTTCAGAAATTTCAACTGCGATATTTTGTAACTGGTTTTACTATATAGATAATTTTTTCCATTGACAGGAGTGTACCCCTGGTACCTACACCAATCAGACAGGTGCCTCCTCCTGTGACACCTGTCCGAACGGTTTCTACTGTTTACCTGTACAGCCAGACAATGCTACATTGAATGCCCAGTCTTGTCCAGAGGGCTACTTCTGTCCTGCAGGTGAATACTCATCCTCCAAGAATTTAGAAAATGAAACTAGTTTATTTTTGAATTTGGCAACAAACTGTTGCAGATCTGAAAAGAAAAAGCCAAATGGAATGTGAAATTTTCACTTTTAGTGGAAGTAAATTTTGTGTATTTGTATACAGAGTTGCCAGATACTAGTATGTAGTCTTTCCTTTTCTTCTGAGCTGTCCATTCTGATTCATATACATATGATTGATTTCAGGCACAGGAATAAACTGGCTGTCTTGTCCCAGTGGTTCCTACAGTAACCAGCAGGGTCTGTATGCCTCCTCTCAGTGTGTGGCCTGTGACGGGGGACGATACTGTCAAGGAGAACATCTCACTGCACCAACAGCAAACTGCTCAGCTGGTATTACAACAGTCATCTTTATTTGTTTTGAAATTCATTTTCTTTGATTTACAGGAAAAGGCCAAGCATTTTTATAAACAAATAAGAATTTTAATAGAAATTTAGCATTTCAAAGAATTTGATGTAATCCTTGTTATTAAATTTAAGATATTTCTAATGTTCTCAATTTTATAAATATTATATGTAGCAATTTATCAGTGATAAAAATCTATTCTTATTTCAAAACAGGTTACTACTGCACATCAGGAGTAGACCGCCCTAAACCTGGAGCTAGCAATGACACAGCTACTGCCAACTGTACCTGCCCAGACCAGGCCTTCTACACAGGAGTGGGTGGGGTCTGTCCGGTGGGTCACTACTGCCCTGAGGGTTCCCCTGCCCCTGTCCCATGTGTTGCTGGGACATACGCTGACAGTGAGGGTCAATCTGTCTGCTGGACCTGTCCAGAGGGTTACTTCTGTCTGGCCAACTCTACAGACTTCTTATCTTCACCCTGCCCTGTCGGTAAGTGATTGATTTCAATTCTATGGCTGGCATTTGAGTATAAATTTGGATAAATCTTTTATGTGACAAAAAAATTTTTTTTGAGCAAAATGCATGTGAAAATCTTGATCATAGATTTAACTTGAATTTGTAAATAAAACTATTATCTGAACTATTGTTAGGTATACAAACCTCTAATGATTAAAAACAAATTAAAAATTTGAATTTATTTCTAGGTCACTATTGTCCAAATGGAACGACCTTTGACACAGAGAATAGGTGCCCTCCAGGGACGTACAATCCTACCACCAAAGGGACACAACTCTCTGACTGTCTGGACTGCCCTGCAGGGAAGTACTGTGCTGGCTATGCTAACTCTGCCTACACTGGTAACTGCAGTGCTGGATGGTACTGTACAGGAGGATCAGACAGCCCTAACACCACAACACATGGTGGTCAGTGCAGTGCTGGATACTACTGTCCTGAAGGTCAGTCTTATTGTCAAATACTGAAGATTTCATATGAATTTTAAGAACTTTCTGATTTCTAACATCTTGTTTTGATTTTGCTGTTAATGATTTCATATTAATTTCAAGAACTAATTTCTTACTTCTTGCCTTGATTTGTATAATTCCGTTCGTTAAATGAGTTATTTTTTTCCTTGAGGTTTTGACACTGTTTAGATTTGCAACAATCCTTTGCTTTGTAGGATCCACTGCCCCCACTCCCTGCCCAGGAGGTCAGTACTGTCAGTTTGCTGGACTTGACACACCCACTAATAACTGCTCAGCTGGTTACTACTGCACAGCCACGGCTACAACTGCCACCCCAACAGATGGCACCACCGGTAATGTGTGTCCCCCGGGCTTCTACTGCCTGTCAGGGTCAGCCTACCCCACACCCTGCTCCCCAGGAACCTACAGCCCAACACAGGGGAACACCATGGCATCCCACTGTCTACCATGTGACTTTGGAGAATATTGTGGTGAACACAACTTGACTGCCACATCAGGTAACTTCTTGATTTTTTTTCTATTCTCTGAGGGTTTCAACATAAATTTATTATGTATCTCAAAATTTTGTTCTTATATGTGAAAAGATTCAAGATATAAGATGCTAGACAAACCTCATAACATTCACAGAATTTCAGTATAACGATTCCTTTTAAATAAGTAAGTATTTTGAATAGTACATAATTATGTTACTTGTATTTGTAGGTAACTGCAGTGCTGGCTACTACTGCCCACAAGGTGAGATGACCGACAATCCCCGCCTCTGTAGCATCGGTCACTACTGCCCTGAACACTCAGCGGCCCCAGTTATCTGTCCCAGTGGGTGGTTCCAGGAGAATGTAGGTCAGTCCTCCTGTGATCTCTGCCCTGGGGGATACTACTGTGACAACAGTTATGGAGTGGTACTCATCAATGACACAATTAAATGTCCCGAAGGATACTACTGCCCACCAGGTAAGAGAGAGAGAAAAACAGAACTGCTTTCTTTTCAGTATTTTATATTCAGTAATTCCTAGGTCTTTTGGAATTGTCTGTCTTTTATATATATTGTGAAGAAATTAGAATTACTCATACGATACTTTATTACAGGTACATCAGCCAGTAACCAGTGGCCTTGCCCCTTGGGAACCTTTAACAACCTCACAGGTCTGAACCAGAGTACGGACTGTACCCCATGTACTGGAGGATATTACTGTGGAATTGTGGGACAGAATGCACCCACAGGACTGTGTCAGGCTGGGTACTTCTGTCGAATGAATGCCAAGACATCCACCCCCAATCAGACTACAGAAGCTAATATCTGTCCACAAGGTAGGATTTTTGTCATCAGCATTCAGCTGAAACATTGACATTTTGCATTTTCATCTGGATTTGAAAATCCAGGCAGTTTGTATTTTGATCCAAATTGTTTTGTTTGCCCATCGCCTATTTAGTTCCAAGGAGATTTTCTTCCAATCAAGTCCAAATTTACTTCAAATATGCTCCTGATTGTCAAGTTATATTGAGATGGGAAAATGTGTTTTCTCCTCATTTTACAATTGCATTAATTTGGTTGTAGGATCATACTGCCCAGAGGGCACAGACAGTCCTGTAGCCTGTCCACCGGGAACCTTTGGTGCCACCACAGGCCTCCGTAACACCACTGAATGTACATCGTGTACAGCAGGATCATACTGTACCACACCAGGACTCACAGCAACAGAAGGTTTGTAATCTCAACATACAAAAACAGACACTTTATCTACCTTCAACCTTATTATGCCCATCAGATAATGTATTTCCACTTTGACATTTTTACATGTAATATGATTTCCCTTTATCCAGGTCTGTGTGCTGCTGGTTACTACTGTGAAGAAGGATCAGACTCCATCCAGAAAACTCTCTGTACGACTGGTCACTTCTGTCCACTGGGAACAGCTGTACCATTCAAGTGTCCAGAGGTACTGTCAAATGTTGATGCTTAATTTTGAATATATGAATGGAGGAAAATTATATGTTAATAGTTTAATTTCTTATTTAATGGCTGATCTTGGTCTTTCCTAGGGTACATTCAATCCATACACGGGCCTGAACAGCTCCGACCAGTGTACCCCCTGTACTGAGGGCCAGTATTGTGAGACAGAGGGGCTGAATGCCACCACCGGGCCCTGTGAGCCTGGGTATTATTGTCCAGGGGGACAGAACTCCTCCCGACCTGCCGAGTACCCCTGCACAGTGGGCCATTACTGTCCGCTCAACTCCTCCCAACCCACACCTTGTGCCAATGGAACTTACATGAACCATACAATGGCCGCTCAGTGCTATGACTGCCCACAAGGATGGTAAGGCAATCGTTTTCATTTATTTTCCCCTAAATTTTACATGTTTTTTTAAATAATATTCAGTAGAATATATAGACTGACCTGTGTTAAAGTACATACATGCAGCATGTATAAATAAAAAAGATTTTGTCTTGGAATGTTAAGCATAATATTTACTGTAACATTATGTGTAATTACAGGTACTGTTTGGTGGGAACTCTGATTACCCAGTGTCCTGAGGGTCACTACTGTCCATTAGGAACAGGATTTGACTGGAAACAGTGTCCACTTGGTAAGTTCAAACTTGTAATTTGAAAAAGTTATATTATTTTTATTGAGTATACCCATTATACATATACAGTCATCATGTACTTTAGACTACATCTGTTTGTTATAAACCAGAACAATGAAATGCTATTGGTTGATCAACTAAATGCTTGTAATTGTTGTAAGTGTATTTTTTCTGTGTACACAGGTACTTACAACAATGAGACCGGCCTGTCTGATGAGAGTCAGTGTAAGGCCTGCCCAGGAGGAATGTACTGTGACCAGCATGGTGCTTCTTCACCCACAGGCCAGTGTCTGGCAGGGTACTATTGTGAGTATGGAGTGGACAGGAACAACCCCACCGGAGGGAACAGAACCTTAGTGGGAGGAGCTTGTGTGGCTGCAGGTAAACAAAGTCAATAGGCATGATTTTGATTTCTACATATAATATAAAGAGCAAAAAAAAAAGCAGCTGTCTTGTAAGAAAACTTAAGTTTATAATTATTAAGCATTGCATTGTTTAAAGCTTTACCATTGTCTTTATAGGTAATGAAACAGGAGTAGGTGGAATCTGCCCTGTCGGTCACTATTGTCCAGTGGGCACCACAACCCCCATCCAGTGTGCAGCCGGAACCTTCAGTAATGTCACTGGTCTGTCAACATGTCACCAGTGTCCAGCTGGGTACTACTGCCTCCTGGGGTCAGAGAACTATGTGGCCACACCCTGTGATCCTGGCTACTACTGTCCAGCAGGCACCACCTCGGCCACTCAGTACCCCTGTCCAGCCGGGACCTACTATAACCTGACCATGGCCACCACCCTGTCTGACTGTCTGTCCTGTCCAGGGGGAGAGTACTGTGCCACCCCTGGTTTGAGTACACCCACAGGAAAATGTAGTCCAGGTAAAATTATCAATTGAAAATATTTAAATTTTTCAATCTTTCTTTTTTTTTTTGGCATAGCTTTTGAGAGAAAAAAAATATCCAGTGGTTACAGCAACATTAAGAGGTTAAAAATTTTCATTGCAAGTAATTTCAAAATATTTGGTCATTGACAGGATACTACTGTACCAGTAACTCGAGTCTTGCAATGCCCAGTAGCCCAGAGGGTGGTCAGTGCCAGACAGGGTACTACTGTCCAGAGGGATCATACCAGCCCACACAGTGTGACCCAGGAAGTTACTGTCAGACCATAGGACTTAGCACACCCACTGGAAACTGTACTGCTGGTTAGTAAATGCTTGAAATTATATAAAATTACACTGTGTCTATGATTAAAATTCTATACAAAAAAAGGGGGAGGGATAAAGATATATTGAGAAATCGAAAAACTCATACACAGTAACAAATTGAACAGGGACATCTGAATGTGTAGTATTTTAGTTTTCATTTTACTGCAGAGAGTGACAAAAATTATTTTGTTGAAGGAAGTTTATTTTTAAGTTTCAAAAGATCATTCATTGGTTGTTTAATTCTTATGATATTGCACAATGTGTTCAATGATGCCAGGTTATTTGCAGTTGTTCAAAGATTCTGTTCTGAAATATCATTTCTATGACTACTGTAAAATCACATATTTTTGTGGGGTAAAATTTTCGTGGTTTGAGGAAATGATATGGGTTCATGGGGATTTAATTTCGTGGATGAAGATTTATTGAGTAGTTATGTATATTACATTTTACATTTCGTGGTGGACATAAATTCGTGGGTCTCTTCATATCTCGAAAACAACGAAAATTAAACCCCCACGAAAATTAGAGATTTCACAGTAAATTGTATATGTCTCTTTACAGGATATTACTGCATACTGCAGGCTGACAACCCCACCCCAACAGACAACATAACAGGTAACATCTGTCCCGTGGGTCACTACTGCCCCTCAGGGTCCTCTCTCTACCAGCCCTGCCCCATGGGATACTACTTAGATGTGACAGGACAGGACGAGTTTACGGACTGTAAGAACTGCACTGGAGGAATGTACTGTCCAGGAAGTGGAGAGGAACTGCCAGCTGGAAACTGTTCCTCAGGATATTACTGTCCTCAGGGTCAAAGTTCAGCCACACCTCCAGCATACAAGTAAGTGTATATATATCCTTATATAAGGAATGCAGTTTGATCCACGGTTCTAGCATACAATTTGTTGTCTTGAAATGATTTATAAAGTATATGTTTAAGGACTGTATATGCGAATCCACTTTTTTCATGTTATTGTTTGGGTGAAATTCAAAGTAAACAAGCTGTGAAGTAAAACTTCCAAATTGTTCAGTATTTAAAAAAAAATTAAGATATCTAAACTTTTTTTTGTAATCTGTAAATAACAGTTTCATGTTGTCAGACTGTTGTAAGGAACTTTACCCCTTCCTGGAATGAAATTTAACATATGTTTTCCTGTTCTCTAGTTGTCCTGTTGGTCACTACTGCCCAGGAGGTATGGACTCTCCGGTCCGCTGTGAGAATGGAACCTACCAAGACCAGGTCACTCAGAGTACCTGTAAGGTGTGTCCAGCCGGGTACTTCTGTGACAACACTGTGTCCATTGTGGTACTAGACAACTCTACAACAATCTGTCCCATGGGACATTACTGTCCAGCAGGAACAAGATACAACAATGAATTCCCCTGCCCTATTGGAACTTTCAACAACCTTACAGGTTAGCCATATACAAATTCTGATTCATAAGCTTATTAAGATAGAATTTGATTGTCTTTTACTTGAATTATGTGTTAATGATGTTTTTGTATTTTATAATGTTAAAAATTTTTGTTTTGACCACAATTTGAATTCATTATATTGTTCTCTCTTAATTTTTCAATAAAAAAAACCCATTAATTTGTATCCAAGCAGTGATAATTAGGAATTTCTAATTATTTGTAAAGGATTGCTGCTTTTCACTCTGTGTTTGCTATATATCTTTAGGAATCACTGATGTGAGTCTGTGCTCTCCATGCTCCGGGGGTTACTACTGCCCCACACCAGGAATAGTAACTCCTGTCAGCCAGTGTGACTCAGGCTTCTTCTGTAAACAAAATGCCAACATCTCCACACCAATACAAGGTAGGAGTCTGATTTAATCAAATTTTAATTTTGGTTTTGAAGACTGTTTTGTGCCATTTTGTTTTACTTTAGTTTTACAAATTGGACTAAAAAGGAGTTTCAGGGATTTTGAATTATATCCCCTTCCTTGTGAATAAGGGAAAAAACTAATGGATAATGCTGTGTTCATTTCACATCAATTGTTTAGCTAATTCTTTGGATATTATATACTGCTGTTATTTAAATAATAAATGTAAAGCACATAAAGTTTTAAAAAATTCTTGCTAACCACCATACATTTATTAGCAAAATTAATTTTCTTGATCTGGGAGAACTTAAATATGACATAAAGTATCCTTGTTCTCAAACACTGATCTGAGCTGGAAAAGGATTTTCAATGTTTATGGAGAGTTCTTATTTCGACACTAGGGGTAGATGCCAACATTTGTCCAGAGGGCTACTACTGTCCAGTGGGGACCACTAATCCTGTCCCTTGTCCCAAAGGAAGTTACAGTAACTCCACAGGCCTACAGGGAGAAGTGGACTGTATTCTGTGTCCAGCTGGAAGTTACTGTGAACAGACAGCCATGACAACTACCAGTGGACTCTGTGATGCAGGGTTAGTGTTATGTTTTCTCAGAAAAAAATAACATTAAAGTCTTTTGTCTTAATTAATACATTTTACAGAACTTTTCATTCACACAGCTTTTGTTTATTGACTATCAATTCTCACATCTTAAATCTTCAATAATTTATAATTATACACACTGTACCTTTCTACATGTGTATGTTATATAAGTCTCTCTCCTTTCAAATTTCATATTGTGAGAAACTTATTAAAACATCTTAATCTGTATCTTTTCAGATATTACTGTGTGCTTCAGTCCAACAGTTCCCAACAAGATATCTGTACAGCAGGCAGTTACTGTCCCCATGGGTCAGGCAATCCCACTCCCTGCCCCCAGGGAACTTACTCCAACACCCAGGGATTGGCCAATGTAACGCAGTGTACCTCATGTGATCCTGGAAAATACTGCAATGATACAGGTATATTTAGGAAATTATGAATAGATATTAGATACTATTAGATACTAATGCTGTTAGATATGGAAAATTCTGAATGAAAAAGTGAAAAGGATCAATTTGCAGCACTCCTTATTAACTTCACACTTAAATATACAACTGTATTGCAGTTCGGTCCTAAGAATTATGATATGCATAAAGTTCATTTGTTCATTCATTTTTAGGCTTGACCACCTATGTGGCTGATTGTGATCCTGGATTTTACTGCCCTGGAGGAGACAGTGTACCTAACCCAGTGGCCACACCCTGTCCCATTGGTCTCCACTGCCCCGCTGGGTCCGGGTCACCTGTCCCATGTGTACCTGGAACTTTCACCAATCTGACTCAACAAGACACCTGTCTCACCTGTCCAGCTGGCTTCTACTGTGTTCCAGAGGAGGTCATTGCAGGTAAACTTTATCTTGAATTCCAATAAATAGATAGAGTTCACCTTCATTATCATGAACTTGGATATATCACATACAATGTGTCTTTTAAAATGATTTTAGAAAGTCCCAGCTACTTCTTTTTCTTTGTGTACTTTAACCTTGATATCAGGAATCATTGGTTATCTCAAAAATCTTTCATGTGCCAGTCAGGTTTGAGATAATGAGTTTTGACTGTACTTAGTAAAAAAAAAATACAGACATTTGTGTAGATGAACAGAGTGGGAAAATTTTGTCATATTATGAGGTAAACAGCAAACTTGCTTTCCACACTCATTGACTGAATATTCCATTTTCAGGCAACTCCAGTTCAGGATACAGCCTCTGTTCCAAGGGATTCTACTGTCCAGCTGGCACAGGAAGGAATGAATCAGCCTGTCCAGCAGGAACCTTTAGTGATGTGCTGGGACTGACCGATTCCAGCTCCTGCCAGCAGTGTACTGGTGGTAAATTCTGTGACGTGACAAACCTGACTGCCCCAGCAGGGGACTGTAGTCCTGGATATTACTGCACAGAGGGAGTGGATACACCTACTCCAACCGGCAACCACACAGGTGTAGGGGGCATATGTCCTCAGGGATACAAGTGTCCAGGAGCTACTGTGGTGCCAGAGGGCTGTCCTGCTGGAACCTATCAGGTGAAAATATACATTTAGCGTACACATATGTAATTTTTGTAAGATGTATTTTCATAATTTGGTGAATATTTCAATAATGAAAAAAATATTTCTACAAGATTCAGATAACAATGAATTGACTTTTTACAGGACCAGACAAACCAGGCGACATGTACAGCTTGCCCCGCTGGCTACTACTGTACTGCCAACAGCACCACCTACACAGACAAGCCCTGCCCCTCAGGCCATTACTGCCCCACCTCTACCCAGTATGACACTCAGTACCCCTGTCTCAAGGGCACCTTTAACAACCACACAGGTAAGACAGGGTCAAAAATTTCATGTAAAAAAAAAGATCCTGATTTGGCTTATACATGTATGTTTTAATTTTTAATTTACTTTTTTCCACGGGGAAAGAATCTCAAATTCTGTTTAATTGAAAATTTATTTCTGTCACTGTATGCCTTACATTTATATTAATTGTCTCTGTTCGTAAATTAATGAAAAAATTTTTAAATTAATTTTTTCATATATATTTTTAAGAAACAGGAAATCATAAACTTTAAGGATGCCTTGACAATTTAGAAAAATTTTATAATGTGAGTGTTTGTATTTCTTACAGGTCAGGCTAATGACTCTGCCTGCTCCCCCTGCACCCCTGGGTACTACTGTGGGTTCCCAGGTCTCAGTACCCCCACAGATCAGTGTGACCCTGGATGGTTCTGTACCCTACAGTCCTACCTGGCTCAGCCCTCAGCACCAGAGGGAGGAATGTGTGTCGCGGGTTAGTCTTTATTTCAAACAAATTAACTAACCACCAAATTTGATTTTACACAATTTACTGCTAGCAGTTTTTCCACTATAAAAAACTGTATTAATTTAAAATAAAAACACACTTGAATTTTTTTTCCATTTTATATTGAATAAGACTGGAGAATTTGTTGAAAGATTTTTTTTTATAATTTGATTTCCTAATTGACTGAAAAAAAAAATCCTTTATTCAGGCCAGTACTGCCCCCGAGGAAGCTCAGCTCCCACTGGATGTGATCCTGGTCAGTATTGTGACAGCAATATGATGTCAGCACCACGTGGTAACTGTTCCAGTGGCTACTACTGCACCACCAACTCTACCACAGCCACACCCACAGGAACAGGGGGTAAATATATTACATAACCAATTAACAGATTTACTGTTTACAGTATCAACCAATTGCAATTTAATAAAAACACCCATAGGGCCAGGTGATAAGTTTACTGCCTACAGTATCTACCAATAACATTATACATTTGTTAGGTTAAAAAATAGGAGACTGTTAATTCTAGAACACTTTTAAAATGTGCATGTAGTTGGAGTATTCCAGTTGATTAATTAGAATATTCAATGATACAGGTGACAGATGCCCCCCTGGCCACTACTGTGTGGAGGGAAGCTTTGTCGCTGAGCCCTGCCCCCCAGGATTCTTCCAGCCCAGCTACAGTGCCCAGAACCTGTCTTACTGTATATCCTGTACCTCAGGCTCCTACTGTAATGGCAGTGGACTCAGTGCTGTGGACGGACAGTGTGATGCAGGTTTGTTGTACAGGAATTTTATATAAGAATTAGTTTGTTAGAAAATGGCATTTTGCTCTAAAGTAGCAGTTCATTGATTTAAATCTTTAAATGTTGAATTTCTGTAAAAATAATAAATTTTATACAGTAAAAATTTCTGTTGTTCGTGAATTTTTGCATGTTATTCTGTATCGTTATTCATTTATTATGAAAGAATATAAATATATATTTTCCTTTTTTTGATTACTGCAGTGTAGAAAATACGATTTTTCTTTCAAAAAGTGTAGAAGAATTTTGAATCATTTTCAGGTTATTACTGCCCTACTGGCCAGACTGTTTGTAACCCCAGTGCCTATGAGTGCCCGGCTGGGTACATGTGTCCTGTGGGATCTAGTCTCTATCAGCTGTGTAGTGCTGGCTTCTACCAGGACGAGATCAGACAGGCTACCTGTAAGGAGTGTCCCGCTGGTTTCTACTGTGACAGCTCTGTAGGACCCATCACTAACTACACTACCTATGTCTGTCCTGAAGGTAAGCTGTCCTTTTAATGAATGTCAATTTAGTTTTGAATCAAAATAAAGAATTTTTTGAAAAAAATCAATAACTAGGTTAATCATGAGAGAACATCTTTAGATAATTGAGAATTTACAATTCTGTATCACAAATTGGTGCCATTTTAAAGAAATTTTTCAGAATTTCATTCCAAGGGAAAACTACATTGATTACAATCTTTAGGGCCTAGAGCTTGAAATTACACTTATTGTTTGTTCTGTATTAAGAATTGTAGAAAGAAGTTAGCTATTTGAAAACTTGTAATCTTTATTTTTATAGGTCATTACTGTCAGAATGGCACCAAGGTATCTACAGAATTCCCCTGCCCCAGTGGCACCTATAACAATGACACTGGACTGAGAGCTGACTCAGAGTGCTTCCCCTGCCTCGGGGGATACTACTGCCCCGCAGCCACTGTTAATCCCTACCTACCCTGTGGTGCTGGGTACTACTGCAGAACCGGAGCAAAAACAGCAGCCCCAATGCAGAATGCTGATGCCTATGAATGCCCTGTGGGACATTATTGTCCAGAACAGTCAACAGAGCCCACAAAGTGTCCAGCAGGAACTTACTCCAACACGACTAGATTGATGAACATGACAGACTGCACTCCCTGTACCAAAGGTAGGTGTTTCCTAATTATAAACAATTTACCTTAATAATGTAAAGGTCTTGTTTTCTTTAAAAGTTTTTTTGTTTTTAGTCAGAATTTAAATTTACAATTGATGAGAATGTTTTAAGATTATTCCGTATTTTTACAGGCTGGTACTGTGACAGCCTAGGACTAACTGCTCCTGTAGGACTGTGTTCTGCAGGCTTCTACTGTATAGCAGGATCAGATAACATGGCTCCTACCATCTGTCCCGCGGGCAAATACTGTCCTGAAGGTGAGTCAGTTATTCTGTGATATCAGTTCTGTTAGACAAATAAATATGAAATAACATTGCACAATTATTTTCCTAACAGAGTTCTTAATACAAAGTGCATTTTTGCATTTCACATATAAATGAAATATGAACGTGATGTCACACAGACAATGTTTGTATTTCAATACAAAAATGCAACTTCAATATAAATTTAGTACTACAGTATATTATGTTTCCCCACTTTATTTCACAGATATTATGTTTATATTTTCCAGGCACACATACCCCAATCAAGTGTCCATCTGGTACTTTCTCCAACACAACTCGCCTTAATTCCTCATCAGAGTGTACCAACTGTACAGCTGGATACTACTGCCAACAGGCGGGACTGACCACAGAGGAGGGTAACTGTACCCAGGGTTACTACTGCCCCACCGGCTCTACCAGTAGTATGGCTGTCATTTGTCCCATCGGGCTGGTGTGTCCAGAGGGTAGTGACCAGCCCAAGTCCTGTGCTCCAGGGTATTTTACCAACCAGACAGGACAATGGCAATGCAACATCTGCCCCAATGGGTCAGTTACAATTTTAATTTTTTATAAATCAGTTGAATATACTAGTTTTCTGAATCTTTAGATTCACTTCCATAAATTCCTTGAATAATATAAATTTTGGATTATGATTACAGATTTTACTGTCTGCCAGAGAATGTGACAGCTGGAATTCCAACCTCTGGTCACTTTGACTGTCCAGCTGGCTACTACTGTCCCAGTGGAACTGGAATGGACTGGAAACATTGTCCCAAAGGAACCTACAGTCAACAAACCAACTTGTTCCAGGTAGACTATAGAATTATTACTTGAAAGTAACTATCTAAAATCATTTTTCAAATTTCTTACATTATGATGAAAATGGCAGGTGTTAATTGAAATATTACATAGAGGTAAAACTTGGTAACAATTTAAACGTACTCAATATTTTTTGAAACGATAAAATCCTAAAACCTTTCTGTTTGAAAAAAATTAGGCAATAGGGATTTGCTGACCTTTGACCTGTTGTCATATTTAGGTGACCCAGTGTAAGGACTGTGATGGAGGCTACTACTGCTCAGTAGAGGGAGCCACTAACATGACCGGACCATGTGACCCAGGCTACTACTGTCAGTCAGGAGTGGACCAACCCAACCCTGACAACGCGGCCAACACCACAGCAAACAACACCTGTAACCTGCTTGGAGGTCATACAGGTAAATAAACAAAACAGGAAAAAATCAAACCATATCTAGGGTACATTGCCATAGATTATGAGAATTTGGTGAATTTAAAGGCATGACAGATTACTTTTCGAAACAGGTGCTCTGAAAGTACATGAGTTTTGTATGTGTAAATGTTTTGTTAGATTTGATTCATGATATTTCTTGCCTCCACAGGCTATGGAGACATCTGTCCCATGGGATACCATTGCCCTCTGGGAAGTGAGCTGCCAGTGGAGTGTCCAGCAGGAAAATATCAGAATGAAATTGGACAGAGTGTGTGTAAAACGTGTCCTGCAGGTAGGTCTAACTTAAGTCAACATATCATTTACGTTAGTTGAATGTTTTGCATGCCATGATCTGCAAAGGTTTGGAATTTATTTTAAATTGGCAACTAAATGTGTACATTTGTTCTTGCAAAATGTAAATATAATGGTTTCATTGAGGGAATTGCTGTCTTTGGTGTACAATGAATTAAATCTTTACAGGTTACTACTGCCTGGTGAACTCTACAGACTACAGTGACAAGCCCTGTCCCTCAGGCTACTACTGCCCTGCTGGTACACAGTCAGACACAGAAAATCCCTGCCCCGCTGGAACGTTTAATCCCGCCACGATGCAGACCAACTCCAGCGCATGTCTAAGCTGTACCCCGGGTACCTACTGTCAAACCACAGGGTTGTCTGCCCCTACAAACAACTGCAGGTACAAAATAGTTTCTTATACATGAAGGTGATAAAATTATCATTTCCTGCTGAAAAAATGACTGTAATTATATACCCAGGAACAAAAAAAAAAACAGACACCACTTCTAGTTGTTTAGTTGTTGTGAGGACAAAATACTGTAAAATCACATATTTTCGAGGGGTCAGATTTTTGTGGTTTGAAGAAAATGTATTGGTTCACGGGGATTTGAATTCCTGATTGAAGAATTGTTCAGTAGTAATACATGTGAAAAATTGCATTTCGTGGAAGATATAAATTTCGTGGGTCTCTTCATACCACGAAAACCACAAAAATTGACACACCCCCCCCCCCCCCCCCACGAAAATTAGTGATTTCACAGTACAGGCGTATTTGAAAACTATGAAATAGGCTGTTCTCTTTTGATGGTGTATAATATTAATCTTCTATAAATAATTCCAGCGCTGGCTACTACTGCTCTGGTGGTTCTGTGGCGACCATGCCCACTGATCCCACCCAGGGAGGAAAGTGTGTTAGGGGTCAGTATTGCCCAGAAGGAAGTCCAGCGGCCATAGAATGTCCAGGTGGGAAATACTGCTTCAGTGAGAGGCTAAGTGAACCAACTGGAAACTGTTCACAAGGTAAGAGAAGTAAACAGAAAAGATCCCAGACTTTAATTCTTGACATTGATGTGATAATCAATGAAGTTGATAAAGGAATCTGGTTAAAGGGAAATGTATGCATACCATATAAAGTGGAATTTGCAGTTAGACACAATTTTAGGGATTTGCCTTAAAAATTAGCACAGAATTTCATTATGTGGAATATTTCCTCAAGTGAACAAATACAAGATTTTTCACTGATTGATTTTATTTCTTTCCAGGGTACTACTGTAATGGAAGTACCATCCTGTCCTCTCCCCCTGATGGCTCTACTGGTGGTGGTTGTCCCCAGGGTCACTACTGTCCCACAGGTAGCAGCATCCCCACTCCCTGTCCCATAGGTTACTATCTGGATGTGATCCTCAGTAGTGTGGCCTCAGCCTGCAAGATCTGTAAACTCGGTGAGTGGCTCAAGATCCTCTGATATGTTTTCATTAGGTCACCTGAGTAAACTCAGGTGACCTATTGCTATCCGTTTTCGTCCGTCGTCGTGCGTCGTTCGTCGTGCGTTAACATTTGAACATTTTCAGCTTCTTCTCTGCAACCACTGAACCAATTTCAACCAAATTTGGTACAAAGCACTTATGGGTGAAGGGGAACAAAAATTGTGAATTTCATGATCCCTGCCCCCCTGGGGCCTGAGGGGTGGGGCCAAAACCACTAAAAGTAGTGCAATCTTTAAAAATCTTCTACTTTACTCCTGGACATCAAGCAGTCAAACTGTTTGCATGATTGTAATCAGCAATGAGTCCTCTATCAAAATTGTGAAATTCATGGCCCCAGGGTCAGGGGTTCTAGTGCTAGGGCGGGGCTAAATAAGTAGGTAGTGAAAATGCATTATTTCTTTGAAAATCTTCTTCTCTGCTCCTGGGTATTAAATAAACCAACTAAGTACATAGTTATGATGAGCAAGAGTGCCTCTACCAAAATTGTGAATTTTATGGCCCCAGGGTCAGGGGTTCTGGTGTTAGGGCGGGGCTCTATTGATTATATAGTGAAAATACATTAATTCTTTGAAAATCTTGTTCTCTGCTCCTGGGTATTAAATAAACTAACTAAGTACATAGTTATGATAAGCAAGAGTGTCTCTACCAAAATTGTGAATTTTATGGCCCCAGTGTCAGGGGTTCTTGTTTTAGGGTGGGGCTCTAATGATTATATAGTGAAATGTATGAATTCTTTGAACATCTTATCCTTTGCTCTTGGTTAATATGCTAATGATCTAATTACATATCTAAGGCCATGATTTATTTTATTTTCAGTTTTACAAACCCTCCGCTCAAGGTTTTGAACTTTTAGAAAAAAATAAAAAAAATTTTCTTTCTGATGTCAAATTTGAGTCGGGATCGAGATTTCAAATTTACGAACTCGCACTTCGGGTTTTTAGACCTGAAACGGCGGGTAAATAAAGCTAGATCCAAGAATTTAGCATGGTTTAGTGTAAAATTCATCGATAAGAGTGCCATTCAAAACGTTTCACCCGTTCAAAGGACAAATAAAATGCTGACGACTTTGTTGCACAATGACATGCTGGTGATATAATTATGTATTCGTTTCAAAAGTAACTGTAAATTACATGTATTTTCCTCCCCCAGGTTTTAAACTGCCCGTGGTAGCTTTTGCATATTGCCAGGGACATTGTTTAGGTCTCTATTATAGCTTACAGTCTAAGCATCATTCTTCAGAAAATGGTTGCTTATGCATCAGATGTAAGGAATAAAACTATGGGAGAAGTGAAGTCCATTTGAGGAAGAAATAAACAATAACATGAAGTGAAGAAATAAAAAAGAATTCAACTATTAAAAGGCAAGAATATACAAATATATGTAGTATCATTTGTATCAGCCAGAAAAATTATTTTACACTTAAAAAAATGTTGACCCTACTCCCCAATACTTCCTGTCTGTTTTATGATAGGAATTATGATTTTAGGCATCAAGTAAATTTTAGAACAATGTCTACACATTCACCTAACACATATTAAGAAAATGAAGATGTATTGAAAGACTTTTAAAGAATTGATTTTTTAAAATATATTTTGATCAACATCACAAAATTTATATAACTGGCCCAAACTGGCAGATGATGAAATAAGCAATTAAATGTTCTACTTTCCTATTTGTAAGCATTATGTGTCCAGTGGTAAGGAGCCTATTAGGATAGCATAAAAAAAGAATGTACAAATGTTAATAATTGATTTATCAAAAAAATTTATTTCCTTTTCCTTCGGGACTTTTTTATTCTCATGTTCATAACTCAAACCTAAACATAAAAAAAATGCTGGCCTTATAATGAAGAAAGGGTCCTCTTTCAAAATAGATAATTTCAGGGCTGCTGGGTCAGGGGTACCAAGGGGGTACTTTGACTAAAAATAAATTAATGCTTTGAAATCTGCCCTTTGATAAGCAATGGTGCCTCTTTCAAAATTCGTGAATTTCATGGCTTTTGGCTTAAAACACGAACCAAATACAATCGCTGGAAAGTTGTTACATGATACTCAGGTGACCTATAAGGCCCGTGGGCCTCTTGTTTTATTTTGAAAGAGGACCTTCATAATCAATGAATTGTTTTGGGAAACAATTGTTTTGGGAAACAAACATCTATTCATTGACTACTTCACATATATGTATTTTAATAAGTATAGTAGATTATTTTTCACTACAGGCATAGTTAAGATTAAGTTACAAATTAATGTGATTATATTTATCTATAAAAGTACACTTTCAGGCTCTCTTGGCAAGTTGAAATGTTTTATTTTGCAGGAAAGTACTGTGGCAGTGAAGGACTGCCTGACGTGTCTGGTCCATGTGACCCCGGCTACTACTGCCCCGCAGGTCAGGTCTCGGCCACTCCAGCTAATTACAGCTGTCAGCCAGGGTACTTCTGTGTGGGAGGAAAGTCAGCACCCGAGGCCTGCCCCTCAGGGACATACCAGGTAAAGATTTCAGTCTCCGGTCGAATATAGGCTGTAATAAAAGGTTTTATGTTTGGAAAGTAACTGTAAGTAACCTACTTTCTTGTTGTGAGCATCCTATGGCATGCATTGTTTTCATGTTGTATTATACCATAAGATAACATTGTACAAATATTAAAATTCAGGATGATCCAGTGATGTCCTCATGTAAGAGCTGCCCTGAGGGTTATTACTGTAATGCCACTTTCGGTCCAGTGGTCAACTACGCCAACACTGTGTGTCCTGAAGGATTCTACTGTCCTAATGGAACGGAGCACGCAGAACAATATCCATGTCCCAAGGGAACATTCAACAACAGAACAGGTATCTCCTTTAGACTTGCACTAAGTACTTCTTATACAAATTGAATATGAAAGAAAAGTTAAGTTGGTAAATGCATATAAATATGAATTCAGTTCCATTTCAAAATGTTTGAATGTCAAATACTCACTTCATACAGAAGATCTAAACACTGTTAAATTTGAATAATTTGGTGTAAATATCGTATTATATATTAAAATAAATTTCGTTTTATTTTTCTGTAGATATACAATAATATAATTGTGACATGTTTCAGGTCTGTCGAACTCCTCTGAGTGCTCAGCATGTGTGGGAGGCTGGGCCTGTGATGTGACAGGTCTGACCACGCCCCTCAGATTGTGTAATGGAGGCTACTACTGCAAGACTGGGGCAGATTCTACAACACCTGCACAGGGTAACACAGCAATATGTCTTCAGCATATACATTTATTCAATAAAAATTAGTTTATCTCACCAACTTTATTATCTGACAAAACAACTAGATACTGTCTATATCATGAGAATTCTATTAAATTTTACAATGTGAATTTTGTTTTCCCTAGCCCCATATGCTGACCAGTGTCCAGCTGCTTTCTACTGTCCGGAGGGAACAATTGACCCCATCCCTTGCCCCGAGGGAAGTTACAGCCCTGCCCCAGGACTGCAGGAGGAAAGCCAGTGTCTTAACTGTACTGGAGGGTACTTCTGTAATGAAACTGGTAAATATTTATTGACAAAACCTTTTTTAGTGTAATACTTTTATTGTTGTTGGATAATTAAGATTTTATCTGTATTTGACTTTAATTTCATAATCAAAGATAATCAGACATTTCTAAGTGAATGTTCATCTTCAAATTGCATTGCCATGAATCAGTTTTCTTATACATTTGTAATGAATAATAAAAACATTATGTTTGGACAATAGGATTAAAGTAATTACAAGAATATACAGTGTACATGTACTTCAACAATAAAACTACTTATGAATTTTCTGCCATGCAAAGAAATATTGAAACCCAGTTATCATTATTTTTTTACAGGTTTACTGACTGTTGTTGGTAAATGTCAGCCTGGATATTACTGCCCACCTGGGTCCAAGATCGCTACCGAGATCATCTGTACTGAGGGTTACTACTGCGGAGAGGGGACACAGAACCCCACCCCCTGTCCTAACGGTACCTACTCTAACATAACTGGACTGATGACCGCCGCGGACTGTTGGAACTGTACACCAGGATACTACTGTAATGGACAAGGGCTCACTGCAGTCTCAGGACCCTGTAAAGAAGGTATGGTACTGTGTAGTGTAAAGATATAATATAAAAATACAGACTGTTTCTGAAAAGTGTCAAAAAATTAACTGGCCTGAAAAAGGCAACACTTTAGCATTATCCTCTTTGTTTCTAAAAAAAAAAAAAGAATTAAGTTTTAAAATGAAAAAGATTAAAATTTATTTTCAACTAACATCTCAATATTAATGGTATTAATCATGAATTTTTTAATGGTTGTATTCCAGGTTACTATTGTCCCTCTGGATCTAGTTTGGAAACAGAGATCATTTGTCCAGCAGCCAAACACTGTCCAACAGGGAGCGATGTACCCCAGGACTGTCCAGCAGGGACTCATGCTGACCACGATGGAGCCGCATCCTGCACTGTCTGCCCAGAAGGTCAGTGTACAGTGGTTTGATTCTTGGGGTGGGGGGGGGGGGTGCTGGAAGAAGGCAAATTCTGATTTAAAACAAAAAATATACCTTTGTATGTAGAGTATGAAATTGACTTGACATTTCCATTTAAACCTACAGGATATTACTGTGTACCAGCTCTGACCGTGGCAGGAAATGCAGCTTCCTCCAAGACAGAATGTCCTGAGGGCTATTACTGTCCTAATGGTACTGGCTATGACTGGAAGTCCTGCCCCGCAGGAACCTACAGTAATGTGACCGGTCTTAGCAAGGATTCAGAATGTACACCATGCCCTGGAGGATACTATTGTCAAGGTAAGAAGGGGATTACTATCATGGTTAGGGCAAATCAAATCTTTAGCAACCTAAAGATCATGAAGAAAATTATTTCATACATGTATTCAAAGTAGGAAGTGGACTGTCTTAAATTTACAGGTGTGAATTTGACTATTAAGTGATTTGTAAGTGGATTGTCTTGATTTTTACAGGTGTGAATTTGACTACCCCCACTGGTATGTGTATGGATGGCTATTATTGTGTATCAGGAGTGGACAAAGCCAACCCTCTGATGCTGAATGACAGTCAGTGTCCTACAGGAACTGTCCACCCAATCATTGGTCACCAGTGTCCCACTGGTCACTACTGTCCAGAAGGTACAGAGTATCCCATTGGCTGCCCAGCTGGATCCTACCAAGATCTAAGCAATGAGAAGGCCTGTAAGATGTGTCCAGTTGGTTATTACTGCTATGCCAACACATCAGACTACTCACCATTCTTGTGTCCAGGAGGGTACTACTGTCCACTTAATACAACAGATCCACATGAACATCCATGTCCAGCGGGAACCTTCAACAATCTGACCACCCAGCACAGTGATGTTGCTTGTCAGCCCTGTACCCAGGGAATGTACTGCCAGGGGCCAGGGAATGCCTACCCCACTGGAAATTGTTCAGTCGGCTGGTACTGTACCAATGGGTCCTCTATCAGCACGGTAAGCTTAACAAGTGGTCTCTTTAACAATTTCTTTCAGAACTTCTGTATAATTTTTGTCAAGGTTTTAAAGCTTTGTTCTCTAATAGCTCCTCTGAGAAATAAGTCATATTAAAGCACCATGTATTTGTTTTTCACTGCAGCCAACAACCACTGGAGGCCAATGTCAACCAGGTTATTTCTGTCCAGAAGGATCATGGGAGATGACCAAGTGTACCCCTGGTAAATACTGCCAGACAGCAGGACTGGGTATTCCTACAGGAGACTGTGCAGCCGGCTATTACTGTCCCGAGGGGTCAACCTCTATACAACAAGTGGACTGTCCAGTAGGTCACTACTGTACCATGGGCAGTGGACTTCCAGAGCCTTGCCGAAATGGAACGTATGGTCCTATTATTCGCCTCCAGTCAGATGCCCAGTGTACGCCGTGTGATGGTGGTATGTACTGTAATGGTACAGGCCTCAGTGCTGTGAGTGGACCCTGTGACCCAGGATTTTACTGTCCCTCCGGTCAGTCTGTGCCTAACCCTTACGACTATCGCTGCCCCCCGGGACACTACTGCCTGACCAACACAAGTACCCCCATCAGGTGTGCCAGTGGATATTTCCAGAATGAATATGAAAAAGACTCATGCAAAATCTGTCCAGAAGGTATACTAAGAATACACACATACTTAAATTTCGGTTTTCAATATTTTCATGAGGATTTTATTCCACAAATATTACAAGCACAGAAAAATTTAGAATTAAAGTGAACATAATGTTCTTCAGTGTTACTTTTATTTTACTACTTTGATTTTTTTTTCATGACATTAAAACAAAACAAAAATTGGTTATAATATTTGTAATTTAAAATATTCTTTACACCTCAGGTTATTACTGTGACAACAGTGTGACTGCCGTGGGAGACCTGACTAACTACACCTGTCCTGAGGGTTACTACTGCCCCACCCAGACCGAGCGTTACAATCAGTACCCGTGTCCCCCAGGAACCTACAACAATAGAACAATGAGGGTCAATGAGACAGAGTGTCAGTGGTGTCCTCCCGGATATTACTGTCAGAGCTCAGGGTTACCTGCTCCTGAGGGACCTTGTTATGCAGGGTAGGTCTTATTAAGTCACATACCAGTGCATGCCTAGGGAAAAGTGGTAAAGCTTTACGACAAGATATATTATTAAAATTTTGTTTGAAGCTGTGTGTTGGGCCTAAGTGGTAAAGCTTTACTACAAGATATATTATAATTTTGTTTGAAGCTATATGTTGGGCCTAACTTACTCTAAACAAATGATATAGGATTATGTTTTCGAATTGGAATATGAAAGGCTGAAAATTGTATTTACAAGCCTACTTCAGACATGTGATGGCTTTAACTTTTGTCCATGTTTTCATAGGTACTACTGTCTTGGTAACAACACAGAGCCAAATCCATCAGCCTACATCTGTCCTATTGGTAACTACTGCCCCGAGGGAAGCTACCTCCCCACCCCCTGCCCCTCCGGCACAATGGCGGTCAATACAGGAAACGTCAATGTCACAAACTGTGAGATCTGTAGCCCTGGGAGATACTGTACCACCAACAGCTCAAAGAATGGTAACTTCTACAGCACCTCTGAAAGATGATTTTGATTTGTTTAAATATTTTGTGTAGTAAAACATTAGAAAGGCTGTTTTAAAATTCCTGATTGTTTTAATAGTTTATCTTATATTTGAATTATAATGTATTTACATTGTTTACAATTTATAAATTTTTTTTTCAGGAGTGAGCTTGCCCTGCAGTGCTGGGTATATCTGTCTACAGGGTTCAGACATTTCTAACCCCGCTGATAATGTCAAAGGTTACATCTGTCCTGTAGGTCACTACTGCTTAGAGGGGGCTGTCAAGGAAACTAAGTGTGACATTGGAACTTACGGACCAACGGAGGGACTGGGTAAGAGGCATTAAGTACATAGGCTGATGCTGTCAGTAGCATTTTGTTGGAAACATTAAAAACACTGTGTTATAGTGCATCAAAATTACAGTTTGAGTTTTAATATCTGATTATTTCCAGGTGCTTGTTTAACCTGTCCTGCTGGTAGAACCTGTCCAAACCAAGGAATGAATGACACACTTCCCTGTCCTGCTGGGTACTACTGCACCAATGGAACTTCAGGCAATGGGGCACCTTGTCCTTTAGGTTAGTAGGATAGGGCAGGGTAAACTTATCCACCCTGAAATGACAAGATTTTCAGTTTGGCTCGCCCAAATAGCTGGTTTAATATTTTAAATCTTTATTAGACCTTCAAAACATATTTTCCTGTGGACATGTTCAAATTGCAGGATGTCAAAATATTAATTTTCACCTTAAATATTAGTAATAATCTTCATCGAACATTTTACAACTTTCTGATCATAATATCGTTTTCTTGCTAGACAGCCATGTTGGGTGTCCACTGTAATATAACACCTGATTAATTCAGTCCAGGGTTATTTGACCCTATTTATTTAGGCCTTCATGGCAAGTGAAAATTTTTTATATGCACAGTGCTTATATTTTTTTTGAAAGACATCTTTACATTCCAAAAATGTATTAAAATAAATTGGAAAATTTAAAAAAATGGAAACGGGCGACCTGTGATCATACCAAGGTTGCTTGGGGTAATGCTAATTTTAATAGGGGTAAACTTATATGCATTGCAATGCATTAGGAATTAGGGATGTCAAAATATTAAAGGTAATGCGATAGTAATGTGCATTTTTTATATAGTGATGCCTAATTAAAATAAATTGGAAAATTTGCATAAACATACATGTAATGGTAATGGTAATGCATTACTTCATAAAATCAAGTGTAATGCTGGCATAACATAGTATTACAAAGCATTATTTTGTATGTACCTATTTTAAGAAAATAATATGGATATGGATAAGGGAAATAATTGTTTAAGTTATTATTTTTTTATCATTTATTTTTTTTAATATTTTTTTTTGCAAATTATGAAATTAAATTAAAAGTTAACCTATTTAAATAAAATTTCTGTATCTTTTTATTCTGTTAAAAGTCTGTACACTACTACACTTTCCTTACATTTAATTTTTCAAACTTATTTCAGATAAGAATTGTTTTCAAAGAATTATATAAAAAGTTTTAGAAGAACTTTAAAAAAAAATCACATATTACACTAATTAATGTACAGTGTAAACTGATAATTGCCACCTTTTGAATAGTAGAGTGTCATCAAAACACACTAAGCCTCTGGGTTATGTAACAATTAAAACAATGCATTGTTTGGAGAAATGCACCAAATTACCAGTCCCTTTCTCCTGAATGTGTTTCTAAAACATTAATAATTAAGCTGGTCTAGCTTGTACTGACCCTGAAAATTTCATTGTACCAAAGAAAATAGAAGACATTCGGGCATTATATGATTAGCATATCAAAATGTACATCCTGTCTACTTTTTCAAAAAGTTTGTCAATGCATTTTTATTTATAAGGTACTAATCAAAATAGCATATATGTTTTATTATTAGATATTTAGGCAGCTAGGAGTTAAAGTGCCCCAAAACTTAAATTGCTTCATCACATCAATAGTTAAACAAAAAGGGGATATTGTACAACTGTTGTATAACTGACAATTTAAAAGTTTGAACTTTCTGTGAATGTAAGTTATTGACAATGTAATATATACAACCAGAAATCAAATTTGAATTATTATTTATCATGTTTAGTTTTGAAGGGGGTGGATATACATACTTATGAAAAAAAACCCGAAAAGTTTGGTATGAATTTCTAAGTTTAAAAAACCCCAAAAGTAATGATAATGGTAATGCATTACTTTACTAAAGTAATGGTAATATAATGCATTACTTTAAGAAAATAGTGTAATGGAAATCATAATTTAATGCCCAAATTGTTGAAGTAATAGTAATGTAATGCATTACTTTACAATGTAATTCGCCCCAAGCCTGAAACACACACTACCCACACCTCCGATGAAAATGTTAAATACTGTTTGTTCAATTCATGATTGCCCAAGCTATGTATCAAAATGTCTTTTATGTAAGATTATTGTGTTAATAATTATCGAACTTTAAAACTTCACGGCTATGCAAATATTGTGTGTTCTTAAGCATTTGAATTTCCTAGATTTTATAAATATAATTGGTATAAGTCAATTAAATTATTTTCATAGCCCAGTATAGCGTTGCATAATTTACTACGTACAAAAACAAAAAAATTCAGTGAATGAGAAATAATTATCGCGGTATGTAATTACTGTATTTTCCATAAGTGCAATGACGAAAATTATTTTTATACTGTGACTGTGTTTGAGCTCTTATTCGTCTGAGGACATACATTATACAGCTGTACAGTTTGAGGAAGGACCCTTTTGAGGAAGGACCTTTTAAAATTTTGAGATGGAAATTTCATTATCACCCCTTTTTCTTGCATTTATTTAATATTCGAATGTTGTTTCATTATTCGATAGTCGGTCCATTCGACTGACAGTCGAATAGTCGACTAATCGTTGACATCCCTAGTAGGAATGTACCAAAAAATGCTGTTAGTGTGCTAAGAAATTTTGAATAGGAGATTCTATTTTTACTGAATCTATGATATTAAGATGAACGAAAATAAGTGAAGACCTTTATTTTACATTGTACAAGTCCAAAACCCCCTTTTTCTTGAGTTTGCTGTTATGTTGTTTTTCTGTATTTTCCAGGTACCTACAACCCTCATGAGCAGCTGGTGTATGAGACGGATTGTCTGCCCTGTAGCCCGGGTCAGTTCTGTAATGAGACTGGACTGTCTGCCACATCTGGACCCTGCAGTGCTGGCTTCCTATGTGTGGGTAACGCGACCACAGCCACCCCTAACGACGGAACCAACGGACCGTGTCCCGTGGGTCATTACTGTCTCTCTGGTACGTAGAGATTGTATTGACTTCATTGTCTATTGTGATTTATTATGCAGATTATCATTTTTCTGTCATCTCTCCATTGTTAGAAGAAGATTAGTAACAGTAATTTTCCAGAATTTGAAAAGCAACATGTTTGAATTCTCAAATTTAATAAAAGATGTTTCGACATTTTGTGTCCATGCAGGCACCACAACTGCTGAGCCTTGTCCAAGGGGAACCTACAGGAACCAGACAGGGGCTGGTAATGAAACCGACTGCTGGCCATGTCAGGGAGGTCACTACTGCGGCTCCACCGGAATGACAGGGCCAACTGACCTCTGTTCAGCTCGCTACTACTGTCCAGACTCGGCTAAGATTGATTCAAACACTCCAACCACTCATGTCTGTCCAGCGGGATTCTACTGCCCCAGAGGAACAGCTGATCCTATTGGATGTGACCCAGGTTTGAGATTGGATTACTTTTGAAATTTTTGAATGAATACTGTATACAGGGAAATTTTCGCCCCCGTTTTATTTTCGCCCTTTTCGCCCTTACCTCATTAAGGCGAATTTAAAAAGGGGTGAATTAAAAAAATTCAGTATAGTTTCTTAAACAACACTGCGATTGTGCGAATTTAAAACGGGGCAAATTTGTTTTACAGTGTGAAAGGGCGAAAATAACCCTGTATACAGTATTTTGGATATGCATGTATTTAAAGTGGAGAAAGTTTAATGTATGCATAAACAGTCATTTTGATATAAAAAAAAATGATTAGAAATGATTTTAAAAATTGAAAATTCAAATTACATTTTTACCATATTGTGTAAATAATAATTTTAAAATTATTCTTTGAAGGTTATGTTTTCAAAGATATGTTGAAATTTTCTTGCACATTAGGAACCTACCAGTCAATGACAGGAGAAGAAGCCTGTTTACCATGTCCCACTGGATTCCAGTGTACGGGTAACACCAGTGCCCCTATCCCGTGCCCAGCCTACTCCTACTGTCCTGGTAATACATCTGATCCATTCCTCTGTGAGAATGGGACATACACCACTGACACCACGACTGGACTCGAGTTTGCCTCAGACTGCTCAGCATGCCCATCAGGTAAAAAAAAAAGTAAAACAGAAACATCTTTTTCTAAAAATTCTTTTTAATAGATAGAGATGTGGAATTCACAAGCAAGGTCTGTCCTGATATCTTGTTTAGTTTTATTATGCTGTTTGAATATTGAGAACAAATGCAGGGTAATACATATACATGTATATGCAATGTATATGTTATTGTACAGGTGTATACTGTCGGGGAGGTAAGATCGCTGGTAACTGTTCCGCTGGGTACCTGTGTGTGGGAGGACAGGACCGTCCCGACCCCCCAGATGCTCTTTGTCCATACGGATACTACTGTCCAGAGGGTGAGTCATTTCATAGTTTTGTCTTCAGTTGAACTTTAGATCACATTTTAACTCCTGCATTGTTTCTTTTGAATGAATTTTTCAAAAAAAGGGCTTGAAACAAATTTAAAATCTTTTCAACAGGTACCACCAGCCCACAATCCTGTCCCCCACAGAGTTTCATTGATAAGACGGGAGCGATGAGTGCTGGAGAATGTGGCAGCTGTCCGGGTGGCCGTCTGTGTCCCGGGGGTCCCACCTCCATCCCATGTTACGCAGGATCCTATTGTCTGGAGGGTGACGCAGGAAATCCCTACCCCTGTCCAGTTCTGACGTACAATGACATGGAGGGGGCCAATTCCAGTGCCTCCTGTCTGCCCTGCCCTGGAGGCTACATGTGTCCCGTTGCCAATCTCACAACTTACACTCTGTATCCCTGTCCTGTTGGAATGTATTGTCCGAACGCCACGAGCATTGCTTATGAATGTCCAGTGGGAACATACAGGTAAGAGCCTTAGAACTTTTATAAAGAGATTCTCTGACCATTTTGAACAATTGTTTCATTCAAGAATTTAAGTCACTTGTTTACAATTTAAAAAATATAGAATCTGTTTGACCTAGTCCAAAGTAACCTATTTTCTAGAATGCAATTATAATGCAATGTAATTAAGAATCATACCAATGTCTATTATAGAGATACCCAGAGTGCTGCCAGTATTGATGACTGCCATCTCTGTCCAGCTGGATTCAAGTGTCCAGATGCCAATATGACTTACTCTGGAATTCAGTGTCAGACTGGAAACTACTGCCCTGAGGGGTCACACAATGAGACCATTTGTCAGGCCGGTCAGTTACAGTACACATAGTTATATTAAAAAATCATGAAGTTAATGTGTATTTGAGATGGTGAGGGGGAAATTAAGTTCATTATATAAAATAATCTTGTGTATTGTTTTAGGATACTACTGTAACAGATCCATGTCCCAGGTGCCTTGTCCCTATGGTTACTACTGTCCTGAGGGGTCAGCCACACCCATCCGGTGTCCCCAGGGTCACTACTGTGGTAAACTAGATGACTGCAACATGACAGATGCAGGTTAGTGAATGTAATACAAGAGAGATTACTGACAATTCAGAAAAAAGGTTAATGAAATGTTGGAAAAGGTACTCAGTTGTTTTTAAATTTCATCATAAATATTGAATGGCAACAATTCAGAGTTGAATCCTTGAGGTAACCAGGATTACCTTTAATGTATTGGAAATGTTTATATAATATATACGTCTGAGTACTTGACAGTCTATTCCACATTGAAGGTGCCATAGAGCCAGTAAAGTGTCCCCTCGGATACAAGGAGTATGATGGATCCCCCAGAGCCACCTTTAACGACACCTGTGAGCCGTGTCCACCTGGAACATTCGGAGCTGATCCTAACAGAGCTGTGTGTGAGACGTGTAGAGCTGGAACTGTTTGTATGGCCCTGGCTACATCTGACCAACCTGTGGCTAATGACTCCTCCTTAGCCTGGGCTTTTGGCTTCAATTCGACCAACTCCTATATCTGTCCTCAAGGTGAGTTTACTTATGTGTTACATATATTGAGTGAGTTCGTTCTGTTCTGAAGCCAAGAGTTTATTTTGGACTTTGTTAGAAAGGTCTACTACCTGTACATTAGTCTTTAATTTTTTTTCTTAATACAAGTTTAGAAGTGTTAGAAAATTTTAAAGCATTAATATTTTGTCATATATATTTAGGTAAATGTTCTTTAATTATTCCAATGAAAACTATAAATAAAATAAATGATCTTAGTTTATTCCATGGATTCTTTATTTATACTAATCCTGTGATTGTACTTATAGGTTACTACTGCCCAGCTGGAAGTTCAGAGCCGACACCTTGTCCTCAGGGTCGTTATAACCCTAACCTGGCTGGAGGCAGTATTGCTGATTGTCCTCAGTGTCCAATTGACCACTTTAACCACCTGACTGGTCAAAAGGGCTGCTTCTCCTGTGGAGGAGAGGCCTATCAGGACTCGGTGGGGCAGCCTACCTGTAAATGTATGGGGGCGGGCAGAGATTTCCAGGTAAGAAGGCCTTAATTGTCAATTTACAAGCCTAAAGAATGAACAATTGCAAACTATGAAATTTTATCAGGGAAAATGTTTTTTAGGGGAGAAAATATATGTACTAATAAGTGTTGATATTGTAGGAAAGTGATCGTCAATGTCCATGTGCAGCTGGCTTCCTTGAGTTGGCAGACAATACAGACTGTGTTAAGAAGGTGTACGACCTTTGTAAGGAGGGCACCACACGCGCTCAGAATGGCCAATGTCTGACTGATGCTGAATGGGAGAATTACTGCAAGAACCAGGTCAAATAGAGATGCTTTTTCCCCTCAAAACCATTATTTTTTTTATGTTTCAGTATATATCAAAGTTTTATTTGTTCTGGAGCAATTTATTTTATGTACTGTACCTTTATCTTACAGGTGTGTAAAGAATATGTGAGCTTTGACCGACTGATGGGAATGTGTCTATGTAAGACTGATGACCTTGAAGAACTCTGTAACCTTGAATGTAGAATAGCCCAGAGATACCAAGTGTCATTCAAGTGTGCTGAACCCCCACTGGAGCCTCACATTATCCTCAGAGACAAGAACAACACTATTATGGTAATATTAAAGTTCAACTGGAATTTTTTTTCTTTTTGTACAAAGAAAAATACCTGAAAGTTGATTCAAAGGATATATAACTTTATTTCTAAGTACATTCAAACTCTATCATGGATTGCAGTAATCTGCAAAATTACAGTAAAATAAAATGTATTTTGATATAATTTTTTTTTTGTAATTACAGAAAGAATATGCTGTGAGTGGACTCCTTAAAATGATAAACGCCCGCAATGCCTTAACAGCAGAGCAGTGTAGCAGCAGAGATAATTCAGACTACCCAATACACATCATAGAAATGACCGACAGTGGATTCCTTGGAGTGTACAACCCAGATCCTACCCAACTACTGGGAATGTTAGATTCTCACATCAAGGGAACCATCACTGGCAACATTACGGCCGACAGCAACATTAACGCCATCTACACCGGTCGCCGACGTCTGCTGGCGACGTCCACCAATAACGGCTCGCTGTTCTCTGGAATCGAGAATCCAGTGGTCTGTCTGACTTACGGAGAGTACATGTTATTCTCTGTCAGCAACACACTGTACCCTGTCTATGATGTGTAAGTTATCAATAAAAGGGCACTTAAGATTTTATTAAGCATCTCTTAAAAATGTGGTCAGAAAACAAAATATTTTCATTTTATCAGTAGCAACTTTTCATGCATACAGAACATTGTATGAAGTATAAAAATATTTGTAAAATAATTTTAAATTTTTTTTTTTTTTGCTTGAAGGAACAACCTGTTTAACACGAATGACCAGTTTGATTATGGAGGATTTAGGACTTTGGTGGAAGCTATGACTCAGACCACTTCTACAGCTTCTCTGTTCTCTTACCAGTTCAAGGACCCTGGAATATATGTCTTCTCTCTAAGCACGGATGCCAACAAGAAAATGGTCAGTAATAACAACTGTTTTAACTCTAAATTCTAAAATAAATGGAATTTGTACCAAAAAAAAAAAAGATATCTCCCCCATATTCATTTATATGTGGTGAAAGATATTCAGAGAATACTTTCCTATGTGTTCCATTTTCTGAAGAATTTTTTGTTGTTGCAGTATATACGAGTGATGGCCCAGGGAGCCCAGTGTGCTGAGAATGGTCCATTTTTCCCTCCCACCTCTGGTTACATCATACAGAACGGAATCACAGTCGCCTCAGACATTTTGAAAACCCCAGACTGGGAGATCATCTTTATTCTGCTGGGTACAGCCTTTATAGCCATGGTCTTCATGTTACTGGCTCTGGTAGGTGAACATGTTGACATGCTGGAAATTTTCATTATAAGTTTTCTAGAACAATCTAAAGTTTTTACATCTAAGCTTTTTGAAATTCTTTTCCAAAAGAATGATTTTATCTTTTTAACATTCATTGATGATAAATCTGTGGTCTAAAGTTGTTAAATTTTTGTTTCTAAAAAAATAATCAGATATTTGCTATACATATGGTGTAATGAAATAATTAATTGCTGGGCTATGATGAGAGTTCAACTTTTGTTTTGTAGGTTTTATTCAGGAAGTATGGCTGGTCTAAGAACTCCTACCTGACTCCGTTCTACCGAGCCCTGACCAGGTTCTATAACTTTGATGACTACTCCAGTAAAGGCTCTGCTGTACGACCCGCCAAGAAATATCACAGAAACATGCACGCTATCACCGCCGGCGGACGAAGTGACAGTGACTCCGATCTCGGAGGAATACTCGATGGTTAGTTTACGTTAGAGTTGTATTGCACAATTATGGGCTTTTGCACTCTTATGTTTTAAATATAATCACTGTTTCTGTATTGAATTATTGGTAGAGATGATAAAAAGATAATTTTTAGGAGAGTATTTTAAATGAAATTTTAATTTACTGCAGCTAATACCATAGAGACAAGGAATGATGAATTCTGGGATTACGACAAGCAGATTGACCTGGAGGCATTTAATTGTCGTACCCTGTATGACACACTGTCCAAACAATCTCGTACTGTTACCAATACCATTGGCAAACACAAAGATGAGGTCAGATACACCTTCATTGCTAATTTAGAAGAAATAAAAATGAATCTATTTATTTCAAATTTCATCGTGTAAATGCTCGTAAAGTTTGATTTCTGTGTGTTTTTAAATTTCTACATGATTTTGCTTTTTTAACAGACAAAACAAATGTACAACAGAATAGCCAATCAGACAGAGTCTCTAAAAGGGTTATGGGCCGCAAAAATGAACTTGAAAGGAAAAGCCTCAATGGCTACTGATGAGGACCTCGTCTGCTATGAAAACAAACTGGAGGCTTTAGAAATTGAGCTGGAAAGAAGGAGAGACATTGGTCGTAGGTTTGAAGCCATTCTGAACAAAGAAAGAGAACTCATGATGGAAGATGAATATGGAAGAGAGAAACACCAGGCAAGTTATATTTGTGTTTTCTTCCTAAATATGATCAGTGATTTTTCTTCTCATAAGTTTTGAGATGATGGAAGTCATGTTTGATTTAATTTTATTTCAGGTTGCCTATCAATCCTGTCTGAGAGAAGCTTCCAGAAATTTAACTGAGCATGTAGAAAATCTACAGCATGGTAAACTGACCAGGAATGGAGAGTTTGATATGGCTGCTCATCGTTCAGTGGGCTCAAGAGTCTCGTTGTTACTGCATAAGATGTCAAGTGAAATCACAGCAGAGTGTCAGAGGATTGGGGCCTGGGGTGTCCTTGGACAAGGCACAGGAGGTCAGCTGGTCAAGTCAGGAAAGAACATGCCAATGAAGCGTGAAGAGTTGATTGGTCCAGACTTGAGCGTCAGAGCTTCAGACCTGATCAGTCAGGATGCCACCTCGGGACTCATTCGACCCAAACCTGGTACAAAAATGATTCTGGCTAATGGCACGCTGACTGATGTTCCCGCTGACCATTTCGTTCATCCCCAGACTGGACATGTACTGCCCATCCAAGGCAATGTGGCCTTTGACCCTGTTACTTCCCGACTAGTCTTTGTCTCGGATTCAGCTACAGGTAAAAGCAGAAAACACTTGCAGTACAACCAATAGTTTATAACAATAGAGAAAATTAAAAATTTGATCAAAGCTTGTCTTATTCAAAATAATATTTCATGGTTAATTTTTCTTTAAAGGAGAAGCTGCAAGGGCAGATGAACCATTTATTCCATTCATTCCCTATCCTGTCCACCCACAAAACAACCAGCCAATCAAAACCAAGCTTCGCCCAATGGAACACAAGAGTGACTTGCGATACGGTGCCCCGATGAATGACCCAGTGACTGGACTTCATGTACCCATCATGGGTGTCACCATGCACCCACAGACAGGGGCACTCCTCCCAATAGGTGGTACCCACATTGACCCCGTCACAGGAATGCATACTCCCATAGAAGTAGGTTCTCTGATGGTGGATCCAAACAGTGAACAACCTGTACCAATCCTGGCTGTAACGCTTGACCCAGAAACAGGTGAATTTTATAATACTAAGATGTTAATAAACATGAAAAAAAAACATGCATTGAAATATATTGTAATTACGAAGATTATAAATGAAAAGACAATAAAAGTTATAACCAAAAAATATGAAGATACAGATAAAGATTGTATTAAATGCTTTCAGGTGACATTGTCCCTGTGGGAGGAACAAAACCTGGTAGTCGACACAACCTTCCCATCATTCCTGGGGACACGTTTGTGGAACCTCTGAGTGGTAAACTGGTGAGAGTTCAGAGTGGATATTTACTGGATGCCAACGTGCTGCCCTCTGGTGGAGGTTTCCAGGCTCTGCTGGACTCAAGTGTGCTGGCTTGTGAGGCTCGAGTCATAGATACTCTGAGAGAACTCAAGGATGCTCTTGTTGGTAAGACTGATATGCTCACAGTACAGTGGATTCCATTTAATCTGATAGCGGTTAAACGAATATTTCGGCTAATCTGATACAATATCAGAGCACAAAACCATTTCTTATATATTTATTAATAATTTCACCTGATATTCTGATAGGAAAATATCGGATTTTCGTTTTATCTGATACAAAAATTTCGCCTATCATAGTGATTTTCATAATAATTGTCTTGTTCACACCTCTACCTTCCGTATGTAAATCCTTTGTTTACACAAGTTTGACACTTTCACTCAAATTACGACAATGAGGGGATTAGTCACGGCTGAACGCATGCCAGCACCTTACCTGTGTTAACAGTGGGCACAGTAGATCGATATGTTTTGATAACAATAGTGATGACCGGCTTTGGTGTTAATTCTGATCATTGATAATTGGCTTGTGTGCAATTTTGTTCGGCATGAAATTTTAATTATTGAACTGTTCAGTTTGCGAATGACACTTCGCTTGGACATTAAATTAAAATTATCAGAATTAGACCGTCTATTAAATGGTAGCGCTTGGTCATTTATTTGAATATGTGTTCACTTTTAAGTGCAATTTTAAGAATTAAAATCACAAGCACCCCGTATAAATATACGTCTGAAAATTAAATTCATCATTCTCACCATGGCTCTGAAGAGGAAAAGAACAGATCTCTCCCTGGCAGACAAGTATGAAGCGGTTAAACTTCTTGAGCAGAAAGTCCCCCAAACAGAAATTGCCAAGAAGTTAGGTTGTTCACAACCTCAGATTAGCGCTATTTCAAAAAATAAAGAAACGATACGAAAAGATTACGAAACTAGCGCTAATCCAGAAAGAAAAAGACAAAGGTCTGGGAAGGCACCGACAGTTGAGGGGGCCCTTACAGAATGGTTCACAAAGGCCCGCACCAAAGATCTCCCCGTCACCAGCGCAGTCCTAACAGAAAAGGCAGAAGACCTGGCAGCGAGAATGAACGTCGATTTCACCGCAACGACTGGCTGGCTGTCCCGATGGAAGCAACGAAATAACATCAGCTACAAGAAGATACACGGAGAAAAGAAGGACGCCAACACAGACGCAGCCGATCGCTGGATAACAGATGTCCTACCACAGCTGATGAAAGATTACGAGGCACAGAACATCTACAACGCCGATGAAACGGGGATTTATTACAGAGCACTTCCTGATGGAACGTTGACTTTCAAGACAGATAAATTGGCTGGCTCCAAAAAGGCAAAGGACAGAGTGACAGCGCTAGTGACAGTGAACATGACCGGAACAGACAAGCGTCGACTGCTGGTGATCGGCAAAAGCAAAGACCCAAGGTGTTTCCGCGGGAAGAAAAGTCTACCGGTGATCTACAAGAGTTCCGGAAATGCCTGGATGACTGGTGACTTGTTCAAGCAGTGGCTGTCGGATTTCAACAGAGACATGGTACGACATGTTGTTCTTAGTTGTAGTGCTTTGAAATCTGATGTGCTTGTCAATATGTTTATGCTCTATTATGTGCTCTATTATGTGCTTGAAAATGATATAACGTACAAATAAAGATGAAACAATAAACGTTTTTTTTTTTTATTTATTGATCAGCAATCCGGAAAAAAATGGTTTACGTAATATAGTTATGTATTCAATCAACTTCCGTTTTCCAAAATGGATGCCATCAACGAATGGGGACACGGACTACCAATTATTTTGCTATACATTCCTTTATAACATAAAAAATCATTAAAAAAAATTCACCGCCTCAACTCACCTGAAATTTGGCACAGAGCTAGATCAATCCAAGGCAAAAAATATTCTAAAATCTCAGAAAATTCTGTAGTCTACAAGCCTTGCTATGGCACTGCAATTAACCCCTACCCTGCATATTTCCATTTCCCTTTGAGAAACAGGTAAACAATGGCCTCTTTACACCCTTTCTACTACGCACTAAATAGCAAAATTCCCATTATTCTTAATTTTATAATTTTTTTCAGACCCTCTCATTTCCATCTTTGCCCTAAAATAACCCCATTCCACTCCATAAACACCCCGAAGAATTTTTAAGAAAAAACCTCTATTTTTAAACTGGAACTACTTGAGTGGTCAATGAAATAGGGGTAAAATTAGTAGTCTGTAACCTGATAGGACACAGACTACCAATTATTTTGCTATACATTCCTTTATAACATAAAAAATCATTAAAAAAAATTCACCGCCTCAACTCACCTGAAATTTGGCACAGAGCTAGATCAATCCAAGGCAAAAAATATTCTAAAATCTCAGAAAATTCTGTAGTCTACAAGCCTTGCTATGGCACTGCAATTAACCCCTACCCTGCATATTTCCATTTCCCTTTGAGAAACAGGTAAACAATGGCCTCTTTACACCCTTTCTACTACGCACTAAATAGCAAAATTCCCATTATTCTTAATTTTATAATTTTTTTCAGACCCTCTCATTTCCATCTTTGCCCTAAAATAACCCCATTCCACCCCATATACACCTCCAAGATTTTTTAAGAAAAAACCTCTATTTTTAATCTGGAACTCTTTGCGTGGTCAATGAAATAGGGGTAAAATTAGTATCCTGTAACCTAATAAAGACACTAACCTTCTTTGATTTTGATGAAAATTGGCACAGAATCTTCTAAAGCCATACTACAGACCCCTCTGAAGTCTCATTGGATTTGTCATCTGAACAGCAGAGTTATGGCCCTTTTAAGTGATGACTGGATCTCCTGAAATCAGAGGATGAAATGAGCATCAGACACACAATGCACAAATTTGAAATACTCACATATCACATATGTTACAATAAATTTCTTACCAATTATTTTTTTCTATAATATTAATATCCCCTCTACTTAATTCTGATAACAACTTTGATCAATTATGCAGATAAATATTCTTAAGATTTTTTTGAAAAAATACCCCCAAATATGGTGAAATTTCTTAAAAACTGCCCTATATAAAATATTAATCAATAGAAATTTACAAAATAAAAATTATTAAAAAATTCTACATTATATTGGCTATAAAAAACAACAGTTAAAGATAATACAAAGAGATTAATCCCTTTGTTGTGAGCAGATAAGCAAACATGACCACAGCAGCCAATATCAGGAAGTGGCACTTACAGTCATGCTGGATTATCCCTGGTCACATTAAAAATGTCATGGATATATACAAGATGCCATCCTAAGAATAATCAAACATTAAGCACTATAAATATGGCTGAAATAAGAGAAACCAAGGCATCATTGCCTGAATCTGCAAGAATAAGTAGTATTCTACTCACCATCATGTTTAAGAAAAATATGGTCCCCTGGAACAAAGGGAAGCAACTCTGCAAGAGGAAGCTCCCAAGGCAAGGAGGATTTCATCAAGGAAATAGCCACGGCTTCAAGACGGAAAAACAGTCAAATTCTGGTCTCAGATCATTTGTCAGGCTGAATTCAACAGATCATGCCCTGGTCACCAAATCAAGTCTCGACAGCCATTCATACCAAACTCCAGACTGCGACGGTGAGAGTGGATCAACCTGCATTCTGCGGCCAAGTCCATCAAACTGCAAAAAACAAATACCAAAGAGTAGCGAATACTTAGGCGGTCGACGTATAGTGGACGAAGAGAAGATGATGGAGATGATTAACCAAACCATACAACTTCATCAGTCTACCACTTGTACCGCACCGAACATTACTGTGCACTACTCAAAAAAAGTAGGAATTTCCTGGAAATACTCACTGACTTGTGTTAATTGCCAGTTCAACTCACCCGAGTTTGCCCTGTACCAAGAAATTCATCAAGAAGGTCCTGGACGCAAAGCATCAGCATCAAACATGGCCCTGGCATATGCCCTTCAGGACACTTCACTAGGAGCTGAGAAAGTTATAGAATTCCTTAGCTGCATGGACATCCCACCTCCCACTAAGGCCTCTCTCCAGAAGCTCCTGTTCAAAATAAGTAAAAATATTACAAAGCTAAACAAAGAAGATATGCATCAGAAGATACAGAAAGTAAAACAGATCAACAGGACCCGAGGCCATCCAGAGAATGTCATAAACATCTCAACAGATGCCCGTTACAACAGTAACATCATGTTCAGCCGTAAGACTCCTGGACAGAATGCCAGTCAAGCCTTTTCCCTGGCCGTTGAAACCAACACTGATAGAAAATACATACTTGCCTGTGCTATGCAAAACAAACTCTGCTGGACAGGTGCATGGCTAAGGGGCAAAGGAATGGAAGTGGATTGTCCTGGTGGTCATCCAGAGTGTACGTCCAATCTACCACGGGCAGCACCATTTTCAGAGTACGAGATGGGGAAGGACATCGGCACACAGCTCGCACTACAAGATGTATTAGTCCGGTATGTTACCACAGACGGCGACGCCCAAGGTGCCAAAGGAGTGGACGAAGCCATGCGAGCTCTACATCCCCTATGGAAAGTAGAGCGCCTTGCTGACCCCGTCCATCTTGGGCAGTCACAGTTCCGTGCCAGCAACCGAGCAGTTTACAGTGATGCAATGTTCCATACAAAGACCAAAGAAAAGAAGAAAGAGCTACAGAGAGTATTCAGCAATGATCTAAAGTCAAGATGTGCTTTGATAGTTAAAGAACTGTTTACCAGATTTAACCGAGACCTACAGAAGATAAGTGAATTCTTACCTAAAGTCCTTGAGGCCACTGTTCTGTGCTATACTGGTGACTGCTCCAAGTGCGCAACATATTCTCTTGTCTGTGATGGTGGGAGCAATTCCAGCTGGTGGAACTTCAGCCGTAATTTGGCCATATACAGAATCACCGCCCTGCAAATGAGTGAAAATGACATTAAGATTGTAACAGAAATTCTTAAAATGAAACTAAGTGTGGAGGCCATCAATGCCATGAAGCTGCTAACAGATACAAATGCCAACGAGTCTTACCACCGTAGTGCCAGTTGCAACATGCCCAAAAACATTAAGTTTTCCCGAACAATGGAGGGTCGTCTTCACTCAATGATACATCGACGGAACAACTTACCTGGAACATCAACAAGACTGAAGTGCGAATCCGCTGGAATACAGTACTCTGCACATGGAAAGCGACAACTATACAGACTTGACCAAAAGTTCCTCTACAATCAAGCCTATCACAGAAAGGAGAGAGTAAAGAGTAGAAGGAACAGACTACTAGCCAGGAAAATGGCAGAGCATCACCAGTACCGTGAAGAACAAAGAGGAACTTCGGACTACCGCAAAGGTCAACTCGACTATAACTCACCTGCCGTACGTGACCACCCATATCACAAGAACGGAGGATTGCGATACCATCTAAGACCACGTCATGGAAGAGAGTGACTCGCTATAGACTTTAATTAACCATTACGTAACATTGACAATATTTATAATCTTAATTAAACGTACATACTTACTAATTAACTTTGTGAGGAGTAATGCATGTCTCTCCCATCTTCAGCGGTGTAACATAATAATAAATGTGATAAACTTACCTCGATTGTTAATTGTCATTCATGTTTAAGTCCAACCGACAGGGTGGGTGTGGTGGGGGGTGCCCCAGACAGGTGCCCCCGGATTTGCAGGTCTGCCGCTGGTTATTGATGCCCTGCGGCTCCAAAACAATATGTTCTGGAACAACACACAGCGTGTTGTGGCATAAGTGAGATGCAACAATTGATGCATCCAACTCATGGTAACGATGATGTAGCATGACACTGAGTCTATGCACATGCATCGTCTGCCACCTGTTCTTTATCGGATGCTTGTAGCATACAACACCATACTTGTTGTTGCTGCTTCTAGCCCCCGTCCAGATGCGACACTGACCATTCAATCCAGGGGCAGAGCCCGAGTTTACCTTGGCAACATACTTAGTAAAAAATGCATTCATGGTTAATCTTCGAGAAATAAAGTGAAAGTTAGCAGACGAAAGTCGGAAAACTCCCAGACCGAGACCAAAACTTACGTCAATCATATCACGCCGCATCTCATTTGCATAAATTAGGTCAAACAGTAAATGTAAAGGAAACCACCCCCCCCCCTTTTTTTCATGATTTTTTCCCAAATATTTTTCAAAATCAGAATTTTGTTTAAAATATTATCATAATTAATCAATATTAGTCCCATAGTATACAAAAAAGGCCGTAAAGTTGATTAACGTAAGTTTTGAACTTTGACCTGATAGGACACGGACTACCAATTATTTTGCTATACATTCCTTTATAACATAAAAAATCATTAAAAAAAATTCACCGCCTCAACTCACCTGAAATTTGGCACAGAGCTAGATCAATCCAAGGCAAAAAATATTCTAAAATCTCAGAAAATTCTGTAGTCTACAAGCCTTGCTATGGCACTGCAATTAACCCCTACCCTGCATATTTCCATTTCCCTTTGAGAAACAGGTAAACAATGGCCTCTTTACACCCTTTCTACTACGCACTAAATAGCAAAATTCCCATTATTCTTAATTTTATAATTTTTTTCAGACCCTCTCATTTCCATCTTTGCCCTAAAATAACCCCATTCCACCCCATATACACCTCCAAGATTTTTTAAGAAAAAACCTCTATTTTTAATCTGGAACTCTTTGCGTGGTCAATGAAATAGGGGTAAAATTAGTATCCTGTAACCATGGGATGAATGTAAACAGGTGCCTGGTCCTAAATAAATATATAAAGATGGAAATAAGTTTTATACTTCAATTCATACAAAATCATATTAGATTAAGTGAAATAATTCATTTTCTGACTTGGTACATTCATCAAACGAAAATGAAAGTACAGGTACGTAATACAACCATGTTGAAATTGTTACTTATGTACTGTAGATCTGTCGTTTGTACGGAAAATATTGCAATCGACTATTCCAATATTCGGCTATACGGATAAAATTATTCTGACAACCTGACTATCCGTTTAAACGGAACCCACTGTATCTGAAAATGAGAATATGTGAGACTATCACAATATATTGATATGTCAGCAACCTGAATATCTTTTCTCAAGGAAGAAAAGTGATCTTAAATTCACAGATAGCATTGTACAACTTTTTTTGACAGATTCAACAGGAACAAATGTTAATGTACGACATGAGCTCAGCAACCTGGAAGCAGCCACAAAGGAACTAGAGAAAGCTCGGTCCAGGATGAAGGCCTATTTACTTAGAACTCAGCATGATGTGGAGCGCCGACTAGATCGCTCCTCAATACTCGCAGCCACAGGGGGATGTCCAGGTATAATCTTTGATTTTAAAAGTGAAGATGTGAAAAATATTTCTTAAAGATTGAAAAAATTAAAATAGGAAACAATGATATATTGCACAAATAATATAGTCTGAAAGTAATGAAAGAATATTTGTTCTAGGAATGTATGAGTTCTCTAAGACTGGTCAGTTACTGCCCATCTTGGTTGGTACCTCTATGCTGGACCCCTCAGGAACAGATCAACAAGTGCCAATTCTAGGAGCAGACGAAGACAAGAAAACTGGTAACATTAGACCATTGGGAGGTACCATGGAGGACCCAGAGGGGGCAGGTAAGACTTGCTACAGTGGCAAATGTTTTTCTTGTTGATAAAAAGTGTTCGTCTTTGGATACTAAATAAGTAAATGAATAAACAAGATACTACATTTGACTAATTCTGAATATGAAAGGTTACAGAGAAAAATTTCTGAATTTACATTTATTTGCATGCATTTATTCATTAAAGGTCTGGTGCCTATCAGTATTGGAAGAAGGGCTTTGGATCCTGTAACAGGAGAAATCAGTCCAGTGATAGGCATCCGCACTAACCCAGAGACAGATCTAGCGGTGCCAGTGACCATGTCCTCAGGTGGTCCCAGGAAGAAGAAGCCACCACCAGGGGCCCTCGCCATGCTGGAGGAAGAGCTGGTCGCCAGGCGAGGGTTCTGGAGAAGACAGAGACAGAAGGAGAGAGAACTAGCCCTCAAAGAGCACCAGTTCACTCAGCAGCTCCTTTTCGACATGGATTCTGTGACTTCAAGAGACTTACAGAGATTCTTGGAGGAGATTGATGCAGATGTTCACCAACTTTCGGAGGCTGAGAAACGAGAGGTTCAGAGAAGAGGTGGTGCAGAGCAGGAGTACGCCACAGTGATACCTCCAGAGGTCATTGCGGTGCTGACCCAAAGTGATGCCAGAGAACACGAGGGAGAGGAAGGGCATGTGGCTTCCAATGTCAAATTGGCCGACACGCTTCGACGATTCTTCAGTAAACTCCAGCATGAAGAGAAACAGTACAAAGACAAGATTGGTGACCTGGAGGGGGCCATGAACCCTGACGCTGAGAACACTACTCTACAGAGGTACAAGCAGGCCAAGATGAGACTACAGGCTGAGTTACGAGACTCTCTGATGACTAGGATAGAGAATGTGGATGAAGCTCATTCTACACTGGAATATGCCAGAGAAAGGTAACAACATAGAACATCCTAAAAATTTATGTTTAAGAATTACTTTTTAAATTATGATATCCATTATTAAATAAAGAAAAATTATATTCTTGGTATACATTCTCTATTGAAATCTGTAATGAATTTAAGTTTCTCTAATGAAATATGCAATGAAATAAGTTTTCTTTTGTTTTTTTGAAATTCAAAAGTTAAAAATAATATCTGTTTTTGGAGGGAAATAATGCTCTTACTTGAATTTTGCACTTCACTTAAAATTATTCTTTGAATACAGATCAGAGTTGTGTGCCACAGAAGCTAAGACTGTCTTGACAAGAGCCGGCCTCCTGGCAGGAGACTATGACTGTCAGCTGTCAGGAGTTTATGGTGATGTTGATTCCTCTGGGGAAAAAGAATCTGAGCTGATCCCTCTATTGAAGCAGCTGATAGCCATGTTAGAGTCTGGTGGTCCATTTACATTGTCTTCAGAACTTCTAAACTTGATCAATCAAGGCACTGCAGGCGGTGCCGGTCAGCATGTGACCAATATCAACATTGGAGGCAGTGGTGGCGCTGGGGACATCCAGCGCAGAGGAAGTACAGATAGCCAAAGGAGACGCAGGGATCAGAAGGTATGCAGCTAGTTGTACAACTTAGCAAGTCAGTAAAATATGCAAATAGATGTATAACTAAATAAGTGGTATGACAGATTGGGATCACTAATTACGGTAACATTAATGATTTATATCAACATCAGTTAAAATCAGCATTTAGTGTAGTACACATGTAGATGTTAATGTTCTTGTTATTTTCTAAAATCTTTCTGGGTGTAATATTGTAGAATCTTCTACCAAATCTGGTCAAATTATAAATTCTTGCTACTTTTAACCAAAATTTTGTCTTTTACAGGAAAGAAGCAAACTCAACAAGTCTGGAGTCAAATCAACATCCAAAACAACTGGTACCAAGGATGAAACATCCATATTTGATGGTACCCAGGGTAAAGGAAACAAAGGACAAGGTGGTGCAGGATCACAAGAACTTTCTAGAGCTCTGTTTGAGAAGCAAGCTTATGAGGCAGCCAAGCTGGAAAACGATCTGAAGAAGGAAGAGATTGAGGACATGAACAAGAATGTGGATGACTGCGAGCTAGAGAAGAAGAAGGCAATGGCAGACGCTCAGCACGAGTTGGAGAAGAAGTTAGCCAAGGCCAAGCAGGAGCAGGAGAAAGAGATGATCATGATGGAGTATGCCAGCAACATGCAGAAACTCAATGAAGCCTTTGAGAAGAGGAAGAGGAAACAGTTGGACAAACTCAGAAAGAGGCTCTTGGATGCCAGGAGACACAAAAAGAAAGAACTTGCCAAGTAAGAAAAAATTAATTTACATGTTTTAAAAAAGCAAAATATTTTTATGATTATTTGACATCAAACATCAAAGTTCTTTATTAGATAAGCTAATGATGATTAAATGACGGGTTGATTTTTTTTTTCCAGGAAACATCTATCAGAGGCCAAAGACAATGGTATCCCTGAGGATTCAGTTCCCAACATAGAAATGCCATCTTATGAAGAGCTGATGAACCAGTTACTGAAACTTCAGCAACAACAAGAAAAGATGATGGCAGACATCAGGAAGAACAGTGGTGATGCTAAAGATCAAGTCAGAAGCCCTGAAATCGATGAAGAGTTTGAACGGCAGATTCGAGCCTTGGATATCAGCAAGAGTCAGAAGGAGGCTCTGATAAATGAAGCCAAGAGCAGACGTAAGGAGCTCCAGCAGCAGATAGAGGCAATGAAGGAGAAGCTGAGGAAGAGGAAGGACAGGAAGGGAGGAGCAGAACTGACAGAGGAAGAGTTGCAGAGTCTGGATGAGGAGGAGAGGAAGAACCTCCTCAAGGTGAGGGAGATCCAAGGAGCTGCTGACAGAGACATGGAGGAAGAGGCCATTCTCAGTACCATCAAAATCATGGAGAGGGTGAGTTACACTTTCAAATATTTGAATGTTTTGCAAAATAACTTAATTGCATAATACTAAAATTTTGACACTTTTTACAATGATTAAAATTATTCCATGATATGTGTGTTTTTTAATCTTGAGGCAAAATTACATGTAAAGAATTCTCTTTACAATAAATATGTCATAACTGGCATTGTCAAGTTCACCAATATTTGAGTAAAGTTGATATTAAGAGTTAACCATTGTTTTGGTCGATCTACTCCAGGATCAGCAGAGGCAAGCTGGAGAGGAGGCTTTGAGAGAAATGCTTCAGAACCAGACAGAGTCAGAGAGAGACCGCATTCTACAGCAGTACCAAGACCAGCTCAGACAATTAAACAACAGAATGGACGACAGCAGGAATGAACAGGCAGACAAGATCAAAGCCAAACTGGCGGCTAGGAAACGAATGAAGGAGGAGCTGGACAAAGAGAGGGCGGTCAACAAGGAACTGGACAGGATCACCAAGAAACATGTAAGTCAACAATGGAACTTAATATCTGTATGACTATCATTGGAAGTTTGCAGGCTTGGGTTCTGTCAAGCAAGTAACAGAAGTAGGCAGAGCTTTTATTTGTTTCTTTACTTGTCTCTGACAGATCTAGATGAATTTGTTTTCTGTCTCAGTTCCACTTTTACAATGTGTCACCAAAAAATTTATGTTGGCTTAATTTAATTTTTCAACTTTTACAGGCTGCCCAGAGTGATTCAGAGGCTGCAGACCTGATCATGCAGATAAATGAGAAAGTGAATGGAGACAAGCTGATGTCAGAGCAACAGAAGCTGGTGGACCAACAGACAGGAGAACTGGAGCGTCTGGAGGAGAAACAGAACGAGGAGCTGAGGAGACTGAACCAGGAGGCTGAGGAAGAGAGGAGCAAGGAGGAGCAGGAGATCCTCCACAACAACCAGCAGCAGAAACAACTGGTACGTTCTCAAATCCCTGGTATCTTGTAATGTCAATAAGGCCTATACAATTTGGCCCTTTTTAAGGAAAACAGGAAAAAGACAATTCAGTAAGACTGTATAGGAAAAAAACAGTATTGTAAAGAATAAATGAATGTTTTACTTTGTTCTGTAGGCTCTGCAAGCTCATCAGTCTAAATTTGAAAGAGACATGCTGCTACATCATCAGAACCTGACACCAGCAGATGCTGAATACCAGAAACTACTAGCAGCTCACAAGTCTGAAATGGAGGCTTTAGAGAAGAACCTCAATTCTGAGAAAGATCGTCAGAGAGAGGCTCTCAGAAAGAAGGTTAGGGTCATACAAAGCACCCCAATTTCTTTAGGGGGAGATAATGAAATGAATTTAAGGGGATCTAAGGCCCAAAAAAATTAATCTATAGTTTCTCAGGCACGGCCGCATCAGTCAAAAAACGGCCGCATTGATCAATTTTATTAACATATTGAAAAGGGAAATAACCCAATTTTCTATTTTTCCAAGTTGAAAAAGAAAATCGAGTTATTGCCCTTTTCATAAATGCTAAGATAGACGTTTTTATTAGAAAAACAATATCCTTCTTCTAAATCTACAGTATTTTATAAGTTAACTTTTAAATAAAAGTTTGGAATAACATTATTTAAAGTTGAATACAAATTATAACGAATTTCAGAGAACAAAACTTAAGTATTAGTAGATATTATCCTTTTATTGAACAAATGACTTTAAAAAAAAAAAAGGTGTAGACCAAATCCTGCTTCAAAAAAAAAAAAAGAAAAAAAAAAGCCTGCCTGCCGCATGGAATTTAGATTTTTTTGGCCTGAGAAACAATTGATTAATTTTTTTTTGGCCTAAGCTTTCTCCAAGAAGTTGAAATTTATACTAGAACTACATGTGTATTTATTTGAAGCATCGCTTCTGTAAAAGCACTTAGTAGCTAAATGATGTACAATGTTTGAGTTGAGCATTATCTGATTATTACAGATTGAAGAGAAGAAGAAGAGGAGAGAAGAGCAGCTAGAAGATAAACACAGGATGGAGATGGCACAGAAACTGTCCAGTCAACAACAACAGAGGGACAAACAGAATGAGGAAATCGCCAAGAATGTGGAGAATTCAGCCCTTAAAAACAATGTCAAGGTAGGACTTCATTAATAGCAAGTTTATAATGGGCTATTGTTTTCAAAACAGTTTTGATTTTACTGCTATTAAATTCATTACTGTGAGTTGAAATTCCTCATATCTAATCTTACTTTATTTTAGAATAAGGATAAAGACAAGGCAGAGAACATGATCTACACTGTGCTGAGACAGCGACATCTGAAGGAGGCCATCCATCTGGAGGACCAGCTTGCTCGTGAGCTGGAGGCAGCTCGTAGAAGAGCTCGAGCTGAGATTGAGGAGAGCAGGCAGAAGGAAAGAGAAAGACTACTGGCTGCATTTGAACAGGTTAGTTTGAATATAACAAGGCACCTTTTAAGCCTTCTAATTAATGAACAGCTTTTTTTCAAAATATCTCCCTGAGTGAATAAAAAATGGTAAAATAATGCATTTATAAATGACAACCTAAATTTTGATTGATATTTTACATTTTCAGGAAATGCGAGATCTGATAGCAGATTCTGGTAACATGGACCCAGCAGAGTTAGCTCGTCGTAAGGAACAACTTAAACAGAGGCAGCAGGTATGGCCAAAATTTCATTAGCAAAGATATTCATTCCCATGATTTACAAGATTTTTTAAAATAAAAACACATTTCTTTTGTTTGCAGCAAGAGCTGAGTGAGTTTGACAGCCACACTGCCCAGTTGTTAGAAAGAGCTGAACAAGATGTTAGTCCTCAACAGGAAATCAAGCAGACCCATGACCGCTTAAACCTCAAAGAGAAACAGCTCCATGAACTTGCTGATGCCATGAAGACATTCTCTCCTGCAGAGGAGCTTCACAAACAGTATGCTGAGCAGGCTAAAATGGCAGCTGATGAGGCAAAGAAGTATAAGGAGGACATGTACAGGAAATTACAGGAGGAACTGGAGAGGAGGAAAGAGGAACAGAGATTGGCGGAGGAAGAGAGGAAGAGGAAAATGCTAGAGAAATACAAGTAAGGGATAATCCTAAGTTATTTCATTGAAATATAAGAAAACTGAAAAGAAAATACAGAAATTTTGTGCAAGCGATTAGTTGCATGTAAATTGAAAGTAGAAAATTAAACTGTTGGATGATGCTGTTATCTGAACATCCTATGCTACTAGTAAATTTAATGATGATACTTTTCTTTCTAAAAAGTGTGAATATTTTAACCATTTAATTGGTATATTGTTCTGTTTGACAGGCAACTGGAGGAAGAATTAGAGGAGCAAGCAAGACTGGAGGAACAGAAACAAAAAGATCGCGAGGCAGAGCGCGAAAAACTCCGACAGCAGCAAATGGAGGAACGAGAACGTCGTGAGAGAGAGGAGATCGAGAAATCTAACACCAGTCAGGATGAGAAGGAGAAACTCCTCAGGGAGCACAAAGAGAACATGGAGAGAATACGGGAAGCCATGAACCAGGAGCAGAGCCGCAGCAGACAGGCCCTTCAGGCCAAACTGGACGCCCGCAAGAAACGCAGACTGGACACAGGTAAAGCCAAGGTGGACAAGGACATGATCTTGGAGAAGGACAGTGAGGAGATGAGCAGACTAACGAGGGCAGACAACGAGGACGACTTCCTGCAGGCAGGGGCTCCCTCATCAGTGTCCGGTGGTATTATGTCAGGTCCAGGCGACCAGGCATCGTCCGGTATGGGTCAGTTCACACCTACAGGAAACCCAGAACAGGACTGGGTCAACATGCTGATGGCATCGCCTCTATTCAAACAGATTAATGACTTGGCGGACATGTTGGATAAGACAGAGGGAGGTCTGGGAGGTAGTGACAAGGTGCTAGGTAAGAAAAACACAAACGAATTTCAGAAAACTTTAAAGTACAATGTTTGAGTTGTAATATGTTTTTTGAAATTTTAACACATTTACCTTTATTGTTTTTAGGTGGAGATTATAGTAGGCCATACATGGACGTTAAGGATGCTCAGTGGGTGTGTAAAGGAGACCTCAAACCAGCAGACATTAACCAGATATCACCAGCTCAGTTTGTCATTTACCGATTTGGTGTGTTCGTTACCAGACTCTTACACCAGACAATTGGAACACCAGAAGTCAGTCTGCTACTGGCCACAAACTTACCTCCTAATAATTACAAACGTAATGCATTCAGGAACTCTGTGTTTTATGAGCATTCTCGGAAGATTCTGTTCGTTAGGAGGGAGAGAATGGACTCAATCGGTGAATTTGTAGTTGTGATTTTACACTCTCTAGCTCACATTAAAACAGGGGACTTAAGTGATGATAGTGATACGGTGTTCCTCAGGGAGTTCTACAAGGTAAAATTTTATTATTGCTCATGATAATTTTTACCAGATGTGTATATGCATATTTACTGGCAGTAACAAATTTTATGTAAATCTAAAAAAATCCTGTCAAATCTTTTAAAGATTTTACTTTTCATCAAGAAAAGTTGTATATTGATTTCACAGATATCCATTTGAGTAGATTAGAGGGCTGAGATTTCTGTCACCAGTAAAATAATGTTTATGTTTGTAAACCCTTTATTCCAGGCACTACGCGTTGTGTGTCAGGACATGTTCTTCTCTCGAGCTCACAACAACCCGACACCACAGACCCGCCTCAGTCTGGAACAGGCCCTGGGAACTGTGAAGAAACAGGAAGACAAGATGGCCATCGTGGGTGACCTTGTTGACCTGAGGGTGGATGGACCAACCAGGATAGACTTCTCAGAGCAGGTAAGAACGAAGAGAAGATTGACCTTTGTTTATACAAGGTCATTTAGATCTTGTACAACAGAAGTGAAGAGGTAAACTTTGTCCATAAATGCATGATCTTAAGAACCCTCTCTACACTGCACACTAAAGAGTTCTGATTCTATGGTATTTTTTTGCATTTAGAGTGATCTTCCCTTAGATCTCAATTCTAAAAATTAGTAATTCACAGTATATTACAAAATTTGTAATCAGTTCAAGTATTCTTAACATCTTAAAAGGCCAAGATAAATTAATTGAACATGTTATTTACATGTATTTTCTCTATGGAAGTAAACAACAGTGATTTCTATTCACTGATACTGTGTTGTGTTTGATTATTTTTCCTGGGGGTAAATGCCATGTGCCATATAGTGAAAATCATATAAATAAGCTCAATATTAACACCTTTATAGAATATATTTTTCTCAATGTCAAAAAAACATTTTGTACTGGTGTAGAGAGGGTCCTTAAATCAATAAAATGAATTGTTAGAGGTATATCTTTACTGATGTGCAATATTTGAAGAACAATTATGATTTGTTTCAATGCTGAGCTCAATGCTTTTCTTCTTTTTTTAAAATAAATAGAGTATGTCTCAGAGACTGTACGGATGTGAATCTCTAGCCAGCAATTCAAGACTACGACAATTCCTCGCCTCTAAAGGTGGTTTCCTTGCCACCAGTGATTTTGTCAGCAGCAGAATGTCGGAGTTGAGGGGTGGTAAGAGTCCTCCAGTGACCCCTAGACGCAGTCCACGTAAACCAGTAGCAGTGCCCTCTATGAGGTCCCCTCCCGATGTCAGGGATACCCAACTAATGGATCTGGAGGCCAAGAATGACCAACTCAATGCTGATCTCGCACAGGTACAGTAATAGGGCCATGCACCAAGACTGGTTATACAGAGTTTTAAATGATTGTTTACTTATTATAGTTAATTGATAAATATTGAATTTTGAAGATTGTTCTCATTGATTTTGCATCCGTAAACATAAATAATGAGGCGCTGTACTTAAAAGTCCAAGTGTTTCTCAAAAATGGTTTTATTTGATAAAGGTGGCTTTTCTATTCTTACATTGGAATTTATAAATTTCTTCCAGACTCTGAAGGCTGTATCAGAACTTGAGGAAGGAATCAGAAACATGGAGCAAAGTTCTCCCAGTGATCCTAGATTGACGTCAGCCAGGGAACAACTCGAGACAGTGCTGACTCGTAAAAACGACCTACTCAGGAGAATCTCAACAACGGAGACCGAGATCACGAAAAAGGAAAGAGAACTCAAAACAAAAAAGCGATAGTCAAGTGACTGAGTGATGAAAAAGGAGAGACTACATATCAAAATATGGTGTAAGGAACTACAAACTTTGGAAATTTAAAGTATTGCATTCGAATTTTTACTGCTTTACATAAAGAAATTAAGTATATTCATTGTTTTTTTTTTTATTATATTATTTTTTAAGACATTGTTTGACAATTTCAGAATAAGATGCTTTTGTTATTATTAAAATCATAATTTATTTAGTCAGGTCTGTGATAATTTTTAGGTCACCTGAGTAAACTCAGGTGACCTATTGCTATCTGTTTTCGTCCGTCGTCGTGCGTCGTGCGTTGTGCGTTGTGCGTTAACATTTGAACATTTTCAGCTTCTTCTCTGCAACCACTGAACCAATTTCAACCAAATTTGGCATAAAGCATCTATGGGTGAAGGGGAACAAAAATTGTGAATTTCAATGGGGCCTGTGGGGTGGGGCCAAAACCACTAAAATTAGTGCAATCTTTAAAAATCTTCTTCTTTACTCCTGGACATCAAGCAGTCAAACTGTTTTGATTGTAAACAGCAATGAGTCCTCTACCAAAATTGTGAAATTCATGGCCCTGGGGTCAGGGGTTCTAGTGCTAGGGCGGGGCTAAATAAGTAGGTAGTGAAAATGCATTATTTCTTTGAAAATCTTCTTCTCTGCTCCTGGGTATTAAATAAACCACCTAAGTACATAATTAAGATAAACAAGAGTGCCTCTACCAAAATTGTGAATTTTATGGCCCTAGGGTCAGGGGTTCTGGTGTTAGGGCGGGGCTCTATTGATTATATAGTGAAAATACATGAATTCTTTGAAAATCTTCTTCTCTGCTCCTGGGTATTAAATAAACTAACTAAGTACATAGTTATGATGAGCAAGAGTGCCTCTACCAAAATTGTGAATTTTATGGCCCCAGGGTCAGGGGTTCTGGTGTTAGGGTGGGGCTCTATTGATTATATAGTGAAAATACATGAATTCTTTGAAAATCTTCTTCTCTGCTCCTGGGTATTAAATAAACTTACTAAGTGCATAGTTATGATGAGCAAGAGTGCCTCTACAAAAATTTTGAATTTTATGGCCCCAGGGTCAGGGGTTCTGGTGTTGCTCTATTGATTATTTTTACATTAAATCTTTGAAAATTTTCTTCTCTGCTCCAGGGTATTCAGCAGAAGAACTACCAATATAGTTATGATGGACAAGGGCCCATATCTTCCACAATTGTGAATTTCAAGGCCCCAGGGTCAGGGGTATTATAGAGGGGGGGGGGGGGTTGTACTTATATACTGAAAATGAATGAATGGTTTGAAATCTGCTCCTTGGTATTAATCAAATATTTTTCATGTATGGTAGGGGCACTACTGATTATTGCTGAATATTACTGATTAGTTGAAATGCATTTTTCCCCTTACCCTGAATATGGGTATTATGTAAACAAACTAAGCAACTGCTAAGTGTATTGTTATGATGATCAATGGTGCCTCTTTCAAAATTGTGAATGCCATAGCATCTGGCTTAAAACATGGATCAAATTCAATTTGTTGCATAATGCTCAGGTGACCTATAAGGCCCATGGGCCTCTTGTTTGAACATTCCTTGTATATTTGTTCCCTGCTTTTTTGATGTTTTGTGCAATTTTTCTTTACATAATTTATTATGATCTTTACAATTGTTATAATCTTATCCTATACAGTGTTGTTTCTTGTGAAGTTATCCGTCCAGACAATATACAATGATTTCTTGTAGGAAGCTTTAAGTGTGAAATTTTATACATTCTTCAACCGTCCATTTATTACAGAAGTTTGATTTTTGTGTTATTTTTTAAAAAAATTTTTATGATCATTGATTAATCTCTACAACAGTGAAAAGTTAACAAAATTTTTTTTAGATTTTTTCTGATTGTATATGTATTTCCTTTCTTATATTTCTACAAGTATGTACAAATATTTATGTACTGTAATTTGAAGAATAGCAAAAAATTTTTTTAATCTAAAAGGAACCAAAAGTTTTTTTTTCATTTATAAGAAAATGTTATTTTGTATATTGTATAATTAAAATAAATTTTATGTGAATAAATTTTCTGTATATTTTTTATCTGATGTATCACACAAAGCTGTAAAAGGGGATTGATGATTATTGCCATAATGTCTGCATAACTCCGGTATATTGAGAAGTTATTCATGACTCAGTTATGTTATGAACAAACCTGGCATAGCAGTATATACATTTGCATATGGCACCCCTAGTGACTGTGTACTTATAGACTTGTACTTATAGTCACTTATTTGATCAATAAATCAAAACACTTATTGACAGATATAAACTTTATTCAAACGTTTGATGAGGACAACAAATCAAGGGAGTACATCACTATGTTGTTCATACATCACTTTCCAATGACTGGTTCTGCCGGACCTCCTCTTTAAAAAAAAATCTTTAATAATTTTAAAGGGAAAATATTCAAACGAGACATTTCTGAAATATTAAATACAAATAAGAACTTACACATCCTCACATTCTTGCATTAAACAGACAACAAAGTTGAAAATCCTGTCCCTAAAAATAGATTTGTAAATTAAAATTTTCTAACATTGCCCAACTGTCTAGTTTCTGGAAAATCGTAAAAATAATCAACATACTGTCTTCCGTTGTCGTGGATACTTGTTCAGCCTCGCATTAAGTAACCAGTCGGTGTGGTATATTTCAAGTTTCCATCGTAACTGTTGGCCCAGCCGCTGTACTTACAATTGTAAAGACACATTCCTAGATAAAACGGTGTATATATATTGGATTTTCTTAAATAGACATCAAGGAAACAAAAAATTAAATGTTTGAATGAAATGTGAATTCAGTTATGGCTAAATACTATTAAAACGGGCCTGGTTTTTGGCAGCAGTAGAACTGGAAACGTCTGTCCTAAAAGTGGTCGTTATGGTAACTGGTGACGCCGTCTATTACGCCCCCGTGAGGACACTGGAAAACCACGGGTTGGTCAAAGTCGTTCACATACTCTAGCAATGAAATACGGAACTTCAAAAAAAAAAGCTAATTATATGCCAAATATCTTAATATTTAAAATCATGCCCGAAAGGCCATCAGCAAATCACAGTGGCTCATAAAAATAACGTGCTCGACGTATGTTCATGTACCTGTCCAGCTACAGTTCTCGGAGACTTGTATATAACTGGTACACTGAAAATCGAACACTCTGTCCTCCCTTCCGTTGTCATGGTGACTCTCAATAAGGTGGATGGATTGGCGTTGTGGACAAGTGAAAGTGAACGGCTTATCATATTCATTCACCCATCCATACACCCCCACTACTAGAGTCAAAAGAACTGTGGAAAGATTTTATTCACGAATGATTAGATTCATTCCCCTCTACCTAATATCGGGAGGGGGTCTTAATTTTGGTTTATCCACCATTCTATCTGTCTGCAATACATTATTTTCCTGGGGATATTTTATCTTTGACATTGAATTATTATGTCGCTGCCCTTTAAGACTGAGAGTCCTATCAGTTTTAGTGAAAACGCCAAAAGCCAAGGTAAGAGAATCATATAATAAAGAAAATGATTTCCAGTTTCTTATATGATGGCTTTCGCTAATAGAAGAAATTCGGGATCCTATTGAAGTGAAAAGTGCAGATTACAAATTCCTATAAGCTAGGAAGTAGTTTCTATGTAATTTTTATACTTTGTAACATAGGATAACGTAGGCAATCTGACCAGTTACCCCAGGGTCCACGCAATTATCTCAAATTGGTATTTTAATGTGATAAAGCCTACCTGATTCGATTCTTTAGGCAAAAAGATATTGATTGATTGATTGTATGTTGTTTAACGTCCCTCTCGAGAATTTTTCACTCATATGGAGACGCGCAAAACGAGAAAGACTTACTATTTAAAGAAGAAATAGTCACGATTGGCAGCAGATTTTTTGTTTTTGATATCAAGGTCTTTATGAAAAAGATAATGACATTGATCTGACCTTGCTCCGACGATATATTTTTAATTAAATTGATACCAACATGTAGTGACATGTCTTCTAGAATATGCGATAATGTTAATTGATTTTTAAATGCAATAAATATGAGAAAAATCCCTCCTGAAGAAAAACTGGAATGGGTTTAATGGTTATAATGGATTTTTGTGAGGAGCGCTTACTTTCACAGTTGACGGCTTACTTTTACACTAGGAAGAAAAATCATAAATACATAACTTTGTCGAAGTCTTTCGACGCAAATACTGATAGTCGATCACTATCAAAGAGAGCAAATATCAAAGAAAATGCAAATGAAATACAATTAAATTAAATACAATCCCATCAAGTGTTTTTTTTTTAAATTCAGAACAGGAAATAGAGATAGTGTTGAAATTCAATCATATATATTTTGCTTTCATTACGAAACAAATTGACTAAGTTTACTTTGATTGATCAATTTGCGATGCATTACAATAAGTTCCATTTTATTGCAGCAGATTGCAGGATCATGCTATGATAATTTTACTTCAACAAGCCCATTTAGTCACCTTGTCAATGTATGAGATCTATTCCCCCCACCATCCACCCTCTAAAGACAACCTATATATACATTTTTCCCTACTGACTTATTGCAAGTTGTGAAATTTGCATAATGTAAACTTTGTTACAATGTTCGATAACTCAAATTATGGCCCTTTGAACAACGTGGATAAAACGATCTTTGTTCTCTGCTTTATATTATGCAAATGTTCAGTCAATGCTAACAAGCGGCCAGTTTGTAAACTATATAAGACTTTAGAGATACATATTCACAATGTGCTAGTGTTAAAATCAGATTTACTAACAACAAAGATACGTCTAAAGATTGGATAGGGTGTGAGTTTAACTCACTGACCAAGTACTGGTACATTAAAAGCAGTAATGAAAAAGCACGTTTGATTGATTGTTCTTCAATATGTAAATCGTCGCATTGTTTGATTGAGTTTCAAAGTCTTTATTCATCAGACAAACGATAAAACTGAAATTAGAAAAATGGCCAGTTTTAACCCGATTTTCCATAAAATCACGTAAAACAAAATTGAAGTTAATTTTTTGACTGATATTGCATTTTTGACCAGTGCAATAACGTGCAATTCTCATTAAGATAAGCTGTTTCAGTAGTAGTTCATATGTAAATTAGAAGTTTACTAATCAGTCAAAGACGAGCATTCATTTCTTCTGGAGGTTTACACATACCTAAACTGGTTGTTAAAAAATAGTAAGAGATATCTTTATTGAAACTCCCCTTGCATACCAAAACTTGGTTTGGTGTGAGTTTAACTCACTAACCAAGTACTGCTACGTTAAAAGCAGTATCTGAAAAGCACGTTTGATTGTTCTACATTGCAAATCGGTGCTTTGTTTGATTGAGTCTCAAAATTTTTATTCATTAATCAAACAAGAAAAGTTCATTTGTTTTTCACTGTTTTACATACTCCAACAAGTGCATCAAAGCAACAAAATGTAACTGAATTTTAAAGTCTTTTGTCGATATTTCAGATAAATAGTATGGGGGTGGGTCTATTAAAGTTTATCTAATAATTATAGTTAAACCTATGAATGATTGTAAATAAACCGGCCTAAGAAGAATACTAAATATGAAAATGAGTACATTTTCAACATCTTTTTTTTTTTTAAATCATACTTGAATTAATATTGACCAAGTATGGTTTAAATAAGTGAAATTTTATCTTTATTTAATAGTAGATTTAATTAGCTTGCAATTAAAAGAGCTTCACTCAACACAAAGTTTCCTCTGAATGTTTAGCATAAACACCATCAGTTTTTCTATATTAAAAAATCATCAAAAGTAACCGTTGTGTTGATTAGAACTCAGCTCTGAGTACTGTTAAAAGAGTAAATTCCATTATACTTCCTGGTGCGTATCTGCATCATTCAAAAAATGTCTACTCATCAGTCAAAGACGAGAATTCTAACTTTATTTCTAAACTAATCGTTTGACCAAAGAAAAGAAACGCAGATATACAGTATATCATATTAATCTCAACATAAATACTGGGTTGTTTATTTGGATTCATTTTTTTTTTGACTGACATTGCATTTTTGTCCAGAGTAATAAAATGCATTTCTTATTAAGATAAGCTGTTTCAGTAGTACATAAAGTTCTCATGTAAATTAGAAATTTACTAATCAGTCAAAGACGAGTGTTTATTTCTTCTGGAGGTTTTTATATACCTAAACTAGTCGTTAAAAAATAGTAATAGGTAACTTTATTTAAACTTCCCTTGCATACCAAATCTTGTCGGTGGTTGAAAAACCATCAATATATAATTTTGTCGAAGTCTTACGACACAAATACTGATAGTTGATTTTGATTCCTATCAAAGAGAGCAAATATCAAATAAAATGTAAATTTAATATTATCCCATTAATTTTTTTTAATTCAGAACAGGAAACAGGAAATAGGAATAAAGTGCAAATTAAAGCATAATTTGATTTCATTAGGAAACAAATTGGCTATGTTTACTTTTATTGATCAATTTGCAATGCATTACAATGAGTTGCATTGTACTGCTGAAGAGTGCGGTATCATGCTATGATACTTTATTTCAAGAAGCCCACTTAGTCAACTTGTCAATGAACATGTATTAGAAATATTTCCCCCACCATCCACCCTCCAAAGACAGCCTACATATACGTTCTTCACTACTGGCTTATTGTAATTTGTGAAATTTGCATAATGTAAGTTTGTTACAAAGTTCGATAACTTAAATCATGGCCCTTTGAACAACGTGGAAAGCACGATCTTTGTTCTCTGCTTTATATTATGCAAATGTTCAGTCAAAGCTAATAGGCGACTAGTCTGTAAACTATATAAGACTTCAGAGATCTACTTTTAAAATGAACTAGGGTCATAATCATAGTCACTATCAACTATGCTACACGCACAGTTTGATTTTGGTGTGAGTTTAACTCACTGATCAAGTACTGCTACTTTAAAAGCAGTAATGAAAAGAACTTCTGATTGTTCTACATTGGAATTCGTCGTTTTGATTGATTGAGTCTCAAAATCTTTATTCATTAGTATAACAAGGAAGTTCATTTCTTTTTCACTGATTTGCATACCCCAACAAGTGCATCACAGCAACAGAATGTAACTTTATTATAAAGTATTTTGTCGAGTTTATAAATGGCTAATTCAGATGCTCGTATAGTAAGAGAGAAAACCTATTTATGTTTACCTAATATCATAAATAAACTAATCTTATGAATAATTGTAAATAAACATAAGAAGATCACTTAATATGAAAATGAGTACAATTTCAACATATTTTTAATTAAATCGTACTTGAATTAATATTGACAAAGTATGGTTTAAACAGACAGTATGTAAAGCAGTACAATGCATTGCAGGACAAATTTTCCTCAGAATGTTTCACATATACCCAATCAGTTTTCTGTATTCAAAAATCAGCAATTTAGTTTCTCATATGTCTTCTGTAATTTTGATTCGTATTCTATTATTTTTTATTTGTATTCTCAATTTTTCATTTGTATTATATAATTTTCTTATTTTTCTATTTGTAATTTAAACTGATTCTTTTTAGTGCTACAATTTTCTTTAAAAATTGGACTTTATAATCATGTCATTGTACTGTATAATTTCTCATTTGTATCTTAAAAGTTTTGTTTCGTATTCTATAATTTGCATTGCATTATTTTTCTTTTATTGGTATTTCATAATTTTCCAGTTGCATTCTACGGAAGCCCTGGAGGGACATTGACTTACTTGTTATGACTTATTTGTTATAGCTTATTTGTTTTGACTTATTTGCTTTGAGATTTTTTTGTTTTATTCTAACTAAGTGTAGGTAACTATTGAGAACGATTAATTGTAGTTTTGTAGCTAAACGTACAAAACTGATGTGATTACTAAATTTTTTATCTGTTAATTACGGACGCTTTGAGGGATACTGACTTATTTCTTATGTGTTTTGACTTAGTTCTTATGTGTTTTGACTTAGTTCTTATGACTTAAATTTGAATTCTTGTTATTTTGAATTTGTTTTGAGAAGTTTAGTTTACAAAAAGTGGCGTGAAAGATGGAGGCAACGTATAGTTTCAGAAAAAAGAAAAAATGTTCTTGAATTTATTACTAACGACAAGATAAAATAGTAGTCATGTTCTTGTCTTCAATCATTATATGCAAACTGGAAGTAACATATAAGAATAAAGTAATAACTTTTAGAAAATAAGAATTAAGTCATAACAACAAACATAATATTTACTTTAGAAATCACAACTGTGCTGGATGTTATACTACAATTTGTCAATCAAAGACCATAGTTAAAATAGGACTTAATATCATTTTTATCATAAAAGTAAGCCAAGCAACAGGTTTTCAATAGCTTTCTTACACTTAGTTATAACTAGCTACGAAACATTCACAACAAATAAGTCAAAACAAAATAGTTATAACAAATAAGTCATAACAAGTAAGTCAATGTCCCTCCAGGGCTTCCGTAGCATTCTATTAATCTCCATTTGTACCCTTTTATTTTCCATAAAGTTTCTATTTAATTGCATATTTTTTCTTTTAAATTCTAAAAAAAAAATATTTCCGATTATTTTCCATTTCAATTTCCATATGTTTTATTACTTTTTTTTTTATTTGTGTTTCTTAATTTTCCATTTATTCTGGTTAATTTTCTATTTTTATTATCAAATTTTCCATTCGATTGTATTCATTTTGTAAATAAAAGAAATTTAATACAAATAAAAAGTTACAAAATGCAAAATGTAAAAAAATACAAATGAAAATCATTCAATGCATACGAAGAAGATATAAAATTTGCAATGAACGTTCGACATGACATACCTTTGTGTTTTTTCGTTTTTATTATGTATACAAAGAATCGAGAAGAGTGATTCTAAAATAAGTCCTTTGGATGAGCAAAACTTATTAGAAAAAAATGAAATTTTGATTACCTCCGATTTGCCGCATAATTTTTCCAGTATTTAGTGTGACATTCTGGGATAAACAGATAAGCTATCTATATTTATGAGATCTATATGACTTCAAAATAATTACATAATTAATACAAATCACGCTACTTTGTCCAGCTGACAGGTTGTCCTTGAAACAATTTTCCCCAACGCGTCTTGACATTGGAAGTTTGAACAGTTAAGATTTTTAATTAAAGCATTCTTAAATTCATTCGTAAGAATAAGAATAAGTCTTAAACACCCTCTGCTAGCAATCTAAAACTTCCAAATCATTAGTATTGAGAAACTGTGGCATTAACTATGAAGAATTACATAATGGATTTTATTCAATAATTTTTGTGAGAATGACATTTAATAAACATATTAATTAAGAATTATCTGAGGATGTATTATTTACATATCTTTTTCCTATAACTTCTCCCGAGGGATTCCTGCAATATCAAATATATTAAAAGTATTTATAATTCACTTTAAGAATAGGGAAAATGCGTATGTATATATTTGAATTCATTTTAACGTATGTATATTGAGACACCAGTATATACTTACGTGTCCATGCAATGCTGCATCAAACATACATCAAAGTCAAAGATCCTGTCCCTAGTACAAAGATATTCTCATTGTCAGTAAAATCCATGAAAAAAAAAACAATGTATATCATAGAATTATTAACAATTCTTACTCTGCACCGTTGTTATGGATACTGATCCATCCTCTCATCACGTGACCAGCTGGTACCGTATAATCGACATCACCGTCGTAACTATTTACCCAACCGCTGTAATAGCAGTTGTAGAGGCACATTCCTGAGCAAATAAGAAATAAAAAGTTACTGTCTCATTTTAATCCATGTTTCAAACTTTCAAAATGAAATTCAATCTTGAAATATTGGACATTTGCTTTAGTTTTAAGAACCTGGTTTTTCGCAGCAGTAAAAGCGAAAGCGCCTATCTTCAGGTCCGTTGTCATGGACACTAGAGACGCCATCTAGAACACCGCCATTTGGGCACTGGAATGCTATTGGCTGGTCAAAGTTGTTGACATATTCTACAGGGAGAGAAGTGGATATAAGTCCTGTACATATCCCAGATCTGGTAGAAGTAACGTACTTGAAATTGATCAATTTTCAAAAAAAAAAAAATGAAATTGATATATGTAGTATACACTCTTGGCATCAATCTAATATTAATATAAATACAAGGTCTTCTAAATTTAACTAATTTGTTACTACTCGTACATTCTAGTAAAAGGTGCATTTAATTGAGAGTACACTGTACACTGTAATATTAAAAATTTTCAACTCAAGAAAACCATTGTCAACTGATAGGCCTACCTAGGTTGACAATAGTTTTCAATGTTACCCTTAACTACATGCAATATTTATTTTTTTATATATATATAAAAGTTTTATAAAGGGACATAAAAAGTGATCCTGTAAGGTTAGTGATAGAATTCATTAGAATACTAGTATTTATTACCCGACCAGAAACAACTCTCGGAAGCAGTCGTGTACTGGCTGCACTGGAAGTCAAAAACACGATCTTCAGCTCCGTTGTCATGGTGACTGACGACACGGTTGATTGACTGATGTTGCGGACACTTGAAGGTAAAAGGTTGATCGTAATGGTTCACCCATGAGTACACTCCTAAGAACAGGTTCAAACTCCAAACTGTATCGGACGAAAACATATAAAAGAAAATCAAATGTAGATGGACCTTCAAATCATAAGAATGGGACACATTTCAAAAGAATATTTATTTTATTAAGTTTTGGAATCCGATGTAGTTCTGTCACATCATCACACAACCGAGGTTAAGGTCGATAGTGCGATAAAGCAATGAAGATGAAGCGCTGGTGCGATAGCGTGATGACGATGCAATGGAGCGACAATGCGATGACGAAGAAGCGATCTTCTCTATCGATCCATCGCAGCATCGCTTTATCGTCGTCGTACCTTCACTTCATCGTTATCGCGCCATCGACCTTTAGTCCTCTTTTCTCCTCTCCTTATTGTACTTACTGAAAATACTCGACGATCTTCAATAGGAAGCGCAGAAGAAAATGTAAATTAATTCTGTACTTTAATTTGACATTAAATTGAAAAAGGAACAAAACGAGTTCTGTCTAGAAATCCAATGGCTATAAATAAATTGAATTATCATATGCTTATTATGTACATTATAATATACTCAGTACTTAATCAACTATAAACAGATCAAGTTAAATCTAAAATCACCTGCAGTAGTCCTCATATTCCACTCTTGAGTCACTTTGTAATATATATAACAGATAAGAGAAAACTGTCTGCTCCCATACAGATAATGAAAAATCTAACAAGAAGTATTTATATAGCTGAGTAGTTTTGTATCTTTCTTTGTTGAGTTCCTGAATGAAACACTAGTATATGGAGATATCAAACGGTATATCTAATACACGTCTGAAGTATGAAGCACCAACTGTTTGAAAGTTCCGACCAAAGTTAAAGTTTGGTGATTGTTACAAAAGTGAGTCAAATTCCAAGGTCGAGGTCAAGAAATTAAAAACCATTGTTCCAAAAGAAAAGTCTTATCACGCGAAATGCATATATGAAAGTCATAGCTATAAAGCATCAAAAGTTATAGACAAAGTTAAAGTTTCTGCGGACAAATCGATAGACATACTGACCGCTAGATGGAGGGATGGAAAGGGCAAAAACTATGTACCCCCAATTCTTTGATTATGAGGGCATAAAAAGCAAGATGTGTTTGTGAAACTCTGTTGCCCTTGAAAGCTTTTGGCGAAGGCTAAAGTTTCTTCAATGCAAGTCAAACTGGCCAAGTTCACAGTTTTTTTTAAAACATGGGTCAAACTCCAAGGTGCAAATAAAGAAAGCCTTGTTATAAGAAATACCGATAAAAAACTCTAGCACCATCTGTTCAAAAGTTATAGCCAAGGTTAAATTTTCCAAAAGTAGATCGAACTTCATGGTCAAGGTCAAAAGATCAATTTGTTGGTATTCAAAGGAAGATCTTGTTACAAGAAATATATACATGTACCTGTTAAATATGAAAGCCTTACTTCTTACTGTTCAAAAATATGCTCAAGGTTGAAGTTTTTTCTTAAAGCGGTTCAAACTCAGGTCAAGGTCAAAATTATTTATATCCTTGGAAAGGTCCTATCACAATGAATACACGTGAAATTTGAAAAACCTAGCGTCAGCACACAAACAGACAGTAAGGCAGATGGACAGGACAAAAACTATATATCCCCAAATCTTCGATAACAGGGGCATATTTTAAACATTTAGTTCACACAATTAATCTAAGCTAGGGTATTGCAAAGATTGTTTTGATGTTTAAAGGACATGCGCAACGTCTCATTCGTGGGAAACGACTGTATATAGAGGATCCGACAGACAAGCCAGTCTAGAACTTTATTTCTTCTTACCTGTGTAATTTGAGTTCCGCTTATAAAAGGACTTCCTGTGCAAATCCTGGAAATGCTGTACGATGCCTCTGAATCACATTTATATAAAACTTTACTTTTGTTTATCTTAAGAAAAAAAAAACATGAATTTTTCATCATTTGGTGCCTATTCAAAACTGCTAGTGATGTATGCATAATTTAGCAAAGAACATCTGCTAGAACTTTGAATTCAAATTAAGAATATCTTGGAAAATTATTTATGAGAATGGTAAATTGTAAAGTATAAATGCATGTACTTAGGAAGTTGAATAAAAGAGTCCTCCATTTCGGGAGAGGGGAGGGGGGGGGGTGGACAAATAAAGAAGTTGGGGGGAAAATATCTGCCTTGTAATGTGTGTATAAAAGTTCTACAAAAATCTACATTGTAACATTAAATCCTTAGTTACATTGCAACCAAAAGGCGACTTTATAAGACTCATTACACAGATCTGCGAATGCCATGATTGCCATTTTGTCTACATACCCCCAGTACATGTAGAATCTAGTTCACAGACAATCTATATTGCTGTGAATATACCGGGTATAGCAGTACATTCATTTGTATGTGTCACCTGTACTGGCTGTGTTGGTTTCAACTTGTATAAATCAAGTAACGATTTAACTATAAATCAAAATACACGCTGATTAAAGAAACTTTATTCCAGAACCTAAAGACCAATACAAAGCGATAGAGTACGTCACTATGTTATTCAGGCATCACTTTCCTATGACTGACTGTCCAGGACTTCCTCTTTAAGAAAAAAAATAATTTTCTAGTAATTCTGAATAAAACAAATTATTTAAGAGACATTTTTAATCTAAAAAAAAAACACTTACGCATCCTCACATTCTTGCATTAAACAGACATCAAAGTCGAAAATCCTGTCCCTAAAATTTTTTTTTAGAAAATTATAATATTGATTTGGCATTTCATAATCCATAGAAAGTTTAAGCATTAAAAATTATAAAATAACGAACGTACTCTCTTCCACTGTCGTGAATACTTGTCCATCCTCGCATTACGTAACCGATCGGTGCGGTATAATTCAAGTTTCCATCGTAGCTGTTGACCCAGCCACTGTACATACAATTGTAAAGACACACTCCTAAATAAAACGGTGTACATATTTATGTTTAGAATTATCTTTTTATATATATACTTTTAGTCAATAAAAGCGATTTTTAACGTGAATAAACAATTAAAATTCGTAAAAAGAGCGTAAACACGAATTTCTGGAAATTCAACAGTAGGGATCCGGTGCCTAGGAGGAGCAAGCATCCATCCCCTGTCGACCACCGGTCACCCTTGCCGTGATCTTTATGCATTGATCGGGTAGACGCAACTTTCCGTTTGATTAAACAATGGCCGAAAAATTGGTATAAAACAAGTCACTCAAAATAAGACCCACTGTTAGGATATGTTTGCTACCGAGATATTTATACATGTAGCAACCATAGAGTTTACGATATGCCGACTTTAAACAAGGCTGTTGAAATTCCTGTAACGTCAGCTTATAAGTAGGTAGTATGCCTCGCTTTAAAATTGATCGTACTTAGAACAAGCTTTTGAGTAGCGAATGTTAGAAGACATAACACAATAATCAGGTAATAGTGGAATCTTACTACATGAATAAGGAAAGTTGACGATGGAAAAGCTGGAATCATCGTTTCTCATAGAATTTGTCAGTTTCATTGCTTATAATTAGCAAAACATCCAAATACCGGTATATGAATGACAATAAATATTGTTAGTACAATTCTCGGTTAACCTTGGACTTCCAGTAAGACGTGGCATTCTCGGTGCTACGTAGTTAGCGTCTATCAAATGTCGAGTAGATTCTCATTGGTTTATAGAAATTAATAACATCAGGTTGACAACGATGAGACGACTTAAGCCCCATCTCTTCACCGAAAGAGACCTTGTTATTGGCTATTTTCTACACTCGTTGACATTCGCCGGAATTTCTATCCCATGTATACTTCAACAGTGTATGAAAGGTCACTTGTGTAAATTTCAGAAGCTAATTATGTGTAATTTTCAGTTAACTTTGGACTTTTAGTAAATGTTTATTTAGGGTCAATGTACATTGTAGCATTGATTGGAAAAAAAATAATAAAAAGGCTATACAGCAGGAGATGTTGATTATACACACTGATACTGCGGTCATTATATTTATTAATCACATTGATTTTGTCAATTATGTATTAATTAAGTCCAAAGTTAACTGAGAATTGTACTAATTGAGAACCGACCTGGTTTTTCGCAGCAGTAGAACCGGAAGCGCCTGTCCTCTCTGTGGTTGTCGTGGTAACTACTGACGCCGTCTAGTACGCCCCCGCGTGGACACTGGAAAACCAGAGGTTGGTCAAAGTCGTTCACATAATCTAACACAAAATACGGAATATCAAATTGTTTATATACCAAATATCAAAATATCATATGTTTGATATGCCATTTAAAAATCTTTATTGCTCATATAAATACGTAAGGTGATTGTATATTTTAAGACTGCACATATATAAATAGTTAAATACCTGTCCAAAAACAGTTCTCGGATTCTTTCGTATAACTAGTACACTGAAAATCGAACACTCTGTCCTCCCTCCCGTTGTCATGGTGACTCACTATTTGATGAATAGATTGGTGTTGTGGGCAGGTAAAATTAAACGGCTTATCATATTCATTCACCCATCCATACACGCCCATCAAAAGATACAACAGAACTGTGGAAAGATTTTAATCATGATCGGGTTGCTTTTATTCACCTCTCTTTTCCTAACATCGGGGGGAGGGGGTGGGCGTTACTAGTATTTGGTCTGCTAATCTTTCTATTTGTCTGTTTGTCTATTTCCCACATTCGCTTCTGGGAGATGTTTTAAAAGGTCCTCTGTCATTGCTCTTTCTATTTGTAGTGGACGTCAAAAGATATGAGGTTAAAAACATTATTGCACAAAATGATTTCCAGATTCCTATCTGATGACTCTCTTAAACTAAAGAAAATTGAAAGAAAGAAATAATTCATGCATGCTATGAAATATAGAATCTGGATGGTGCATTGTCCCTCTACAACTCCTATAGCTTTTAAAGTTAACAATTTGTTTCGTAAGTTTCATAGACCTGCTTAATTTTGAAGTCAGATACTGAAGTTCATGAAGAAATTCATCAAAACTTGCATTGAGTTTCTGTACATTCTATTTTTAAAATACAAATACATACATGTACGTTAGATGTATACACCGAATAACATGGCATGGTTAAGTAAGTATTCTGTATTAGGATTAAACATTTAAAGAAATATTCAGATATTGATTACCTCCTATCTGCTGCATGACTGTTCTATGATAAACAGATAAGATCTCTGCACTTGTGTGAACTATATGAGTTCAAAATCCCATTCTAACATTTTGGAATGTTTTAATATAAATCAAGCTACATGTAGATACATGTATCCAGCATTCCTTGTCAAAGCGTCTTGAACCTTTCACTTCTCCTTCCTCTTCTTTCGATACAGTGCAGGGCATTGTGGGCATCATCGCACCTTTTTTCAACATTTAAATAGGACGCAGGTGCAGCGGAGAGTCCTCTGTTTACGATCAAAACAGGATGAAAACACTATTGTCCCCTAATTTTTACCTATCTTTCCAGATCCTGATTTGAATAAGTCAAGGGATTAGGCTTCTATCACTCTAGATGGTAAAGCGTTCCACAGACGGATATCAGATGGAAAAAAAGATCCTTTGTAGGTGTCTGTTCCGGCAAAAGGAATTTGCAGTCTTTGTTGATGGCCTCTAGTACCAGCACCAGTAGGATAGAAAAAAGAAGGATGGAATGGCTACGGTAGGTACTAGAGAGTGTAAGATCTTAAACTTCAACACTGATTTTGCAGCTTGTCTACGATGTTGCAGTGGTTCCCATCCCAGCTGCTGTATCATTTTGATGACACTGCTGGTGGTCTGTTAGACAGCCAGCACATATCTTGCAGATCGGCGCTGTACATTTTCAATCATGTTGAATTTGTTCCGGGTATAGGGGTCCAAGAGTACAAGCATATTTCACTCAAGGTCTGACCATTAATGTGTAGCACATCTCCTTGGTCCTCTGAGGACAGGATGGTAGATTCCCCCGCAGGAAGGCTGTGGTGGAGTTTGCCTTCTTACAGACCTGGTCTATGTGTTGATTCCAGCTTAGATTGTTGGTAATGGTCACATCCAGGTTCTTAGCCTTGTTAGTCGGATGACCTCGCATTTGTCAGGATTGAAATCCATCAACCAATTTCTTCCCCATTCTTGGAGGCCGTCAAGGTCCTGTTGTAGCACAGCTGTGTCTTATGGTCTGCTAATCTTACTACACAGGAGGAAATCATCTGGAAACAGACGGGCTCTTTACTTTACTTGTGCGGTTAAATCATTGATATACACAACACTGTACTTTGAGGTACTCCTGAAAATACTGGTGCTGATTCTGACAAAATACCTTCCACCGTAACAAGTTGGGATCTTTTGCTAAGGATTAGGAATGACTCTATCCAAGACAAAATAGGGCCTCGATTCATTGGCATCTTAGTAGATTTCAGATCGGAAACCCTTGGCTAGCGAAGATGATTCCATAGAGGTGTAGCTTTTGAGCCAATCGCTGATGTGGTATTTTTCAAAGCACTTACTCTGAATAAAAGCGATAAACATCATGAAAACAATATCCAAAGTAGAAAGATAAAAAAAGGGCTTAAATATTAAATTGAGGCATTTCTTGTAGAGTTCCCATTGATTCGCTGTCATTGTACTTGTATATATGTGTATATTTATATAATAGCCACCTTATTGGTATAATCCTATAATTTGAAGAGGATCCCTCCTGAAAAATGGACGTATATTAAACAGTCTTCGAAAATTTCTAAATATCTTTTCAACAGGGGCTAAGATTATTACAGGGCCAGGATTTGCTCATAATTAAGATGCTATTTATGTCAACAACGACCTGAATTAAGGACAAAGTGAAAACGGATTTTGGCGAAAACCAGCGAGCAGAGAGTGTTTAAAAGACATTCAGTAACTGAGAAGAAAGTTTCCTATTAATATAACTTGCTTGTAGGGGTTAAACATTAAAAAAAAATAGTGACATCAGAACAGAGATACACTGTATATTAGTTGTTCGGATTTTAAAACATTATTTCTGAGGGCAACCTAGCAAATAAGACACTAATTGTTATTAATTATTTACTCACACATGTCAAAAGTATACAACGAATAAATAAAAATATCAATTATTTTCACAATGTCAACTTATCATTCATGATTTAATTAACACAATCAGAAAAAAGACTTTGCGAGAGGTCCATCCTGATACATTACACGTAAACCCCCAGTTTTAACTTGACTGAAGCTTGATTTAGAATCAACCTCTTCAGCTAATTATAAATCAGGTCTATTAATTTTATAGTCCGTGTAGGTGATCTGAATTGAAACTACACGCTAGATTATATCTTGACCTACTTGAAAAAAAACCTTGGGAAACTTAGGCATTATGTATAATTATCTCCTTTACTTTAATTGAACCTATTCCAAAAATAAGCAAATGATCACACAGAATGTAAAAGTTGAAACAAAGTAACAAACTTTGATCAATCTTAGTACACTTCTCAGCTAACCTTGGACTTTCAGTAAGGCGTCTGTCAAATGGCGGATATATTCTCATTGGTTCAGAAATTAATAACATGAGGAACTTTAAATTGTTGTTGACAACGATGAGATGACTTAAGCCCCAACTCTTCACCGAAAGATACTTTGTTATTGGCAACTTTCTACATTAGTTGACATTTGCCGGAATTTTTATCCCATGTACATTTCAACAGTGTATGAAAACTGTGTAAATTTCAGAAGCTAATTTTGTAACGTCGAGAATGCCATGCCTTACTGAAAGTCCACGGTTAACTGAGAATTTTACTATGCATCCAGCAAAGGATACAAGTCGCGAACGATGTAAAAATACGGACCTCTGAAAACACAATATATATTTGGTAGCATTCCACAGTCACCTGCATATGGTGTTTATACCAAACTTTTTCCATAATCAAGAGCTGAGTAAGACCAATTTTTAAACCGGGACAGACTGTCCACAGATGAGTTTTTGTAACAGATATTTCAACAATCTTGTTTGGAGTCACCCTTTCGTAAATTCTATGGTCATATATAATAATGACCCTGTTAGCTGAATGAAACTAAATGAAACTTTCCAGATTCTTTGTAACATAGTGCCATTGTGCATCTGTTTTACTTTTTGATCGGGTACATATCTTGGGTTTCCCGTAGCGAAACATTGACTGCCATTTTTCTATAATATTGAAGGGTACCAATCTCTTATCCGCAAATCCTCCTATACAAATGTATAAAATTTAATGATACTTTCACAGATTCCTTATTACATGATACCATTGTGATCTCCTATTTCACATTTTGATCCGACACTGATTTCGGATTTCCAAGAGTAAAACATGGACTTTGTCATTTCAATCATATGAGAGACGGGGTATCATTTAGTGAGCTCAGTGCTCACAGTACCTCTAGTTTGATTTAAATTCGCGGGGACTAGTTTTTACCTCGATCGTTCCATTTCCGAAAGACCTTGTGCCCTTATCTATATTTGTTACAGTGTCTCTCCTTATATATTAGATAAATTTTGGTTAATTCGGAATAAGTGCTTTATCAGGAAACAAAATGTGGATAAGTGCAGGTTATTTTAGACTTAATATTATTCCATATCTAAAATAAAACGCAATCATAAGAGTGTTCGTTTTATATGTTCTAGTTTTTTGAAAATAGTAGATTATTTAATGCGATTTCTCAAAAATGTTCATTTCGTTTTCTCTAATATTGATTCTTTTTGGGTTCCCCCTTTTAAGAAGGTGGGACTCTCTTTGATTATTTGTTTTGGATGTCTCTCTCTCCCTCTTCCTTTCTGAAATATTTTATTTTTACATAGCTCTGAGTTTGAACCTGTTCTTAGGAGTGTACTCTTGGGTGAACGATTATGATCAACCTTTTACCTTTAAGTGTCCTCAACATCAGTCAATCAACCGTATCGTCAGTCACCATGACAACGGAGCAGAAGATCGTGTGTTTGACTTCCAGTGCAGCAAGTATGGAGATGCTACTGAAAGTTGTTTCTGGACAGGTGATAGTAAAACATTATCGTATGTAATCTATAATCAATTTTAATTGCCTTGACGAAATTGCATTGATATTATTTCGTAAGTTACATACGCGCAAGTAGAATAAGGAAGATAACCGTATCTTTCTAGTAATGACGTTTAAGACAACCTTCACGTAAATTAAGATCGAACATTGTCAGAGACTTGTATTTAAAAACATTTCTGATTGAAAATAAGAAGGTTGGTTTCAGTATTTGTTTACTTGTATTTTTGTGGTTTAAGAAATTTGTCTAACACTGAATAAAGCAAAATTTTGTAAAGATACCGATGCAGTGTTCATATTGTAGTATCATTATATGCCCTAAAAAGTTTCAAAGCTTGGAAGGGATATATTTATTTCTTTATTTTTTCCTTAGAGTATGTCAACAACTTTGACCAGCCAATAGCATTCCAGTGCCCAAATGGCGGAGTTCTAGATGGCGTCTCTAGTGTCCATGACAACGGGCCTGAAGATCGGCGCTTTCGCTTCTACTGCTGTGAAAAACCAGGTTTTATTACCAGACAACGGTCCAACAATTTTATTCCCACAAGGAAGATATTCAATTTTAAGTTAAAAATAATCCCCTTTTCCTCGTTTAGGAATGTGTCTTTACAATTGCTACTACAGTGGTTGGGTCAATAGTTATGACGGGGATGTGGACTACACGGTACCAGCCGGTCACGTGATGAGAGGGTGGATAAGTATCCATGACAACGGTGCAGAGTAAGTTATTTTATGATTTACGGATTTAAAACTTGTACTAAAAAAACTTTCATGTTTTAACTGTCTCTTATATATATGTTGTCACTTTTTTCAATAGAAATATCTTAAATTTTAGAGACAGAATCTTTGACTTCGAAGTATGTTTGATGCAGAATTGCATTGACACGTACGTATAGATTGCATATTTTCATGTATTAGATTTAAAAAGCATCTGCAATTTTTTTTTTCCTCAAACGATTTACAACAAATGCTTATGTTTTATCTTTTAGAAATCCAGGTGGGGGTGTCGTGGGAAAAAGAGTTGTAAATAACACAAGCCATTCGTAATATTTATTTATATACCTGTATATAAGTAAAGGTCCGATTTTATTGTTCAGTTGCCATGATCTTACTACTACACCATACTCAATTATTTTAATAAAAAATTCCATTAAATTAACCCTTCTTTGTCAAATTGAATGTGTGATAATTTTTGGTGTGCGAACGATCATTCGGTCATTAATTTTGATGATGATTGTACATGTATATTCTTCATATAATATTCCATCTTCGCTATAGCCAAGGGCCTCTCTGGTACGCTACTCTCCGTATGAGAAAAATATCGTATCAGAAACCTTTAGCTAGCGAAAATGATAATATTCCAGTATTTGTTTTTGAAAAAGGAACCCATTTTGAACAATAACACATTTGACGAAATGTATCGGAAAATATATTTTTTTTAATTCATATCGTTTCATTACTAACAGCATATTATCTGTAGAAATCGAAATGCAGACAAGAAAAGTCTAGCAGAGTTAATAAATTTCTCAACGAAAAATAAAACATCCAATAATTTTTAGTTAAGGAGAATTATATACAAGGTAAACTATCGTCTTCTTACCACTCATCCTTAGTATTAATTTTAACTCCATTGCAATGATGTATACGTGTATGTATGTCGTTCAAAGGGAGATTATTTAAGTGCAATACATCCAGAGTAACATTATGCAAATTTCGCAACATTATAGCAAAAACATTTGATAGAATGGTTATATAATTTAGACATTTCTGGAGGTTGGTGATGGGTTAATATCACAGAGACAAACTTTCTACTTGTTACGTATGGAACGCCAAATTGACATATATTCAAATATTTGTACCTATCTTTAATTCAATTGTAGCTATCTTTAATTCAATTGTACCTATCTTCAAATAAATTGAAGATAGGTACAATTGAATTAAAGATAGGTACACTTGAATCGAAGATAGGTGTAAATAATTATACCTATCTCTAAATGATTATACCTAAATACAAATGAATTATACCTATCTTTAATGGAATTACACCTATCTTCAATTCAATTAAAGATAGGTTCAATTGAATTATACCTATCTCTAATTCATTTGAAGATGGGTATAATTGATTTAAAGATAGGTACAATTAATTTGAAAATAGATTCAATTAAGACGTATCCATATAAATGTATTTCAACAGTGAACAGTCAGAGATGTTTGGATGAGATATAAAAAAAAATGCAGTTCTCAAATAAAATGAATTTATCAAGATTCGATTGTGATACCGGTATAAATTTAATTCACCTTTGATACAACCATAAGAGTTTCCTATTTGAAAAGGAGGACGGGACATTACAGTTTTTAAAAGGTGATTTTTTGTATATAAATTTACTAAACTTCCGATAACTTATTTACGCAAGGTATAATAGTATTAGTGTTTTTAGATAATAATGCCTTCAAAAATCTTTTTCAACTTGTTCAATAAATTTGAAAACTATATATAACAAAGAAAACCAAGCTATAAATTTGCAAATAGAGTTCCGGTCCTCTGTTTGTTCCGGATGTCTGACAGGGAAATTGGTCCAACATCAGCCTGTCTCCGTAGGTATTCAGTATATCCAGCACCACACCGTTGTTGACTCATGCAGGTCCCTATGCACACATATTTTGTGACTTGTGTAGGACCATATGCACATGAATTTTGTTGAACTGTGCAGGGCAAAAATGTGCAGGACCAGATGCACTTGTGTTTGTTGACTTGTGTAGGACCATATACACATGTATTTTATTGGATTGTGCAGGACCATATGCACAGTAATGCACTTGTGTTTGTTGATTTGTGTAGGACCATATACACATGTATTTTATTGGATTGTGCAGGACCATATGCACAATAATGCACTTGTGTTTGTTGATTTGTGCAAGACCTGCATGGTAGTACATAATGATATAAAATTTCGTTGACTTGTATAGGACCATATACACATGTAACATGTTGAATTGTGCAGGACCATATGCACTTGTGTTTGTTGATTTGGGCAGGACCTGCATGGTAGTGAATAATGACATACATTTTTGTTGATTGTGTAGGACCATATACACATGTGATCTGTTTTGCTGACGTGCAGGACCATATGCACTCATGTTTTCTTGATTTGTGCAGGACCATATGCACATGTGATGTATTTATAAGTCTTGCAGGACCTGCATGGACCTGCATAATGACATATATTTCTGTTGACTTGTGTAGGACCATATACACATGTAATTTGTTGACTTGTGCTGGTCTATAGACAAATGTTTTTGGTTGTCTCAGGCATGACTATATGCACTTTTTCTGAGTGAATCCAGAACCATAGGTATCTAAAATAAAGTGTGCAGAAGTGTGTTTTGAATAACATGCATATTTGGCATTATCAAGTTCTCCAGAATCAATCACATGCACAAGTTTATAATTTATAAGTTAGCAATTTATTTGCAATACATATTTAAATATATATTTAAAATGTATAATAATGCATGTTTGCTCTCTTTCTTGGATATATAATGTTATAATGAGAATAATTTATGCTGCATATATGTAGTCATATTCTCATGTTGGAATTTACATAACCTGTTATTCCCTGTTGATGTATTGCAGTTGTGCAATACCCAAAGTAAAATAATTATGTCAGTCTCTAAGAATTTATCTTGCATGTTCTGATTGTTCAGTTGTATAGAACATGGCTTAAAATATTGATTTAGATCAGAGCACTTGATTTTAAAAAAAATGAATATCATATACTGGACAGTAGTTTACACTTTTATTTTTCCAGAGTTACCCATCCCACCAAATTAGAAACAGACACTATCCACACTGGGTAACACTTGCAGAAGCTATATAGGCCATGTGGAAACAACAGTCAGAAATCAGATATGCATGCACAGACAACACAACAGTGGACAAACAAGTGCCCATTACCAAGGACATTGCCTCAACATAGCAAAGTATTGTGGCAACAGCCACTTTAAGTTTGGGTAGTGTATTGGTTCATGTTTCTGGGGACTGCTCTTTCAACAAGTCCATTGAGTAAGATAATATCATGATCAAATGGTTTTTCACTTAATTCAATAGTTTCTGTAAAAAATATATATCCTAATTTTGAAATAATAATTTTTATACACTTCATGTCCTTTTTCAGTACATGAAACAAACTTTTGTCAATACTTCTGAAACAGGGGTTAGAGATATGCAGCAGGGCCCAAAATTTTAAATTCCAATCACTTTAACTCAATTGACCGATGCATTTTAAATATTGTGGTTAAAACTAAAAAAAAACAACTTTAATCTAAAAACTAACCTCATTCAGGATAAAGAGACTCATTTGAATATTTCAAAAAAAGATCTAGTAAACTGAAAGTCATGTCAGAGGGATCTTTACAAGTTTTATGTCAGATGGTACTAAACTACCTAAAATATAACTTTCTAGAAATCAAAGTAGACTTAGGGTGATCCTAGGATCATTAATATATATAATTTTTTAGATGGAAAAAGAAAATGGTAAAATTACAGGCCCTTTAAAAGATACACATTTTGTTGAAATCATATCTCCTATAATAGTTGTTCTACAAAATATGAAACAAAGGGTGAACACAGTTCATGAATCATCTCTATAATCAATCTCTGTAGAGCTCAGTAGTCGTCGAGCAGGACCATACGTTTGACAAATGCAAATTACTGTAGCATAATGGTATCCAAATGAGGATTTACTGTCATGCAGGATAAAATACATGCTTATTAATCCCGCAATTTCTATTGATGATGCATTTAAGCTTACGCATACTATTGTTGTATGCAATGTTGTTTCACTAAACATGGGACCATACATGTTAAGAAAGTTGCATCACTTGGTATATGGAATATCTCAGTTAACACTGGACCATGTGTGTAAAGTAGTTGCATCATGTTGTATATGGAATATTTCTCTAAACACGGAACCATACGTGTTTAGAAAGTACATGTTTTGTACATGAAATGTTTTACTAAACACAGGACCATATACATGTTTAGTAGGTTACATCATGTTGTAATAGATATTGGCTAAACACAGGACCATATGTGTTTGAATAGTTAGATCATCTTGTATATGGAATGTTTCACTAAACAAGGACCATACGGGTTTAGAAAGTACATTGTGCATGGAATGTTTCACTAAACACGGGACCATACGTGTTTAGTGGGTCACATGTTGTAAATGGGAGATTGTCTAAACACGGGACCATACGTGTTAAGGAATTTATACTACTTTGTATATGTTATATGTCACTGAGCACAGGTCCATATGTGTTGAGGCAGTTTCATTACTTTAAATATACACAATATTTATTAATTTATTTGAAATGTCTCTTGCTGACATCAGTTACCAATAGTATGTCAGATAAGCGTTATACCATATATATGACATTATCTGTATTGTCAGATTCCGCTTATTAGCTACATTACAGCTTTTCCTTTCTTTCAAGCAGATCTATTTAATTTTTCATGTTTTTAGAGAAAACTAGCAATGTCTCTCTATGTTAGAAATAAGTTATTGTAATTCATAGTTTGCTGTTCATTCTATCCAGGAAATAACATATTACCTGGTGTCTGAAAAGTGTTTACAAAACCTTTAACCATAAGAAAAGACCAGCTGGGATAGGATACAATATTCATAAATTTAAATTATGCAATAGGCTGAAAACACCTTGTGTAGCATGGGCCAAGCCAGAAGTTGTCTGTTGGTTCCTTATACATATCCTCACAAATTCAAACCCTCAGTTTGGTAATATGTTTTTCCTCTCGAGTGGTCAGAAGTTGTCTGCAGTTAAGAGGAACATTTTATGCAACATGATGTAAGTTTGACATCTCGTTTGACTGGTCAGAAGTTGTCTGCAGTCATGAGACACATTTTATGCAGCATGGTGTATGTTTGACACCTTTGTTGACTGATTCAGAAGTTAACTGTCTGCAGTCACGAGGCATATTTTTATGCAGCATAGTGTATGTTTAGCAACTTTGTTGACTGAACAAAAGTTGCATGCAGTTAAGAGGCACTTTAATGCTGCATGGTGTTTGTTTGATACCTTTGTTGACTGGTCAGAAGTTGTCTGCAGTCAAGAGGCACATTTTGATGCAGAATGGTGTAAGTTTAACAACTTTGTTGACTGCAGCATGGTGTATGTTTGATACCTTTATTGACTGGTCAGAAGTTGTCTGCAGTCAAGAGGCACGTTTTGATGCAGAATGTTGTAAGTTTAACTACTTTGTTGACTGGTCAGAAGTTGTCTGCAGTCGACAAGGTCAGTGTTCATGATTATAAATTTCCATTTTGCTGTCTGGTTAATATTTACTACAGACAGGTGTTTTGTATACTTTTTAAAATTATTTCATGGTTTGTCCTTAGTAATGTTTTCACTCAGTCTTATTGGATATTTCTTTTTCTTGTTCACAATAACTATTGTATTGTCTTTTGAACTGAGTATATGTCAATTTTTTTAAAAGATGTTTAAACGCTTTTTTATTAATCATCCTGTTAAGGAATTTTGCGTCTCCTGCCAAGACGCCTTTGGGTGGGTGGATCCAATCTCTGATTGGATTGTGGCTGTTTGTTATTTTGTTTTCCCACCTTTTTTGATGACAGGCAGCAGTTTATAGCATTTTGTATATGTCTTCCAAACTTATGATGTTTATAAGGGGGTCAACTTGATATGCATGTATATTGTACCTTGTGAAAGATTACAGGGTTTGAATTATTATTCTAGTCTGGTTGACCCCTCTTTTGCCTATGTACATCATGTTACAATGTCATTATGGTGCTGGGGGTCAGATTGTGTAATATTTTGACTAAGATGTGTAATACTCTATATTTGAGTCCTCCTTTTTCTGACCCCCATTTTGTTAACTGTTTTACTTTTCCGTCATTTACTTTAATAAATGACATATTTCACTTCAGCATGATGTTATTTGTTTTTGCCTGTTTATCAAAAAACAAGCTCAGTCGTTTGGCAGGAGAAAAGGAACATAAAATAGTAATTATTGCAAATAATTTCATTTATGTGACATGTTCTTGTTTTATTATGTTATTATATAACAGTGTCTGTATTGTACATAGCTTTATACTAAGCAGCTATTCGGTTCTTTTTATTGAACTAATTTTACCCCTTTTCCTACATCTAAATATGGGTTCAACCAATCAGCAAAGCTCTTATCAATCACGTGATCATTATTGATCCGTTTACCAAAAGAGAAAGCATGCTTTATTGAACTGCTGAATTTTTCGAACCCACCATCCACCCCATCTGCCACCTATGCTTGTTATTTCTTTCAGGTTGACATTTTTGTTGTTATGTTTTACCCATCTTCTTTGATAGTGTTTGAATGAGTTTAAAAGAGATTTATAGTACTTATTTTCTACCGCACGTTTTAACTGAACAAGTAAACTTTTTGTACATTGTAATAAATGGAAAATCCATGTATTAGGTTACTCAGAATGAGTCCGACATTTATTTTGTGTACCTCGCAATTTTGCTTTGGTCTGCAGGTTTCCATATGATTTTTCAACATAAAGCAGTGTTGCTTTTTATATATGGTTTTTCCTCGGCGGTGAGAGAAACATAGTTGTGTTCAATTTAATGCCTGCGCGATTGTATTGTTATTGGCTGTTTGTTATTTTGTTTTCCCACCTTTTTTGATGACAGGCAGCAGTTTATAGCATTTTGTATATGTCTTCCAAACTTATGATGTTTATAAGGGGGTCAACTTAATATGCATGTATATTGTACCTTGTGAAAGATTACAGGGTTTGAATTATTATTCTAGTCTGGTTGACCCCCCTTTTGCTTATGTACATCATGTTACAATGTCATTATGGTGCTGGGGGTCAGATTGTGTAATATTTTGACTAAGATGTGTAATACTCTATATTTGAGTCCTCCTTTTTCTGACCCCCATTTTGTTAACTGTTTTACTTTTCCGTCATTTACTTTAATAAATGACATATTTCACTTCAGCATGATGTTATTTGTTTTTGCCTGTTTATCAAAAAACAAGCTCAGTCGTTTGGCAGGAGAACTAAGGAACATAAACTTATTTACGCAAGGTATAATAGTATTGGTGTTTTTAGATAATAATGCCTTCAAAAATCTTTTTCAACTTGTTCAATAAATTTGAAAACTATATATAACAAAGAAAACCAAGCTATAAATTTGCAAATAGACGGATGTCTGACAGGGAACTTGGTCCAACTTCAGCCTGTCTCCGTAGGTATTTAGTATATCCAGTACCACACCGTTTGACCATCCGAACCCTTCCTAAAGACAGAAAATCCATAACTTCACAACTCATACATTTCTCTTCTAATTCTGCTTCTGCTTTTTGATCATCTTTTAATACGGTCAGTATATAATACGAGTTGATTGAGGACTCTTTTTAAAAATAGCTTTACAAAAAAAGGTTCTTTTATAAATGTCAAATTCATGACTTTCTTACTTTATGCTATACAGCTCAACAAACTTTTTAAGGTCACATGGTTTTTCGCACAAATTAAGGTCACATTGTTATGATGTAATATTGTGTATCGAGGCATTAAAATACATTTTAAAAGCATTTGTTTAAATTATTTGAGTTTTACCGGAGGTATTTCATTTACTAAAACATAATTCACACATATCAATTGGTAGAACTTTGATATTTTCATGGCTGAAAAATAACAACTACTCTCATTTGAATTTTTGTGGTTTCTTGCCAATTGCAATTGTCTTTTTACCCGTTCTTTTGAAAGCTATAGCTCTTTGCAGAAACGTAGACATGGGCACAGTTTAGCTACTGAAACTTGTATTTTCTGTACATTTTGACTCTTTAGCTCGGGGTGATATTAGTGTTTTTCATCTGTTTGATTCCTTTGTATGTTAATAAGGTGGGATTTTTCAGAGTCAACTTCTAAATTCTGGACTCATGAAAGATTCATCCCACTGCAAAATTCTAACCATTCAGACCGTAAATGTAGAGGAATTTTCCTTTTCATAGAAGGAATTGACTATTTCAAAAAAATAAACAATACTTTATTATCCTACCCTTCAGTGTGGTTTCCTTTTGCAGTGTTATCCCTTTTCGGCGCTTAATTTCGACGAAACCATTAGGAGTATGGTAAATGAACAAAGAATTTTAAAAACTAATTACCTTTAAGAATAAAATTTAAAAATTTCAACTACATGATATCAAGGAAAGCTCGTTTTATACAATTGTTAAAAAAACCTATGGCAGAATCGTATAGTCGAAACATCGTACCATTTACATATAAATTCCCCTTAAAACATCCATTTTGGAAACTTAAGATAATAATTTTAAAAGACATCTATGATTGAAAATTATAAATGTAATGTAACGTAGGGTTATTCATTGTACTGCGGTTCGAAAATGGTAATTTTTATTACAACAATGTGACCTTAATTTGTGCGAAAAACCATGTGAACTTAAAAAGTGCGTTGAGCTGTATAATGGTAAACCCCAACATTCGAGGGTTCGTACAGGAAACTTTAAATAAGATGGTACCTGTACTGTATATTCGCCACCAGAACCCCCTTTTCCTGGTATTAACGTAGAGTACTATAATAGAACGAAAAATTATAATTACCGTGTTGCAATACTACAGTTTCAAATTCAAATGAATAACAATATGGTTGAACCATTGCAAACCTTTTATAACCTTTCTAGCATTTTATAGTTATTGTTCAACATTATCAGGCCTTATGTGCTCAAAGCACGAAGAGGACTAAGTAAGTAATTCTAACATTATACATGTTATACTGTAATTATACCTCTATTGATTTTTTCCTATATAAAAGTAAGGCAGTAAAATGTAAATAATTCCCTAGAAATCTAAGTGAATGGACTAATTCCCCGTGCGTTAGTTAAATGAGCTAATCCCTGCTTCAGAAGCTAATTCCCCGGTTATCCGTAATCCTCCAGATTTTACTTTTGTATCGGTCTAATATCTTAATGGACTAATTCCCCATGCGTTAGTCTTGAGGCTAATTTCCCGCCATTCGTAATCCTCTATTTGTATCGGTATAATAATAGTTAAAAGGTATATCATTGAGGGAGTTAGCAAGATTCCAGTTCCCCTCGACCAGGACTATTTCCCTCGGCCTCGGGAAATAGTCCTGGTCTTGGGGAACTGGAATCTTTGCTAACTTCCTCAAAGATATACTTTACCTGTATAATATTACTTATCAAGGAAAATTTTACCCCAACCTTTTCATACATGTTCCTGCTGCGATTCCATGCTAGCCAGTTATTGTTAATCCATTTTTTAGCCAGATTGTAAGCCTCCACCTGCATTTGTTGGTTTTGACTATTTGACAGCCCCCAGATAGCAATGTGTTGTAATGGTGCCCAGCCGTTTGGCAGATCCCATTGTTGACCTGTCGTATCGAGAGAAGTCGGAAATCCTCCTTCAAAATTTAATACTTTGGTTTTCTGTTTGGAAAAAAAAACCGAAAACATGAAAATAAAGAACAGCAATTGATATCATACAAACTAATAAATCAATTCTTTGAACAGTCAATAAACACGGGCCCCCGGAAATTCTAGAGGTGGGATCAGGTGCCTAGGAGGAGTAAGCACCCCCTGGTGACTGGTCACCCTCGCCGTGAACCCTATATATTGAATATTTTTGATGAAGTAGACAAAACTTTCCTTACTAAAAAAATGAATTTTGATGACTCGTACACGAAACATTTCATGAAAATTGAACTTTAAATGAAAAAAAAAGGTAAGACGATGCTTAATCATAATTATAACACCAATAATTTGAAATATTTTTCTTGCAACAGATTTTTCTAACTCCTGTACATTAACTCTGTTGTAAACTTATATATCAATATCTCAGAGCTTAAGCTCATTTTCCAATATATAGACTTTTACACTCATGTAAATAATAAGCACTTTTTAGATGTTAAGTTTTGCTTTTTTCAGTATGTATTCTTGCATGTTCACGAATCTCCAAAAGGAGGAAATAAATAAAGAATGAATAGAGACCAACCATTTGTACAAAAAACTTCAGTGTGTGTGTGTACCTGTAAATAACTGAGAACAAAGTCCTCTATTTTCTTCCGATCTCCATCAGCACAATTTGCAAACAGAGGAAACACATTGGAAGCGTAGAAATAGTCACGGCGAGAATTCTTAGTAATGTCATAGTCCTGCCATATCCCCTCGCTTGGATTCCATAATAATGCCCCTATCGCTTTCTGTCTTTGTAACATTTTACTTTTGTATTCATTTGACTTTTCTTGGTTGCCTAAAACATTTAAATTTAAAATAGATATTTAATTATCAATTTATAATACAGGTAAATGTTCATCACTGCATACATTCACAAAAAGAAGAAACTGTCGTGTTGTTGATTTTGAATTTACCGGGTGGCAGTAAATTCAACATTTACAACATGACAAACCAACACAAATCTATTGTTCTATTTATGTTTTTAAGCAAAGAAACTGATACTTTTTTTATACTATTTTTGCAATATGTCACTGAAAGACGTTCTTTGATGAAATAAGGACAAGTAGTTGATAGATATCTAGGTATTGCTAAAGGAGAGCCGCCCCTAAACAAATTGAAAACACTCTAGGAGCTGCTCTCAAAGACATTAACTTAATGATAAACATTTAGTACCTGTGAGATTGAAGAACTGGGACAAAAAGTTTTCACTCATACACAGGATGCTATTCAAGTCCACAGGCAAAATATCAGTAGTCCGAATTGTGTCAAGGGTCAAATTGGCACCGGATTCTCGCGAGAACCAACGAGAGGAGAAATCCCAGCCAGACTCAGCAGCGGAAACGAGGTTTTGATACAATTTTGCTTTAGAGCTTGGGTCTGAAATATAAATTTAAAATAAATTTGTTTAGAACTACACTCCTAGCTACTCGATAAAATTACATTGGTTAAAATAGCAGCAAAACTCAGAGATTGTTATTTTAATTAATTTTTCATTTTTAATTGCTTTTGAAGGCGCTATTTTACCTTTGACATTAGAAGCAGTATCAACATCTTCCGCATAAGACTCCGGTCTGAAAACAAAAGTAATATTATAAAAGTAAAATTTCAAATCTACAAAATTCAATTGGAGCCGACTAGTTTTGTGCTTTACCTTGGGGAATTTACAGGTGATGCATATCTGTTCAGCGTATAGTTAACGGTACCATTCTGGATGGTAAAGGACCTGTTGGTCATCCAGAAGTTGTACTCATTCTCCATATACGGTAAATTATCTTGTATGAAGGTCAAATTTCCTGTGGCTTTGTAGTAGTCGTACATCATAGAAATAAATAGAGGGCGGTTGTGACCGCCTTGTATAGTAAATCCTAGCTCCATTTGGAATGAGACCAAATCTACCATTACAAAGGATCACTGCGATGAATTCAGAATAGACAAAGTCATTTCTTTAACAAATCATATGTTAAAATAGTTCCTGTGTTACTCCTAAAAAATAGTACATATACTTTATTTTAAAAAAGAGCTTAATTATTCAGTAGATCAAGATTTCAAATTTCGATCTTTCATTGGAGCCAAAAGCAAGAGCATTCTTTTCATACGAACACCTTAAATTAGGTAAGTTATTGACAAACATACTGGGGAAACAATAAAATCATCAGTCTCCTTAAAAGTCATCATTTCACAAGTTCTTTGGTGATACAATGACCTTGTTTTGTCAGCAATTACATTCTATCATTAAGTCAAGGACTGGGTGACGTATTCCATATTAATTGGTAGGCCATTATTTACACACTGAATTATCTACGGACTTTTCCGTTATTTTGAACTTATTTCCCAATCATGACAAGGAGCAAACGACGATGTGACCAGTCGGCAGGGGATGCTTACTCCTCTATGGCACCTGATTTAATCTCTGATGATTTAGTTAGAAGTCAATGTTTGCTCTGCTCCTTTTTAGCTTGAATACTGTCGCTATCTCCATATATATTATTTACGCTTCATCACCTTTTACACGACTAAAGTTGAAATCATGTACAATGTATCGCACTTAAATCTTTCTATTAAAACTAATGTTAAAGATTAAACAAAATACAAACTTCCATTCATCGTAATTTTTTTCTTGTACTTACTTTTGAATCATTAATGCAAAGTTTTCCAGCATGCCCTTAACAGTGTCAGTCATTTCACACAACAGAAGACCCTTTATCACCCAATAAGTATCCCTGTTGAACACCAGTGATATGTTAAAAGAAGTCGAATATGTATAGAGGATATCTATATTGTGTGATTTGATATTGGCTTTATCCAACGAGTTGAAATGGTGTATATATTCGCCAGGCTTGCCAAATATACACCATTTACAGTTGGATAAAGCCAATATCAAATGTTACAGATGTTCTATTTATCTCATACGACTTTCGTTTTAACAAACTTTAACTTCCCCTGCGAAACTACATGAATGACTGCCAAAATCAAATTGATGACGTATTGATGACGTAGCACCGTTGATGTTTACATGCGTCGAGAGAAAGTAGATCGAGTTCAAAATTTAGAATATTTGCTATCTGTGTCTTTGAAAACATCATGTGAAAATTGCTGGAGCTTTACATCAAACGAACTTCTGACTGAAAGTTGTTAGGACTGTGGGGATCGTGAAAATCAACTCTTTTTACGATGGCAGTACAAATCGTGCTAGGCAAGGCTAGGGGCCTAGATTGTTTGCTGATCCATGGTAAGTTACACCTACATTACTAGGTAGGCATACGTAGTATAATATAAGAAAGCATTGTTAAAGATGTCAAAGGAGTCTTATAACAACAACTTAACTGGTACATGTAGGCTTTACTTTCTCCGAAAACGATCTAAGAGGGGGGGGGGGGGGTAACATCTGTCTTCAAATAGCCAACGGGTTCCTTGATAAAATAATACACTTATTTGACATATTGATTTTAACGATATTGCTACCCTTTATCATTCATTTTATAAAGGCAACAATTTTCACAAATAAAAGTTTCAATAAAATAAAATCTTGAAGCGAGGGTTCGTGTCAAAACCGGAAGTGCTATTGATAAAGCATCTACCCGTTGATAAAGCACAAATTTATCCAACGGCCTGTATCACCAACACGTATGAGATAAAAAATATTTATCTTTAAACTAGTAACAAAATACAGTGTACATGTATTATGTTTTGGTCATTTATCCACCAGATTTAAACGCAAATGAAAATGTTTTTAGTTAAATGGATGCCAAAATGAAAATATCATGAATCTATGCTCACCAGTAATAAGTTTCTCTGAATCTTCCTCCTGGGACGATGAATGGATTAGGTAGGTATATCAAAGAGTAGTTATCTTGGTTTAGTTTAACATCGAGTTTGATCTAAAACCAAACCATATATTCAAGTTGGCAACTGGCATCCCATATCTAGAAGACATTGCTTCGCTTGCGCTTAATGAATTACTGGCATTCATTATTATAATTTTTCATGTACAAGTTGATGCCTTTCAGAATGAGACTGTTCAATTACATGTATTCATTACTATTAGTATGTACATTTGATTAAGAAATGAGAATATTAAAATAACACAGGGAAGATATCAAAATTAGGATAAATACAAGATTTTTAGCAACGAACAAACCTTACGTCCAAGTTCTTTCCAAATTCGACAGAGATCCCAGCCAAAGTCCCTTAACAAAGGGTCCTTGATCTTGCTTAGGAAAGAGGGCCTAGAAGAATACAAAAAAGGGTAATAATACTCGTGACAAAATGATCAATACCATACCGGTAAGTGCTTGTTAATCTATTCAAAAATGAAGTAAATAAAAGTAAAAGATAGCCATTTTTTTCTTTTGTGTCGGAATTTTGAGAGAGCAACTGTACAAAATATCTTGATCTCATGTCTTTTCGGATTATTTCAAAGTGTCTTTGATAGATGATGGTCCTATATATTGTATATATTAAAATGAAATATGTTTTCACAGTGTATCAAAGACAGTTCAAAAAGTTCATGTTTTTGTTGAGACTATGTTAAGTAAGTACATGTAATTCTTAGTAAACTCGATTATTTGGTAAACCTTTGAGACTCCTTGGAAAATGCTGTATAATTGAGATTATCATACATAAATTCTAACTATTTGAATGCAGTGTACTTACAGCACAGGCACTTGCTTCGTATACAGGGCACCCCTACTCATTTTTAAAAGCAAGTAGAGTTACCCTGTAAGTGAAACAAATGTCTGTGACTTACAGTCTCGGTAAGTCTAACGGTTCCCATGACTGGAACTCCTCGCCAGGACCGGAAAAATGATCTGTTACAAACTTCCGTGCTCGTTCTTTAGTGACTGGTTTTGGTAATGCATCAAATGCTGCCAATATTGTATCTATAGATCAAACGATAGAAAACCTGGTTAACATTCAGCTATCTTTCTAAGGGAAGATTAGGGTTAGGGTTAGGGGTTGGGTAAGGGAGTCCGGACCACCTAGAATTTCAGAATTATTTTTTTAAATTTCTAAATCAAAACTAGGATTAATGGTTTTGAACCCTATCCCTCAGGAAAAACAAAGCACATATATAAAAAAAAATAATAAGAAAATGTCTTGTCCTACACCCCCACCCCAGCGAAATATGTAAACATAATTTCCGAGATTGACAAATGGAAATAAAACAGAAACAGTCCCTGCATGCCCCTCCCCTTCATTCCAAGCCACGGTCAAGGGTTTTTGATCCGATTCGTTCCACACTGGTAAAAACCCTTGACTTTAGAAGATGCCTCCCCCCCTCGGAATGTTGCGTTTTATATATTCACTCAGATAATAGCTTTAATGCCTTTGAAAAATTAATTACACTTACTCGATCTTTAAACTGTTGCCATTTAAGACTTACATGTCTGCAAAATGTAACTATAAGGCTGAAAACCCTAATTATTCATCTATAGTAAATGAATGTTGCTAATGAATCACACACTATTTCAGTAGATCCTTATACCTTGGGATTCTCGTAAGCTCATGTCCACAAATGTCTTGGAATCATTAAAAAGTCTCAACCTTTGAACCGTATCCAAGAGCTTCCCATGGCAGAAAATGGGACTAAAAATAGATGCAAATGAAAGTTATTTTCAACAATCATGACCATGTACTTTACAATGTACCTTTGAAGGCTTTCTAATACTCATCGTACATGTACTAAACATTTTACCATTCTCATTGATAGTTTTCCACTATATTCTCAGACTACAGAAATTAATATACATTACCAGGAGCTTTGAATAGATACCAAATAATGAAAATTATTTTGCTTAATCTTTAAAAAAAAAAAAACAAGATGTGTTTGTGAAAAACTGATGCCCCCGTATGGCAACATAGCAAAAATCAAAATTTTCTTAAATGCAAAATTTAATATATTGGTACCTTAAGTAGGGTCTTCCCACTGGAAATACCATTGTGAAATATGAAAGCCCTAGCACTACCTGTTCAAAAGTTATGACCAAGGATAAGATTTTGAAAAGTAGGTCAAACTCCAAGGTCCAAGGATCGAAGATGTTGGTTTCTTAAGAAAGGTCTAATGTCACAAGGATTACATGTGTGAAGTATGGAAGCCCTAGCCTTAACCCTTCAAAAGTTATGGTCAAGGTCTGTTTTTTTAAAAGTAAGTCAAACTCCAAGGTCAAGGTCAAAAGATCAAGTTCTTAATATCTAATGAAGGTTCTTCTCACACAGATTTTATATGTGAAGTATGAAAGCCCTTGCAATTACCATTCCAAAGTTATGGCCAAGGTTAAGTTTTTTTCATAAGTACGAATATCTCCGACGGCAAGGTCAAAAGGTCAAGGCTATTGATATCCAGTGAAAGGTTTTGCCACAAAGAATAAATATGTGAAGTATAAAAGTCCTGGTATCTACATATGTACCTTTAAAAAGTTATGGCTAAAGTAAAAGTTTGGATTTTTTGTGTAAAAATGGGGTCAAACGCCAAGGTCAAGATCAAAAGGTCAAATTTGGTGGTACCCAAAGAAAGGTCTTCTCACAGGGAAAACACATATGAAATATGAAATTCATAGCTATGGGCATGGTTAAAGTTTTTGCGGACAGCTAAACAGCTAGACGGACGGATACGACAAAAATTATATACCTCCAAATTTTCGATTACGGGGGCATAATTGAACAAAATTATAGTTTAACCTTGTATTTTTTCAAATTTTGATTCAAAAAATATGCACGGCATAACCTGGCATCATAAATTGCACAAGGACTCCAGTCTTTAGAAAGACTAAATTTTTTAGGTAATAAGGTAAATAAGGTGCGTTCTAAAAATCTGTGAAATGATTTAAATGCATAGTAACTAAGGTGCTAAGACGTTTACTTATCAGTATCACAGAGTATTCTTACCTATCACATGCATAGATGGGGTCGACCGCACGAATAGCTGTGATACAAATGACGGAAAAAATGAAAACGACAGTCCAAACCACCATGGTTGAATAACTCGTGCACAAATGTACAGAGCATACCAGTAAAGAAATCTGACGACGAAGGAATGCAAATAAAGGGTGTCTTTAGTGCTTACTAGGTCACCATTATACTTTATTTACAGGAAATTGAGGAAGAAAATCCCATTTAGCCTTTGAACAGAATCGTTTTATCATGAGGAAATCAAACTCGTCTATTTCCTTCCCCCTCACCCGTGGATACTTACGTTAACGATTTCGGCATATAGAGAAAAAAAATCTCTTTTAAACCTATAGTAACATAAACAGAAGTTTTCAGATTTTCAAATTTATGAATGTGCCCAATTATACATGTATACATGATTTCGTCAATCTTGAAACAGAAATGAATGTGTTCATATGGAGCCATAGTGCATTCGATAGACACGTATAGAAGTGGTTTTATGCCTCGCCATGAATATGGCCGAGTGTTTGTCATGTCCGTCCTTTGTCTTTCTTTAATAATTCACACTTTCCTGTGATTTAATAAGGTTTTTTCAAAGAAAATGCTGTTATTAAATCAAACTTCATACAAACTTGAAAAAAAAAATATGAGAGTTATTCAGCAGGTCAACATTTTCTCCATAAGATGTCCTTTGATGAAATACTTTACTAAAAGAATTTAAAAAATGCATATTTCCTTTATTTAATAAATTTTAAATCTTTCACACAAATTTGTACCGTGTGAATGGCTGGGGAATTAGCTGTAGTATGCCATTCAGGCATTTTCTACTGGTTGCTATATCTAATGTAAAGAAACAAATTCCTTTATATCAATTTTAAAATCTTTATCTTTTAGCATCGGATGGAAAGTATCATTTAAACACATGTTAACAAATCATAATTACACCGTTTGTAAACTCAGTGACAGAATATTTATGATAACGCTTTAAAAAAAAGTGAATGATTTTTATGTAAAATGAACATAATGCTTATGAAAATGTATAAAATTTAGAAATAATATACCTATACATTTTTTGGAAATAATTGGTAAATTTAAATTTTATTAAATGAAAATATATTCAATTTTTGTATAATAAATTAACCATTAAAACATTGAAGAGTTCACTACAGGTTTTACAATCACAGCGCGGCAAATTCAAATTTGTAATAAGACGGTTTCAAAAAAAATGTAGAAAATTTGTATTAAATGTTTCAATTGACAAAATTATTTTCTTTTTAAAGTAAAAAAAAAATATGAGAGTAAAATAAATCAGTATAAAACATTTTCTAAGATAACCAATTACAAATGCAAACACTTTCAAAAATTATATAAAAGTGACTACCTAATTTCATCAAATTTTTTAAAAATTTTTTGCCTATCCAGAATCAAAATAGCATAAAAATAATGTTTGAAGGAAAACGTACTGATATACTTAAAATGCAAAATAGGAGCATAGCAAACACGGACCTCCAAAATATCAGAGGTGGGAGCAGGTACCATGGAAGAGTGAGCATCCCCTGCCGACCGGTCACACACGCCACACGTGCTCCTTGTCATGATCGGGAAATAACGGAACTACCCGTCTTCAATTTAATGTGTAAATAATGGTCTTACAATTATAGTATGAAAACAGTCAGCATTTGACTCAATGATATTGCATCACGAAATTATGAGTTAAACCAAACGAGACTGCTTTTTGTTTCATAAACTTGTTTGTTAATGATTTACACTGTACCTTGTTTAAGAAATTGCACATACGCAGAGCATGCTTTTGCGTGTCAAATCTACTGAGAGCTATAAACCCTGTATGGAGGTGATGAAGGTATATTGATGCATAAGTAAGGTGTGTCAGATTATGTGGTATCTTTTATCTCAAGCTCACCAGGAAATATCTTATCGACATAAGAATGGAAATAACCATTGTTAATTGAAAATACATTAAACTAAACAATTTTATTTTAAAGTAAACAATCTGTTTAACTTAATTTATTTATTAGTCGGAGTTTGCGTTAATAACTTTTGAGCTTGAACTTTCTTGTGACTTTGGCCTCAGTTTACTTAAATTTAAATTTTGCCATGTTTCAAAAAAAAAAAAAAAAAAAAAAAAAATATGCATTTTATGGATCCATATCCACTGATCCATACTGTTCAAGATATTTTTCTATAAAAACTTCATACAATAATTAATTCCATTTTGCATTACTAATGAACCTTGGGCTGGGCATCCATGTCTTAAATATATTTTAACCAACATTTTATTTTATACAATTATTTAAAATATAAAATCTCGATAATATTTATGTCAAAAATGACCTTTATAATTATTTATAAATGATTATATATGAAAAGTATTAACATCACTGATTTTAAATGTAAACAAACAAATTTAAAAGAATTATGATTCCCAAGCTTCTTAGTGTTGTCTTAGTGGACGAACTGCCACAATTTATGGCATATTGTGTCAAATATAAATATTACATCAAAAATAATTACCACGTTATAAAAAAAAACTATTTATGCATTTTTGAGAAAATTGACAGAAGCAGTCTCACTGATCTACATACTGTTCAGCAGAGATATTTTAAAAAGGCTATAAAATCGTACATGCTGAAAATCTTGTCTCATGTAGTGCATGCACGTCAAATCTGAAAGTCCTATGTCTTCTTAATCAAAAGTTGGATGAAAAAATGACATTTTTGAAAAGTAGGTCAAACTTCAAGGGGGGGGGGTCTTGTCATAGGTAATAAACATTTTTAACATGAAACACCTATCTTCTCATTTTCAAAAGTATTACAAATTTAAAGTGTTGATTTTCAACAATTTTATTTTATACAGTGTATTTAAACTCATAATATAAAATCATTCTATAAAGTATGTGATAATATTTATCGCTTTCGCAAAAGCGGGGGACAATAATAATTTTGAGTTATCCTTCCTGGCTGATAATCTGATGCTCCAATCTACTCTAGTTTCTTTGGGGAACAATTCTCTGAATATCATCAACTCTTCTCTAATTGTTGTTGATTTTAATCACTATATTCAGGGATCTCATACAAAATGAGAAGTTAATTTAAAATTGTTCTGAGAGCAATTTAATGTTCCTCAGCTTAAAATCAATTTGATTCAAAATGTCTATAGAATAATTTAGAAAATACACAATACTGTGTCTCTGTGCCTTAAAAAAATATTTAATGAGTATTTCAATTATTAGAGTTATATAATCAATGTATGTTTTTTGCACGACCACATGAACAAGAAAAATCTTTAAATTTTCCCCTAATTAGTGTTTTCTCCGTGTACTGTGATATTGAGCACGTTTCGATATAACTTTCCCCGAGATAATTAGTCACATGATAAGTTTCCCTCGCTGTCCATATGGTTTATACTATATTTTTTTACGAGAAGAAAAAAAATCTCAAGGTCTCCGACAGATTCTAACGAAACGTTAGTAGTAACAAGATGTAGCGATATATCGTAATGCCAATCTCCATTATATACTGAATGATTACAGACATATGTTTTTGATATTTTACTCATCACAAAGAGATGTCTCGATTAATGGGATTCCTGGCCAGACGGCGACATGGCATAACCAAGATTTTTATTTGTTGTCTTTACATCTTGTATTGTTGTGAGAACGTTCAGAGTGCTAGGAAGCGGGTATTGAAATGCATGACTCAGTCACCTTGCTATCGTTAACCTCCCTGCGGCACTCTCTGACTACAAGGACCAGGGATGTACTTTAAACTTCAGACAAATGCTGTTTGATCATTGTGGTAACTTAAATTCAATTTTAAGGCTTCTTCTTAGAACCTATGTTTGGTCGAATACATAAAATTTTTAAAATAATATATATTTTTCTGGGCATAAGTAATACATAGTTTCAATTGTTAATAATTTAAACGATGTTTCTACTAACCATCCAACCTTTTTCTTTTTATGAGAGAATATTATAACATAAATGTCTTCTTAACTAAAATTTTATCATCAAATCTAAAAATTCCTCTCGGGTTCTACAAGAATATATGACAATATTCGTTAAATAACAGACAATTATATGCGCAAAAAAACCTTCATCTTTTTAGCACTGAAGCCCATAAATAATATTTAATGCTAACAAGTTAGGATATTTGTCCTTACTGACATATTTTAATTTGTTAAAAAATCGGCAACATGACTATTGTGTGCAAACAATCACATTCAAGATTCCATGGCATGAAACAATGTTGCTGGGATGGAAATACATGTATAAACACTCGAATTTTCAAGTTTATTTTGTTAACTTTTTAAAAGAATTCTCAACTACATTTCATACAAAATCTAAGAATATAAAATCGACTCATTCATTGCATCCACTGAGTATTAAATTGATAATACACTTAAGTAAACTAAGTGCTACCTTTGTAGAATGGGTAATAAAAAAATGGCAACAATGAGATTCCAAAACACTACATAATTCATTCTAATCCCTTGAGTAGAAAATATACACCGGGGCATACTGGTAAAATGCATCGTGTTTTTTTTTTAACCATTGTCAAATAAATATTAAAATTACACAACATTTGTGATGTAACAATTCAAATTCATGTTATCTACATTCATGTCATACAGGAACATGTAATCGCAAGAACATTTACAATGAACCACTCAGTAATACTAACTTAGACATCCACACATTCATGATGATGAAAGAGATTGCTGCAGTTGAGTTTATGAACAATGCATCATATGAATATCCAAGTAACTGTCGTGATTTGTAGTGGATATGTTGAGATCAAGTACAACACATTTCATTTTTTTAAATTAAACAAGTCACACTCTTTCAAACCATGCACGCAAAAATAAATACACTCTTAATAATTTTATAGTTATTGGATTTCTGAGAGTTAAACATCTATTTTCACTGTCACAGGCATCCAATGGCACTTGCCCGTGCAAAGAACGACTTCCCTTGAATTCCATTATCGTGACGGTGCATATGACGTCATAAAATTATGCAAATGATCATGGAGACAACGGATGGAATAATTGACGAAAATGTTATAGCTGCACTGTTATGTCTATTGTCTGGGGGGAAAAAATGAAATAAACATGTTATGAGATTTAATTCATAAAGCATGGAATTATCACTTCATATGAATACTTTTTAAAAATATACTTCAAACCTATTATTGGTCCATCTGATAGGCACTCTTCTTCTGCACAAGCCAGTGTATAGGCAGGGGAAGATGGGAGAACGGGGTCTGTAATTAATGACGTAACAAGGTGAGTTATTTATTTGTTAATTTTATACTCTCCATGAAAAAGAAAAGGTTCAAATAAATGAAAGCCTTTAGCACAATTCTTATATTCTCAGGTGGTTATCACATGGATTAAAAACCAGAGCAGCAGCAATAGCCTGTGGCTCTAAACAGCTAGCCACCATCTACATGTAAAAAGAAACCAACTGGCTTAAAGAAACTAGAGGTCAACAAAAATAACCCCATCAGTTATAACTTAACTTTTTAAAATATGTATCTTATGCTGTCAACCATCATTTGGCAGAGAAAAATTTTATATATCTTTATATGGAGCTCTTCTTCTAAAGGAGATCAATATAGTCTGAAAATGGCAACAACCACCCAGCCCTCTTAAAGGGCAATGGTGTTTTTACCAATAGATTCATGGATAAATATACTAAATAGTAGAAAGTTTTACCAGGTATTTTGACTTGAACTTCATCATATAAATCTTCAGAGTAGACATCAGGAGTACTGCTATCAACCTGACATCTAAACAGATGAGCTTTCATAACTCTACCTTTATAGTCACTGTTTTCTTTAGTAATCATCAACTGCACATGCTGAATGACCCTGGGTCGGCAATCCGGGCCCCGCTTGACAATTTGTTTTGGGAGATTATCTATTGGCTCATACTTGGAACTGTCAGGGGTAGAGATGAGCCAAATCAGATTGACGGGGGGAAGTCCCGCCAAAACTTCACATTCTAACTCGCACGTGGTGTTCTCTTCCACAATAATGACGTCATTGTTGATGACGGGTGTCCCGGGATTGGCTGCAACAAAGAATCATACCACATACATTGGCACAAAGGCTTAAATGCATATGCACTGCGCATCGTATCGTTCAATAACAAGTAAGTAGCATATGATGAAAGAGTTCCATTACTTCTGTTGAAAAAAGGGCCAAAAAAAGTCGATGGTTCATTTTGTCCTGTTGTAAATTTTGAATAGTCCATGACAATACCATACATTTAGAGGATTTTTCAAATGCTGGGTTTTTAAAAATGAGACCTTTTCACTTGTATACGGTTGCATCATTCTGACTTTGAAATGTTATATCATCTTACTTACAAGAACTCTCTCGTTATTTCGACAGATCTACCTTGACAGATTTGGGACTATTTCAACTAAAATCAATAACATCGTACTATACACTTTTTGTTGTTATAATTTTCCACATGTCGGAAATCAATGATGATTGATATTGTTCTGTATTCAACAGGGTAAAAGAGAATACGAAGGGGATACTACATGGTGTAACAGGTGATAATTATAAATAACATGTACCTGTAAATAATAGATGGAATGATACCTATTATGACATAGTATATTTATAGATATTGTACCCTGTAGATGAGACTAATAATAAATATATCAAGCGTAGAAGGACCATCTGATCAGAATAACGACTACATGTGTATTGTCGATTGTGGCTATTACAGTGCACTGTATATTATATTCACTTTTTCATACGGGGTTATCAAATTATAAACCAAAAGGTTATTAAATTTATTATTACATGTACAATTTATATTTTTTAATCTCATGTCTACATATTATAGGATTAAACGTTCTTTTTTCAGAATTTATCGATGTGTAAACTCTGCCTTTTTACTAACAAACTGAATAAAAGTGCGAAGCACTTTTATGTTAAGTTTGTGAGTAAAAAGGCAGAGTTTACACATCGATAAATTCTGAAAAAAAGAACGTTTAATTCTTATAATTCCAATTACGATTTTTTTTAATTATTAAAATTATTTCTCTTTGAGGCCGCCATACAATCCGTTATTTTGTACGGCGTAGGAATACTTAATGCCGCAAAGAAACGTATACAAGATGAATATAGATAAAATCCAACTTTATTTGTCAAAACAATCAATAATTAAACTTATAAAAACTCATTCAATGCTGTTTAAGTCAACAAATATCGTAAATACGCGTATTCTCCAAAATAAATCGTCCTTGACCATTGCCATACTGACGTCATGACGAAAGTTGAAGACCGACGACGTCCTCGATTTGCTCTGGTTCGTTCAAAGATTTAGGGAGAATATGGGATCTGTAGGATGTAAATATATGAATTTGATGCTGAAAAGGCAAGAGTCTGAGGTATCCTGGTATGTTTCTTTTCCCTATCACAACGATACCAACTGAGCTGATATGGAACGTCGAGAAAATGACAGCATGATCAGCGATTTCAAAAATTCACACTCGTGATCCGACAGTGACATAAACATAATATTCCCGTCTGTCAGGCCTATTTTTCTCCTTTTCATTCATTAATTCATTCGATAATTTTTTTTTATTATAAGTTTCTTGTAATCATAAAATTTAGCTAAAACGGACTAGAAGTATCTGTTTTCATTGTTTTTAAAACAGTCAAGAAAGTAGTTCTGATTGAAAAATTCATCGATGTGTAAACTTTTTCTTGAATTTGTTTTCGTCCAATCAACACACAAGGAATCAATAAATAAAATTAAGATTGGAATTATATATCATTAAACAAATAGAAATGAAATCAATATTTTCACTGGACAAAGTACATCTGAAGCACGCAGATATGTTATTCCTAACATCAATTGCACTTTTTAGTGTCTCCCCAACTGTAGGGGGTGATTCTTTGCAGACACTCAGTTGATCATATGATTCTTACTTCATTGTCCGATAAAAAATGTCATATTGTTTTATTGGTTAAGTAATTAGTGTCAAAAGCTGAAATAATTAGTATAACACAAACACGTCTACTGAACTTTAGATATAATAAGTAATCGATTGTAGACTAACAGTGTATTAATAAATGACATTTAAAATTATATACTACACCCCATACTCTTAGCGATGTGTTTACTTATAATAAAGTTATAAGTTGATTATTTAACAATGGCTCTAGTGCACTGAGTATACTAACCGTTGAGAACAAGCTTGGTCAATGATGTGGCAGAGATATCCCCAATCATTTCACACGAATATAGTCCCCTGTCGTTACAACCGAAGTTGTAGATCTCAAGGTTAAACTTCAAGCCATTTTCATCCTGTCGAATATTTGTCCTTGCCCGGCTGCGAAAACCTGGGTCAAGGTTATCGTTCCATGAGGCTCCTAAAGGCTTTGTGTCCTTAAGTCAGAAAGCAAGTCATTGAAGTAGTGCTACATTAGAAAATTATGCATTTATACCATAATAACTAGGTTTAGCAAAACTTAATTTAAACTTAACTATCACTTAAATGCTATATTTAATTAGTTTCAGTCCGTCATTACCTCTGTTAAGAAGTTGTTTTGTAGCGTGACAATGGTTTTTGGATCCGTTCCATTGTTTCTCCTCTTCCACTGGATGACGTACCACTTCCGGCCAGGAGGGTTGACATATTCACACTCCAAAGTGACCATTTCTCCCATCATGCCTGTTACTTGCTCTAAAGTTGTCAATGTACCTGTTAGAGAGAACAAATACCATTGTAATTCGTGATGATAAGAGAAAATAGCACTTGCTCCTTCCAAACGACAGTCTTTTTACATCTTGAGACTGAATTTATGAATTAAGTGCGACTTTTTTTTTTTAGTTTTCTAGCAGCCTGCATGTTAAAGAGCTGTAGTTTTTAGTCATTTCGTTTTTTCTCTAATGGGTAGCTTGGTAAAGCCCATAGTGTACACGAATTTTCTAACCGTCTGAGGACGTCTGACATGGCACCTGATCCCACCTCTAATGTTTTAGTAGTCTGCGTTTGTTCTATTCTCAAAATATAATTATTACTAGCTACTGATCGATTTTTCGATCTTACTAGTGATGAAAGAATCCAGAACAGATCTTGACTATTGTTTAATGTTTATCGATGAATAATGGCTGGATTATTTGAATGAAGTAAGGAGATAACGAACAGTATCGAAGACTCAAAAGTCCGTTTAAACGATACAAATCGGGAAACCTACTGGACATGCAACTGCATATCACAGAATGGACCAGCTACTTGATACAATTAAACAAAACATGTCTGAGAGACTAGAGCTCTGCCAAGACTTTAAAAGAAATAGTGTCTTGATAAAAATATTTATAAAAACTTACTTATTTTTAGTAAGTCATCCCTGCGTGTCACCGTGAGTCAAAATCAGAAACTAACAATATATGTTATCTAGTTAGGTATTTTAGGCAAAAGTGTTCTTCTTGAAATTCTTAAAGAAGTTGAAAGACTCTAAGAATTATTTCTATTCTTAGTCACCAAAAACGCCATGCATCGAAATCGAAAAATGATATGATATCAGGAGATTGTAGATTTTAGTGTAATCTACTTGAGTACCAAGTTTTTTGAAAATCAGAGCAAAACTGAAGGAGAGGTAGCTTTTTGATATTCACATACTTCATTTTATCTATTTTTTTTTTCAGTGTATTCCACCTGTCTATGAAGTTTCAATGAAATTACACTGTATGAGGAGTAAAATTTTGTTGTTTTTCTTTTTAATTGAAACAGGACGGACACTTTAAAACATCGCAATTTAAGCTCTATTGGTCCAACTACTTATATACATTTGACAGTATGAAAAAAAAATATTCCTCTTCATTACCAAATCTAAGAACTTGTTACATGATTGTAGAATATACTAGTATACTTCGATGACGATACATGTTTTGCCCAAAAAGAACGAAATTAATGTAGACGCGGATATTGTTGTCCTTCAAGTAAGGTTTGGGTTTAGAGTTGGAAATTATTCGATCACCGAACAGCAAACGAGAAGGTTTGGTAAAGTGGTCCTTGAAAAATATAGGCAAAAATATTGCTTGCTTATTAAACACCGCAACTATATCCATTAGATCATTTATTCCTCGTCAATATCAACTTCAGACATAATTAAACTACAGTTTTCCTCCTTAATGTCGATATTTTAAGACACTTCCAGAAAGAAGGATTTTAGATTGCATTTGAAGTCGACATTTCAAGATAGAGATTTACATTCAATTGCGTGTTGAGTTCCGTAAAAATGGGTATTAAATGCCTTTGGCTTCCTGCGTTTTACTTTCATTAATTTTTTTCCGATTGAATAATTTACACGTAATGGACAATATTTTTTGGTTTATTATCAACATGCATTTGAATTGTAGCGGAACTAAACATTCCAGATGTAAAACAAGTCGTGATTCTTTCCGCATGAATAAATCATTCTCTCTTATCATAATGAGTATCTCGAAAGGCGTTACATCGACAAAGCAATCAAATATTGAAAATATTTCGCACCGTGCAAGATGCCAAATGTGTCGGTGAAAGACAAAAGGGATGACGATACCTTTTGCCGCGGGAAACGTTTAACACAGAGGGCACGCTTAGAAAGAAAACAGACACAAAACACAGGGATTACAACTGCTCCTTTTTTTTTTATATAAAAACCATTGTATTCTAATTGATCCAAAGCAAAGATGCATTTAAATTTGAAGAAGAAAAAAAATTAAAGTTCGGTAATCCCATTATCGATACAAAGGAGGCTAAGCCAAGTAAAGAGTCGCAGTGACTATTCGAAATGAGGGTCAATTTTTATTTAGGCATGTGTACTTTGTAACAATTATTAAATGAAGCACGTAAGACTCGCGTTGAGCATGATCTTGTATGGATAGCTGACCAAACTTGGAGATATAAACTAATAATAACGGATTAGAATTTATATAGCTTGTTCAAGTGGCACTCAAGTACTTGAATACACAATAACACTTTATGATGCGCTGGACTGTTTACAAAACGGATTCGGGCATTCTCTTATTCACCTATAGGGCAAATGATAAATTCCATGGGTAATGGATTTTTGCACGTTTGATAGTATCCTAATAGATGATTCCCTAAAGTCTCTCTGTCACATAGTTATATATGGGTAAAGATGATGCTTCTGTCGTTGCGACTACTTGTGAAAGCGTGACGGACATTGTAAACGAAATTGACAAATTCCTCCCAAGGGGTTGGGTGTAATTAGCCGTTATATATGGCAGGTCCACTGAAATCATCGGAATTACTTATCAAGGGGGATATTCCTCCTCATGCTCGTGTTGGACGGCTGCAGGCTTTATCAAGGCCGTCAACACACACTGAAGCTTCTATAGGACTTCCTATACCAAATGATGCTAATTAGAGGTAGTGACCGTGTTTATTTCTCTACTTCAGTGGCGCTTATTTTTAATTACTATCTAGTTTCTTGATCAATACTGTATCCATACTGTAGTATTCCTTTGAGAAGACTTGACATTCCACAGAAAGAAGGAATCTGTCACGTAACTTGATAATGGACCATTATCAGATGACTCCATGTGCTCTAGAATAACTGTTTCTACATTTAAAATGGTTATTTTTGGTGGGCCTTGTACCAGTACACACGTTGAATAATTACTAATTATTATAAACTGCTCTTTTTGCTCAATTATAAATCTTTTGTCAAGAATTTTAAAAATTGACTATGTCAAATCTGCAATATTGTTAATAACATTAGTAACAAGGCCAATGTTACATAGACGACAGAGAAAATAATAAAATCTGTGAGAACTTGGCTAATTAGAAGTATATGGCAAGTCGAGTTCAGACAGACACAACTGTATGACAGGTCATATGGCGCTGGAGGATTGTTAATATGAAGAAATGAAAGAATTTACGGATTACAAATTGTTTAAATTTCTTAATGCTTTTTGACGAACGAGCTTTTATACTTCTTTGTGAATGTCTGAATGAATGATAAGAGTTGACAACTAAAAAACTGTTAACACTTTAACACAGGGCGTCCTTAAATTATCTACAAATGCAAGAATTAATGACAATAAGAATATGCCAGTATCTGTCTTAACATTTAGTCTCAATCTTAACATCGGTTATTAAGTTAGATTCTTATTTAAGGGAAGATAAGATAAAGATAATTGTTAAAGAACACCTATAGTTGTGATCTTTAAAATTCCTGATCTCTTTAATCTTTTTTTTTTCAAAGTTGTGTTTGCGTCCTTTTGTAAATATTAAAAAATGCTCGTATACATTATGAATCTAAGTTTATCATTTGTGCATCTTATCCTGTTTTGGTAATAACTGAATAATCAATATAAACGAGAAAAAATCGTCAGTTCAAATGAAAATTGCATAAAAATGTCGATTGACTTTTTTTCTCATTAGTTGAAAGAAATTGAAAGAAACAGAACTTGATGAACTGTTAAAAACAAATAAAAAAAAACTGTCTCGTGTCCATCCCATACTTTCAAAAGATATATAAATCAAACGCATCACTTACCACAAACTCTCATAAATTCATTAAAATATATGAAAGAGAAAAGGCCGGGAATCAAAGTCCTCATTTTGACAAACATTCCTATCTCCACAGTTAGGAAACTCAAGAAAATGTAACTATCATATGGGGATGATGAAGAGAGCGCAAAGTGACGCACGAGATTGCAGGCACAACTGACTGATTAGCAGACGACAAAATACTGCGTGCGATCACCAGTGATTAATTGGCTGAAAAGTTCTGTACCTGTCCAACAGGCGGCGCTGTGGGCGTAGGTGTAAACAGTGTAAATGTTGTCAAATATTGTAACGTGTTTTTAGTTTCAATGTAATTGTGTAGATTACAATTCTAATAAATACTTTTAGTGGCCCCGTTCCCCATTGATGGATAAAATTGGGTGATTTTAAAGACACTTTATCCTACTGTGTATAACTGTTTGTCTTTGTCAACACCTTCTTTGATTTGCAGTAAAGTGATAAAACAAGGTAACTAGTTATTTGTGTTTGCCGCTCAGAAAGATCCGGAACAATGGAAAAGCAAGAAAATTTCCAAGCATTGACATATGGCTATCGCATACATTATTCAATACTAATAAGTCTTGTTATCAGGTTTTTAAGTCGGAGATCAAACTCTGGAACCTGTCACCAGTAACACAATTTGCATACTAAATTTCACTTTCTAAAATATAAATAAGCCTTGGTCGATACTTGATCGAACTTTCAGAGAGAAAAGAAAAGATGTCATTAAACTCCTGGTAAGCATTTTGAATAAAACATAAATGTTTCTTTCATAGTTTTCGGCTTCTAATGAAGCAAACATGACAACTTAGAGATACATCATTTCCATATGTGTGGGTTTTTTTTTAACCACTTCGGCTGATATGTATTATTTTTCTTAAAATAAAAGTCGGAGGATGCCCTTATAACATAAAAATATATAATACAATTCTCTCATACATATTTTACAAATAATATAACGCCTTCTTTTGTTGGTTAGTACTAACTGACATATCGTTGTAGCTATTGCAGAAAACATCAGCTAGGTTTGGATCCTGGGTACATGCATATTTTTCCAAAAGAAAACAGATGATTAATGTATCTCCAATGGAGGTCAGGGTACAGTTCAAAGGTCAACCACCAATGCCTTGTTAGGAGACACAGGGACTCGAGTCCCTGTGTTAGGAGACATGCAAATGGAGGAGGTCTTGAGTTGTGCTGCATTAAAAACTTCATTATTTTGTGTGGCAGATGCATGTGACGTTTGTCATAGATTCATCTTTCATCCGTCACTTTGCATATATTATTTAGCTCAGTTTTTAAATAATTAAAATATTCTATATATTATCCCTTCGCAAATGAGTTGTAATAGATAAATTAACGACGTAATTAGTCTGACTGTAATTTACATGTATGTTTGTCTATGGGGTATGTTCTGTAGTCCACGGAATCAGCCGAGATTTGCCGAGTGTGTCGAATGCTGTCTTAAGATGTGCTCTTTGTGAAGGGTTGCCCTGCTTTGCAACGCCCTAAATATTGTTCACTAATACGCAATGTAAAAATTTTCTTACCCCGATCTTCCTCTGAACCTTGACCTCACATCATTAATTCTTCATAGAAACTTTCCAAAATATTTCATTCAATTTCATAAGCAAACACAAACTGTTGAAGCTGACAAGTTGAAGATTGATATTTTTTTTCTAATTTTGACAGGACAGTCGTAAATAAAAAATATTTTTAATGGGGGTCGGGCATATCATACGAAAATAAGGCTTTTGTAAGAGGATTGATACTTCTTTAACAGTGCATTTTGGTTTTCAACGAACATGTTCAAATTCTTAATGTCATAATGTGCAAACTGCAGACCTAATTTTTTTTTTTAATAAAAAATACTTTTACATTTTCACAGTAATCAAGCATATTGCAACTTTGCCAACAGCCCCTGAATCAGTGTAAATTCATATAAAGTACCCTTTTGTCATAATTTCTACTGGTTCCCTTTCTAAAGTTGTATAAAGAAATAAATCTCCAACCTTGACCTTTGTATTAATACATGACCTTGATTGACAAACCATTTAGCTTTACCATGTGAACAAATATGAAAATTGTTACACTGAAAGAAGCGTGACTTCCAAATTTGAGACATCCATTCATCTCAAATTATTTCTCAAATATACCAGTAGTACACAAGAGCTTGAAACAGTTACTTCTGGTATTAACAGAACATCACCTCTTCAAAAACCTTGTTTGGGTAAAAAGGATGCCAATTGCATTCTGATGCCTATGAATTGTTTGCTTTCCCTTTAATTTGAGGTAAATAGAGACATTATATGAAATATTAGAGAGATTCTTCCAGTTAATAATATCAACTTTTTCCCTGGTTTTTCAAGAAGTTTTATTAGTAGATATATATATTTCAGAGGAAATAGATATGTATACTTGGTTTCAAGCGATTAACATTAATTACCGGTAAGTGTTATCATTAGAAATAACAATTCAAATCTAAAATGAAGGCAGAATTTCAAGTAACTCCTCAATTAAGACTGGGTATAAAAAAAGTTTTGATTGAACCACATGAGTCATGATCACAGAAATTATGTCTTTACAAGAAATTGGTGGACTTAATCACAATCTTACACCGAAAGTTATCATAAGTGTATGTACATAGTCAATATTTATTGAACTGCTATTATAGTTATCTATTTTCCATCTACAGAAATTATAAAGCTAAAATTTTCTCAGTTTACATCATAAATGAAAATACACACATATATAGCACTGGATTCACAAGATTTCATTCAAGAATAAAAGTTTGTAGCCAAAAAAGCCAAATGTTTCTATAATCCAATTTTTCTGTTTTGTAATGTTATAGGTTCGGGAAAAAATGCCTATCAAACTGCTGAGGTAAATATGAAGCTGTAGTAACAATTGACCTAATTATTTTTTTCAAAATATACTCGTACAACTAACTAAATACCAGTAATTTTCTGCTAACTCAGATACACGGGAAGTAAATTGTGAAATGGGCTAGTGAGCATGGCACATACACAATGTCAGTCTCGACTAAAATGTAACAGTAAAATCACCAAGTTTAAGACACAATCACACAACATTTGTATATATATATAAAAAATCATTTGATGATCTGTAAAAAATAAAGGTAATAATTACAAAAAATATACATATATGGATTTACAAAAAAAAAACTATTTAAAAAGAAAACAATCATTTTTATGACCTAACAGTAACAATACAAAATTGTACATGGATGTTTTTTTTTTAAACACAACCTGACAACTGATGGAAAATATTATTTCATGGAATGACTTGACTAAGTGGCGCAAGGAATGTACCATAATTTAACAATGAAGCTGCACTTGTATCATCAGAAACAATCAAGATAAATAATATCACATGTACCACTTTCTCCAAACAGTAACTAAGAGGGTATAAAATTAATGTCATTTTGACATTCTAAAAAATTATCAACATTTACTTGAAAAAAAAAATTATACATCAATTACCCAAATACCTTATATGTTTTAGATATAGGAAATAGCTACAAAGAAGAACTAAAGTACAACACAGAAGATGTATCCCAAATATTTTGCTATGACAAATACTACCGAGGTAGGCTGTAGAGTAGTTTCTATCAAAAGAATCAAAGCACTTGTTCATCACAATAAGAAGAAATAATGTAGAAAACTTCTATGACTGCTATTCTGTAATACATCAAGAATGTGTCCACACAGATGAGAACTTTGTACTAAATCTCAGCATAATTTTCATCCATTCATCAACTCTCATTTAAATATGCAAATGTTCTACAACTTGTATTTTTAATTTTTTCACCCCTTTTCTATCCAAATGATTCTGAAAACATTCTTTAAGTTATTCCTAAGCAAAAAATGTTATGCAGCTATGAACTAGTTAAAAATGATGATCCTTGTCTTACACTTTTGAGACACACAGAGTCAGATTTTTAGTGTTTGTAAACTCCTACAAACAGAGATTCTGATGATGTATCACATAGAGGGGCAAGACATAATGCACAAGAGTTGAAAATTAAAATGAGGCAATTTCACTAATTTCCAGAAGAACACTTTAAAAATTAGCTAAATTACATTTACATCTAATTTCTGTAATTTTTTTTCCAATGCCCATTTGTTCTGTTGAAGCTCCAGACATGGTATGCTGTTGATTAGCTCTTACAAGCACAACCTATCCACTGTAAATTATTGCACATTGTTATTATTACTGATGTAATTCACTTCAAGACTTGGTTTACTAAATAAAAATTTTAAAACCCTTTTACAATTTCTTATTTAAATTTCTATATTATTTAGAAATGAAAATCTTAAGTCATACAAAGTGTATTTTTTTCAGAATCATATCACCCTTATAGAGGCTACATATTTGTAAAGCTAAATATTTAATTTTTAATCAATTTGAAATATTTTATCATATTTCAAAACCACCAGTAAAAATGATCGGCTATTTGAATCCATCACAGTACAAAAAACCTTGATTAGATAACAAATCAGAATTATCTACCGAGTAACTACATGTATTTTGTGAATAAGTCTACCATGGTAACAATGGCCGCCAGCAGGATACATTATAACAGGGGAGGAGGTGAAGGCATATTTGTGTCTGCATAGATAGTCAAGTTATTCTCCAGGTTATCTATCTGTAGATGATTTCTGGCCAGGCATATTCCCCTTGTCTAAAATGGCAAAAAAGTTGTTCATGGCTGTCACTCGAACTCTACCTGAAAAGTAAAAATTGCAACAATTAAATGCACAATGAAATTTACCATGGTTTTTTTGCTCCCCATTCCAAATAACACTTGAGATACCTGTCCATCACTACATCAAAATTTTAAAACTTTGTGGCTAGTCTGGAATAATTCCAACAAGAAACAAAGAACACTTAATTTAAACTTTCTTTCCAAGAAAGTACTGTGACAATAAACATTTATATTTTCTTTTTTATGCCCTGTACTTGAATTCCAAATCTGATCCTCTACTCACACTAAACTGCTGACCCGAATCCTTGTCCTCCGCGCGGCATGACATCACCATCATTATAGTCGTTCATCACCCTGTTGGTGTAACCATGGTTTTCATATTTGTTGTCCTCATCCACTGATCGCTTATCCGTATGTTCGTCATCCAGTCCTTCATTTTCGTGTCCCCTACGAGGCCTTCTGTGGCTATCATCCTCATGGTCTCGTGGATGTTTTTTACGTGGCTAAAATGAAAGAATAATGATAAAAATAAAAGCAAACAGTATTTGACAGGTAACTTTGAGGAATCATCATGGCTCACTTTCTATAAGTATACTGCTATGGCAACTGTACTTGGAACATTTTGGCATTTCAGTAGGTAATCACTGCAATCATCATGAATATTCCAGCACAAAAGACATAGCAAACAAAAGGCACAAGATTCAGATTCATTTGTCAGGATTCAAGTACCAATAAACTATTAAAGTCACGTACTGTTCAATATGCACAGGGGTAGATATTTAGCAGCGACTAGCTAGTAAAAATCAATGTATGGGCAAGTTCAAATTTTTCTTGTCAATCAAGCAAATGTTGTTGTCATCTGAGATAGATTAGAATTTATATAAGAATTAACTTCGAAATCTATTTAGGTTTCCTTGAATTTGATTCTAAATAATATTCACTTCAAAATGTTTCAATAAATCTTAACACTGAAGTTAAAAACAGTTTAAAGAATCGTTTAAAGTTTTTTAAAAAAATTGAAATTAAAAATAAACTCATTCATTTTTTTTTTTTTTTTTTTTTTACAAATTTTAGGAAACTTTTAAATTTAAGCAAAAGACAATTCTTTAAAAAAAAAAGCTAAATAAAAAATAGTCTGATCAATGATCATCCAATTCACAGCATAGTTTGGAGACACATTTATAAAATCAAAAAAGCTTAAATAGTAAATACTGCAGTATCAGTTTTGAGGAATTTCACTAGATTTGGGTGAGATTGTATTCAGGGAAGTAAAGAAGATGGGGGCATTTGGCATGTGATTGGCAGGAATCATTTGTACGAAACATCTATGGTTTAAATGTCCATGATTTGGTTGCCTAAACATACATGTATAGCTGGTCAGATTTTACAAACATGTCCATAAGTGTTTTTTTTTCATTTAATTTGAAAGACTTTGTGAGATTGTAACATTTACGTTCGCTTTTCTTAGGGGGTACTATAACATAGTAATGTTTCACAAAAAATAAACACCTGAATATTTAATGCATAGATGCACGATACGTGTACATTAATTATACAATAGAAGATTGGAATTGATTTCGCTCGAGAACCAAACTGAACCAAAATTTAATTCAAAATTTTAATACATCAGTATATAAAATGAAACTGACAAAATAAATGGTTGTTTGCATAAAAAAAAAATTAACGTCCCATGCAAGGCTCGAACCAAAAATTTTTCGCATCGAATGCAATGAACAGGTAGCCAAACTTACTGAGCTATCACCGCTACACACATGATTTTAAAGGCCGAGGTTTTCAACCGTACGGTTTTCCTCAGGTAAGTTTGGTGTGGGGTGGAGCTTAATTGAAGCGGCTGAGAAGCCCCGAGGGAACGATGCTGGCTTGTGTATACTACCTATATACACAGGATGTTACCTGAGCCCCTGAGTGTATTACCTGTATGTGTTTTCCTACGACTTTGTAAACCGAGACCTTTTTTTTTCATCATGAAAAAACGGCCTCGGTTTACAAAGTCGTAGGAAAACGCATACAGTTCATGTTTAGCTCATGAATTGAAATGCGAAGTAAAGCATTTTTTGTTGCAGACAGAATCCTTCTCAATTTCTTTCTTTTAAAATAATTAATATTTTTAATAATTCGACATTTTTATTTACAGTGTGTTTCTTAATGAAGTGTTATAACGAAAATACATTTAGCACCAAAATCTGTCGTTGTAATCTGGCGACAAAAAGGGAAGTACAGTACCTGGCCATAATACAGTACGCAAAATGGCGGCCGTAAAAAATAAAAAAAATAAACATGCATTTTCTTTCTCTATATCTCGGTAAATTGAAAGTAACAAGTTTTGACAGTCATGTGCATCCATACATAATCGTCATATCTGACGTCACGTAAAATGGGGGGTTCATCTATTCTTAGAATAGATTAGTACGTCATACAAAATGGCTCCGAGAGGAAAAAACCTGTCGACAGATAAAAAGCAGACGATCGTTTCTATGTTTAATAGCGGGTTAAGTAGCCGAAAAATTGCAGAACTTATTGGAATTAGCCCAAATACTGTGCAGAAGGTGTTGAAAAGAAATCAAGAAAGGGGTTCAGTGGAGAATAGAGGAAGATCGGGAAGGAGAAGATTGGTGAGTGAAAGGGGGGATTGTGTGTTAGAAAGATTGGTCAAGAAGAATCGGCGACAGACTTTGTCTGATTTAACCAACAGTTTAAATGAATCTCTACCCCAGCAAGTTTCCAGCAGGACAGTTCGACGAAGGTTAAAGGAGCAGTGTTACCAGCGGTGTTGTGTTTCCAAGAAAATTACGATTTCCAAAAATAATCGCCAAGCCCGAATTTCCTGGTGCCGGACTAAATTGGCCTGGACAGTTGAACAAAACTGGTCACAAGTTATTTTCAGTGATGAAATGAAAGTTGTGTTAGGCAAAGACAGGAAGGTATATGTATGGAGGAAACCCGGTGAACGATTTCAGCCAGCTTGTCTCGGTATGTACAGTAATCACTTTCCCCACTCGGGTATATCAGCCATGTTTTGGGGCTGTTTGTCTTACCATGGTGTCGGAACTTTAACAGAAGTTGAGGGAAATATTAATTCTGAGAAGTATATCTCTGTTTTGGATGACAATTTGTGGCCTCTTCAGGGATCGACACTAACTTTAAATCCATAGTTGTCAGCAGGGCTAGCCATTTCTAATTTCTACTAGCCCTGTTCATGTATTACTTGTCCAACAGCCGAAGGCTGGTGGCCGAGTTGCGAAGCGAGGAGGGGGGGTAGGTGCAGGAGGGGGTTCCCCCTCCTGCTGGTGGGGGTATGGGGGGCCTCCCCCGAGAAATTTTGAAAATAGAGATGCAAAATCCTGTATTCTGGCTGTATTTTGGGTAAAAATTATATGTCACTCTGTGATTGTTACCCTAAGACATTTTTTTCTATTCGAAAAATTCCATATTTATAATCATTTAGGGTATTTCGAATCACCTTTAAAGTAAATACATTTTGACTTACAGAAATAATAATTATGATGATAAAACATGTTTGAAAATAAATTTAACAATTATCAGGTATATTGTGTGTAAATTATAATTATTTTCTTGCTCTAAGTGAGTAATTGGTAAAATTTACTGTAGCCCTGCAGGGCATGTTTAAAGACATGTTTGGTAGTCTGACCTCAGTATTCAGTTGTCCCGGGCCAGCCGGCTAGCGTTAGTGTCGAACCCTGCTCTTGTTGCTAAAGAATTTAGCGCAAGTCCGTGGATGTTACAAGAAGATAACTGCCCCGTTCACCAGTCTCGACAGACCGTCGCTTGGAAAGAAGAAAATAATGTTCCAACCCTTACTTGGCCAAGTCAATCTCCCGATATTAACATTATTGAAAATATATGGAGAACAATCAAAGTTCGACTAGAACACCGGTTACAGGACATTAAAAATCGGCAGGACTTAATTCGAGTCGTGAAAGAAATTTGGGTGTCGATCGATTCCGAAACTATAAAAAACTTATACAGGTCTATTCCAAAGAGATTTAAGGCTGTCATAAAGGCAAAGGGATATATTACGAAATATTAATAAGGTAAGACGTATTCCACTTCATTATTATGAAAAAATAACGAAAGAAATCTCAGGTGTCAAAATGTTTTATTGAAACGGCTGCCATTTTGCGTACTGTATTATGGCCAGGTACTGTAATTCAAATTACACGTCGTCTACGCAAAACGAAAGAAGAAAGTGAATCATAAAACAGTCTCTCGGTAAATAACAATAATGAAACTTAGAAACGATGTTTTGAAAATAAAAATGTTGAAGTAGAAATATTATTGTCTAAATAAATATCTTTTGAAGGTAAACCCTACTTGATTAGACGGTGGCTATATATAGCCACAGGCTATTGCTGCTGGTCTGTGTAAACACACGGGGACCCTAGCGGCGATTTTTGCAGAGTGAAAATAATGAAAGAAGACTTATTTCGATGTCTGAAAATAAAATATACATAGTTAACAAATACTTTCAAGTTCTTTCAGAGACATTTCGTTGATGGATACAAAGCCTAATTCCTGATATTTGCCGTTATCAATATTTCTCGCCTCATGAATATTCATTGCGTTACGCCGAACTAAACTAATTCGTACACCAACCGACTTGTATATTCGTAATCAAACTACAGATGTCAATTCGTACATTTTTTTCGTTTTTATCTCACGTGTTCGAAAAATCAGTTTCGTACGCACATTGTGTTTCTTTCAAATTACCAATTAATTGTTGAAAAATATTTGAAGTTTTAACTGTACGATTGTTTCACTATCTAACTCCGAAATCAAATACTAGTAATTATTACTAGTAATTGCTAAACAACACACGGCTGTTTCTTAAATACTGCTTTGTGAATTTTTTTTTACAATAAAACTTAAATAGTTTATTGTAATTTAACAGTCTTTTTGTTTGTATTTCTTATATCTGTTTACAATGCTATATTAGTAAAACAAATATATGTATTTTAGGAAAGAAGAAAAAAGATCACTATATCTTAATCAGTTAATAAAACGGTTGTTGGAGGTATATGATGCCATAAAATTTGCTAAGTTTATTACCATTCTAGTTTTTAAAAATAAGACTTTGTCAGATTATCTCGGACACAAAAACGACTCAACGGAAAAAAAATTGTCAAAGCTATAATTACAAAGACTATAACGGACAATTTACCCATATATTTCATTCCTATAATTAGAAACTCTAACGTGCCTCTAATAAATATACCCTTTAGTGGGTGTACGAAAAAGTACACTAAAATACATGTGCATGAAATAAAACTAGTATTAGGATTTTATGCAATTTTAGTGGGCTGAATTTAGGTCAGTCTTCTGGTGTGTTCACAAAGCAGTAAATATGTATTGCGCAGTGATTCGCATGGTTATTGCATAATTATTAGAATATTACGTATGAGAAATACCATCATCGCAAACCATAGCCAAAATGTATGATCCTCTCCCATTCTGGAGAAAGCTC